AGTTTATAATTTTAGTAATTAAATATTGCTTAACAGATTTTGAAGATTATTTCAATCACTTCAAATTATACATAGAAACACTCATATACATTACTGTTTAATAATGAGAAACTAATTGTAGATTTAGTAGATGAGGAAAAGAAGTAGAAAAGTAAAATAATTAGTCCAAGGTCACATTGGGAATCAATAACTTCATAGGCCATCTTTCCTATTGCGAATACCTTCGCTCAACTTTTCCCAATATATATTGTGTATTAACCACCATTGTTGTTGTTGTTTTTGTTAGGTGCTGTCGAGTCAAGTACAACTAAAGATCTGAATCCTGTTCTATCCTGTGTCATCCTCACACTTCCTGATGCACAAGGGCCCATTGCGGCTGTCACCACATCAGTCCACCTGGTCAAGGCTCTTCCTCTCCTTTGCTGGCCCTCCACCCTTCCCAGCATCATGCCCTTCTCCAAGGCATAGCTACTCCTAGCAACAGGCCCAAAGTATATGAGGGGAACATACTCTTTATAAATATGTAATAGTGTATCAGACACAATCTGTACACTTACATCCTAAGAGATTTGTAAAATATAACTTAAGTGATAACTTGTATCCCTAGAAATCTTACCAACAGTGTTAAGACAACCTGATGAATTCTAAGCACAGAAAAATGTTTGGCATCTTAAGTGAAAGAATTTATAATGCTGAACTGTAAAAATAATCATTTTTTTCTATTGAAATATCCTTCAAAGGATCTTTTCTTCTTAATGTAAAGAAAAATTTCTTCTTAATGTAAAGAAAAATAGTCAATATAAAAAGATAGACACTTACACTTTTATCAAAATACTGCTAATTTAAATAGTTCTTTTAAAGTTGTATCCTGCCTCTACCCTCACTCAGGTCAGTCACCAGTCTATCCCATTGTGGCTATTTTAAGCATCAGAAGCTTTCGGCTGGCTTTCTGTGTTATTACACTCTTCTCTGTTTTGACTTCCCAAGATTTGGGTAGGGACAGCATATCAAATGGTGGGGGGAAAAAAGGATGTTCAGAAGTTGCAGCCCCTGTGTTTAAAATTATCTTCAAATGATTCTGATTTATTCCTTTCCTTCTTGAAAATTATGCTTGTACTGTTTTTCTGTTGTTAAATGCTGTTTAGTTCAGTGTGACTCATTGAGACTCTGAACGACAGGAATCCTCTCCTATCCTGTGCCGTCTTTATTGTCTGTGACACTTTTGAGCCCATTGCTGCAGTCACTGTGTCAATCCATCTTGTTGCGGGACTTCTTCTATTGTGCTCACTCTCCGCCTTTCCATGCATGGTCTCTATTTCCAAGTAGTAGTCTCTCCTAGCAACATGCACAAAGTATGTGAGATGAAACTTTGCCTCCAAGGAGCACTCTGGTTTCACTTTACTCAAGATATACCTGTTTGTTCTTTTGGTGGTTCATGGGATATTCAGCATTCTTCTCCAATCCCACAACACCAGGGCACTGATTCTTCTGTCATCCTTATTTATTGTCTAGCTCTCAAATGCATAGCAAGTGACTGAAAGACTATGGCTTGAATCGGGTGTACCTTAGTCTTTATACTGACACACTGCTCTTCAGGACTTGGGAGAAATCCCTGGAAGCAGACTTTCCCAATGCTATGTCTCCAGATCTTCTGACTGCTGTACCAAGCATATTGATTGTGGAGCTGAACAAGAAGAAATCATTGACAATTTCAGTCTTCTCTCCATCTATCATGATATTGCCCATTGGTCCGGTGGTGAGGATTTTTGTTTTCTTGATGTTGAGGTGTAATCAGTATTGAAGGCTGCAGTCTGTGATCCTCTGCAGCAAGTGTCTCAAGTTCTCCTTGCTTTCAGTAAGCAAGGTTTTGGGTCATCTGCATATGCAGGTTGTTTCTTTATGCCACATTCTTCTTCATAAAGTATACCTTCTCAAATGATTACCTTTGTATACAAATTGAATAGGTATGGAGAAAGGATACAGCCCTGACACACACCTTTCCTGATTCTAAACCATGCAGTGTACCCTTGCTCTGTTTGGACAACAGCTTCTTGTTCTAGATATCGGTTTCATTAAAGCATAATTAAGTGTTCTGGAATACCCATCCTTTTCAATATTAATCATAGTTTGTTATGTGTCACACAGTTAAATGCCTTTAATAATAAAACAAAAATATGCTTCTGGTATTCTATGGTTTCTACTAAGATTATCTGACATCAGCAGTGATATCCTTGCAGCAACAGTCTCTTTTAAACCCAACCTGTGATTCTGGTAGTTCTCTGTCAATGTACTGTTCTATCTGGGTTGGGTTTTGTTTTGGTTTGTTTGTTTTGTTGTTGTTGTTGTTGTTGTTTTTTGTATATTCAGTGATATTTTGTTAGCACATTCTGTTTGGTCACCCTTCCTGGGAATGGGAACAAATACTAAACTCTTCTAGTCAGTTGTCCAGGTAGCTGTCTTATGAATTTCCTAGCACAAATGCCTGAGCATGTCCAGGGCTGTGTCTGTTAATTGGAACACGTCACCTTGTATCCAATAATTCCTGGAATCTTATTTTTTGCCAGTACCTGCAGTGCCGCTTGAACTCCCCTCATCACCATTGGCTCGTGATCATACGATACCACATCCTGAAATATTTAGTGTTGACCAGTTCTTTGTTGTACAGTCACTTGATATATTCCTTCCATCTTTTTTTGGTGCTTTCTGGATCATTCCGGATTTTTCCCATCGTGTCTCCCAGTACTGCAACTTGAGCTTGAATTTGTTTTTCAGTTCTTTAAAATTGAGAAATGCTGAGTGAGTTCTTCCCTTTTGCTCCTGCCCTTTGCCCATTCCATTATAATACTTTGCTTTGTCCTCCCAAGCTGCTCTTCAAAGTCTGCTGTTCAACTCTTTTACTTCAGCCCTTCTTCGCTTTCTTTTAGCTTTTCAATGCTTGGGTACAATTTTCTGAGTTTCTTCTGGCATCCAGTTTGGTCTTTCCTTTATCCCCTTTGTAATGACTTTTTGTTCTCTTCATATATCTCTGTAGCTTGTCTAAATGCAGTTACAATGGAGGAATGTGCAACTTAGGGCCCTGGTGCTGAAATCAAGGTCTTTCCAGTTGTTAGGTGGATAGACTTATATGGAAGCATGCTTAAAACTAGAGCAACACACCTTATCTCAGAGAATGTAGCTTTGGGGTGATGCCCTGGGCCTGTCTTTTTAGGTTTCTTCCATTGTCAGTCATCCCAACGCAAGTGGTCTATGTCTATCCTTATAGAAAGACCTTGTTAGAGAATCTAACTATTTATATATGACATATTTTCAATCATACCTACACAAAGGATCTGCTAGGTATGCTTCATAAAACAAGCTAAAGAAAAGGGTAGGACTTGAAACTACACATGAAACCGAAGGCTTCTCAAAGTGCCATTACTGAAAGCCATGGGGAAAAGAATTACCTTGTTAATGAAATAAATACTGATGTTCTTTAACTCATCATCTCTTTACACTATGTAAAATTCAGAAAGAAAGTCAAATAGTATGCCCCCTTCTGGCTTCCAATTTCTAATACAAGTTAGGGAGGTCTGGTGGCTTAATGATTAAGAATAAATCTGCCAACCCAAAAGTGGTTGTTATTGTGTACTGTCGAGTCAGAACCAACTCATAGCTGACCTTCTGGTTGGTTTTCAGAGGCAGCTATCTCCCAGGGTGTTGCTGGTGGATTTGAACCAATTGCCTTCAGGATTGCAATGCAACTTCTTTCCACTTGGCCACCAAAGCTCCGTTAGGCCTCCAAAGGTACACAATTCAAATCCACCAGCTGCTCTGTGGGAAAAAGACGGGCAGTCTCCTCCGGTACTATTTACTGCCTCTGAAAACATGCAGGAAGATTAGCTATGAGTTTGTTCAGACTCAATGATAATCAACAACAAAATAGAGATAATAAGTACTATTTTTCTTTAAATGTCTTAATTTTTCAGTTACTAAATCATTATTTTAAATTATTATCAAGAAAGATCATGGAGCATGAGCCTTGAGAGGCTGTGGTCTTTGTCAGTGCTTCCCGCAGAGAAGAAAGTCTTCCTTGCTTTACCAAAAAGAGAAAAATAAAAATGATACAAGTCTACATTTTTTTAAGTGATTGATTAAATTTCTAATTAAAAAGTTAGTTTGATACCTTTAAGGCACAACTTTGGTAATTAAGAATCAAAGATTCAGTAATTAAATCAATATTTCTTAGACGATTTAAGATGAGATTGAGATATGTGTGCATTTTAAAAAAATATTCCAGTGCAAGACAGCAATACACAAATATATATTTACAGTTCAGTCTCATAAATAAAAAGATGAATAGCAAAGTAAGGACAACATTAGCTTTGTTTCTTGCTCCCTGACACATTGCAGAAAATCAGCATTTTTGGAATGATTAAATATGCAGCATAAAGCCTGTTAGAAATCAGTACATAAATAAATAATAATGATACTTGGGTACCGATGCAAATGTGACAGTAATGCTCTTCTGAAATATATTTGTGAGATATTTTAGAAATAATTTTAATTGAGGCAGAGGTTCTGGAAATTGAGTATTTCAAGACATTTTTGGAGAGGGACATTATGCTTGGGAGGGTAGAGGGACAGTGCAGGAGGAGAAGACCCTCCTTGAGATAAATTGACTCAGTGACTGGGGTAATAGGGTAGGAGTATCAGAGACAATAAAGTTGGCTCAGGATAGAGCAGGATTCAGACCTGCTGTATATATAATCACTATGAGTCACAAGCGACTCAATGGTACATAACAACAACAACGACTTGATAAGGAGTAACCTACTTACCCAAGTGAGTATATGCGAGGGGGTCATTAAGGATGAGAATTTTGTGGTCATGCAGGATTTTCACGATCCTTCTGGTTTCTGTGTGCTGGAGACTGTAGCTTGTGGTTGTTATCACAATCTCTTCTCCTTCCTTAGAAAAATCCAAGTTCTTTTAATATGCTTCTGTAGTCTTGATATAATTACCAAATAGTTTTCCTTTCCTTTATATTTGATTAGCAATTATAGTATTCTAAAGAAGGAAAAAACCTGAACCTTTATAGCTCTAAATGTAAATAGGCCTAAAAAGGAACTCTGGTGGCACAGTGGTAAGAAGCTGTGCTGCTATACCAAAGACATGCGTTTGAATCCACCAACTGCGCTGAAGCAAAAAGATGGGCAATCTCTTCCCTTGTCATTTACTGCCTCTGAAGACCCACTCAAAGGTCAGTTATGAGTCAGTTTCAACTTCTTGGTATATAGCACCACCAAAAAAGTAAATATACTAGTGTTTGAAATGATGAATTAGAAATGTTTAGTTATGTCAGCATTTCCTTAAGTTTAAGTTCTAGTATTCAAAAGAATTTTTTTTTTACTTTTCAAAGAAATCTACAAAATAGAACTTATTTATATTCCAATTCAAAATTGCTCAAGATATATTAATAAAATTTCATTTTTGCCCTAATTCCCTTTATATAACTATCGCTTAATATTTTGGAGAAGGCCAAGATCTAGGATCTCATTTTTTTATATGAAGCTCTTTCTTGTCATCCCTGAACATTCAAATGTCACCCGTGACAAGGCGTCTCTGCTCTCTCCGCTGAATGGTACCCGCCACTCTCATCATGACATTCTCTATCACACTGCCTGCTTGTTTTCTTTCATTGCATGCATATGTAATCATTTCAATTTTGTTATTTAGCCCATCTCTCCAGTATACAGTAAGCATTTATACAATATTAATTGGGTAAATAATAGGGGTATTGGAATCCTTTATTTAATTATTGTGTTTTTAAAAAGTAATCACACTTGAGTTATCACAAAAAAAAGAACACATTATAAAGAGATGATAATCCAGCCCAATACATTCTCCTCCTATTTACGAATTTTCAATTACATTGGTTTGAATGAGTTATATTGATCTTTTTCAGACTGTCTTAGTTCTATCACCCTAAAGCTCATCTTTAATAGAAGAAACGGGCTGAGATCTGAGAGATGGGAGATTAATTCATCCAAATTTCTAATCCATATTCCTAACCCATATTCCTAATCCTTTGATATTAAACAGCATATTGGTAAAAAATGTAACATCTATGGTCTATAGACATGGATGAACATGATATGGATAAGAATTACCAGCATATATATTTTATCAAAATATCTTACTTTAATAAGACAATATCTCTGGGCATCAGAATTTATTTTCTTTTCAAATCCTTAACATGTAAAATCACAATGTAAAAGCAAAGAGGTAACCAAGACAACATAAAATGTATCATCATTCCTTGTTTTGCAAGAATTTGTAATAAAAATATTTTCTTCCCCAAATCATCATGCTTTCCTTTCGTGACTCATACATGCATAATCATTCTAATACACTCTGAAGGACATTCGTGATCACCATTATGAAACACCCGCAATTGGGTCAGCTTTGGGAGTCCAAACTGATTGTAAAATTGAAAAAAAAGGCCACCCTTTTCAGCTGTCCCACTGTGTATGCAGTTTTGACCAGGTGTTTCCTTACCTGCCAGTCCACATTATCCACCAGAGACAGGACTTTGGAACCGGCCTCTGCAGTTTCTGAAAGCTTTGTTTTGTATATTAAACGTGGGATTCCATGAAGATCCAGCTCACCAAATACCCCTGGATGGAAAATGACACTCTCATTTATCTACCACACAGTACTCAAGTACTTACAAGTATAAATTAATCTGTTTATTGACAAATTTTAATAGGCAATTGAGAATTTTTATAATTATAGAATGAACCAAGGTTATCTGCTCAGGAAATAGAAAAGAAAGCTCTAGCATTTGACCCACTAGGGTTTAGCGCAATGGTGCTAGAATGGTGCTTACTAGCAGAAAATGAAAATAAATCCAAATGTACATTAGTTGGTAAGTGATGGAATAAGTCATATCTTATTCTTACAGGGACATATTATAAAATGGTAAGCTTTATCTCTAAGTATTGATCTAGAAAACATTAATTTTTTAAGTGGAAAAGATGCATACTACTATGTTAAATTTGATAATGATGGTGGCCTAGTGGCAAGAAGCTGCACTGCAATCCGGAAGGCACACAGTTCAAATCCACCAGCTGTTTTGTTGAAAAAGGATGGGCAATCCCATCCTGTGCAATTAACTGCCTCTGAAAACCCACCAGAGGTTCAACTATGGGTCAGTACTGACTCAACGTTATACAACAACAACAACAACAACAATAATAACAACAACATCATAACTTATTAATAGATGTTGTTGTTGAATGTCATCAAGTCACTTTCAACTCATAGTGACCCTATGTACAACAGCCCTAAACCCTGTTCTATCCTGTGCAAATCTTATTGACACCAACACGCCTATCCCCGTTACCCCAGTAACAGAATCAATGCATCTCAAGGGTCTTCCTCTAGATAGCACAAGCATATAAAGCATAGAAAAGCTGTAAAAGTGCAGGTGACTTGATGACACATAGCAACACAATAACAATGCTGGCTTAGTCATAAGAAATAATAAAAGAAAAGGTGGTTCAAATCCACCAGCTGCCCCACAGGAGGAAGATGGGCATTTGCCACTTGATTTATTGCCTCTACAAACATGCTGGAAGGTGAGCTATGAGTCAATTCTGACTGGATGATACACAACAACAATACTCACTGTGGGAGCTGTTAACTAATGCTAGATTCCCCAAGGAACAATAATTAGGAATGGTGTATACTTTTCTTTGACCTTTCCCCTTTGTATTGTTCTGATGCCTGCCAGTAGACAACCTATTCAATTTGAGTCCCTTTTAAAATGATCTTACTGCTGCCACTGTTTTAGGTATGACACCGTAGAACAGCTTCAAACAATGCTTGTGTCTTTTAAATAAACACGAAACAGTATTAATTTAGAAATCCAGTTAAACACGTGGCTGATAACCAAAAGATCAGAGATTTAAACTTATCAAATGCTCCATGGGAAAAATACGTGTCAGTCTGCAATGAAAACATTTGCAGTCTTGGAAACCCTGTAGGACACCTCTACTGTGTCCTACAGAGTCAATGTGGGTTGGAATGGGTTTTATAGGAATGGTTATGTGTTTAGTATGGATTCATTTAGTTGTTAAAAGTGGCCTAGTGGAAAAGAAGCTGCACTGCAATCCCAAGGGTATGTGGTTCAAAGTCACCAGTTACTCTGTGGAAGAAGGCCAGACATTCTCCTCCCATGGGATTTACTGCCTCTGAAAACCCACTGGAGGCTGAGCTATGGGTTAGTTCTGACTTCAGAGCACCCAACAACAATATCAAGGTCTTTATTTCATGTCTATGATTAAACAGGAGTATAAGTTCAGGTAGATTGTAACTGGATTAAGGTTGACTGGCCCACAATATTGCCTATGAATATTGCAAAATAGTAACATGTAGGAAAGTACTTTTCTTAGGAGAAAATCTCTCAAATATGAAAAACCGTTGGTACTTATATAAGGGAAAGATTACAGGGAAAAATAAGTTTGGGAAACATATATATGAAGTAATTTTTCAGTTTATCTTTATAATGAATTATGTTTTAAAAGTTTAATATAGATATTAAATAGACATGCATTAAATATAATAAATTGTTCTTGTTGTTGTGCGGTACCAAAGAGTCAGAACAGACCCATAGCTGACCCTCAGGCGGGTTTTCCAAGGCAGTTAATAGCCCAGGAAGCGATTGCCCACCCTTCTCCCCCAGAGCAGCTGGTGGCCTTGTACTGTGTGCCTTTGGGATTGCAATGCACCTCCAATAAATAAATATATAATATATATTAAATAAAATATATAAATATAAAATTATCTAAAGTAATGCCACATGATTTCATTTTAATTTTACCTGTCAAGAATCCTTTCGAATCCTGTAAGTAAATATCCTGAGACAATAGTATATGAGCTAATGACAAGTACTTTGGATTCTCCAAATTGACATGACACTTTTGGTAGAGGGAGGCACATACCTAAGACCTTTGACCCTTGATTCGGTCCTCCTGGTAGAGCCCAATCCGGAGTGGAATGATTTCCTCGAAGTACAATCTGTAGTTCTCCTTTAAAAGGGTTGTCCTCCCAACCACCAATTAATCTACCTCCCTGTAATGAAGCAGAAAAATGTTATTCCTTACAAATGAGTAGAAAAATAATTCCCTGTAAAATTGAGTTTTATGATAATGTAGAGAATGGAGTGTAACTTAGCACATTCATTTTGAGTTGGGAAGTTTAAATAGCTTTTCAAAGTTACATGCAGTATTGACTTCTGATCAGTACTGGACCTAGAAATAAGACCTCCTAAAGCTGAAAGCAGTGCTATATAAATATGCTACACTTGTATCTTAAATAGACTCCTCATACTGCATTTGTGCCACATTATTTACAAGCCATCACTGTTAATAATAATTGCTATCATGTAAATATTTACTGATACTATGCCAGGCATAACACATAAGGATTTTCTAATCTTTCTTTTACTATCATTGCCATCAAATCAGAACAGTATCAGAGCTGACCCTCCAGAAGGTTTTAAGAGGCAGCTGGGAGATTCGAACTACCTGCCTTTAAGTCAGCAGTGCAACTCCTTATCCACTAGGCCACTAGAACTTCCAATATCATATATACATAAATTGTTGTTATTAAGTGCCATCAAGTCCGAATTGGCCTATAGCTGACCCTCCAGTATGTTTTCAGAGGCTGTAAATCAAACAGGAAGAGACTGCCTCTCTTTCTGTCATAAGACATATAGATAGCTAAAGATCTATATAGATGACACAGATATAGATACACATGTATTTTAATATATATTTTCTTTAAACCAATGCATTTTTTACTCCTATTCTCATTTACATGATGAGAAAACTGATGCTGAAAGAAGTCAGAATTCCATAATGTAATCCACGCAAGAAACAGTGAGGTAAGAAGTCAAAGCCCATGCATCTAACTAGTGTACTATATGCTATAGGGCATTAAAGACTTACTGTGAACTTTATTATCATGTTTAAGAAGAAATTACTAAACATTTTAAAGAGGGTTTGTAAAACAATGAAAGAATCTTTTCTTTTACTTTTCCATAATTTTTGACTCATGTACGTATAACTTGTTAGTCAAATTTGTGTCTTCTAGGTTGCAACACCCCCATGATACATCTTCAAGGATATGAACATGTACGGCCAAGCACAATCAATAAGAGTGCATCTAAATTCCAAAATCAATCTCCATAATAGTCTATGTGTTTCCTACTGCCAAAGGGGCCCTTTAGAGTAGTGAGAGAAGATCTTCACCCTGAAACCCACAGCGTCCCTTTTCAGCAGGAAGTAGCTAAGAGAATACGCCATCCCCTTTTCCTTATGACTCAGGGTGAAGTCTCTCTCAGGGAGGAGTGATAGGGAATGGCAAAGGACACACCGACAAAGGAGATTAATCAGAACTGGCTTTGAAAAGCACTGTGGCATTTGGAGAAGAACAAACTGGGAGGAGGGTAGAGAGAATGGTGCAACAATGAATGAGTGGAAACCCAAAATCTCTGTAAATGTTTATGAAAATTAATAAAATATAATTATAGAAAATATAAAGATGCTTAATTAATTTTTTTATTGAGCACTTTTCTTTCGAGCCATAATAAATTATTAACAAAACAATAAAACTGATTAAATGATTACATGCTCAAGACCATCTGAGGTAATTGTTCTAACAATTGAAATATGCTTATTAGTCTGACAAAGCTGTCATAGAGTCACTTATGCCCACTAATTTCAAGAAATACCATTTTTATTATTTGTGTTTATTTGTTTGCATAAATCCCTTTAATAATTCTCAGCACTTCTGGGAAGTCTTGATTTGCTAGAACAAGGTGCTAGTTTAGTTTCACATAACCATAACACAAAAACTCTATGTAGAACTGAAGCTGAGCAGACCTCAACATCAATGACAAACACTCCTGAAAGAATGTTTATTTTACAATTTAAACGGGTGTAAAAATAAATTGGACTTAAATATTTATGTGAGTCGTGATTTTATTTACTCAGTTTGAATATGTGTCCTCCTTTGTTGTTCAGCAAATTGGAAGCATTTTGGTATTAGCTTAAAAAGGACATAAATATCACTCTTACCTGCAGTGATATGTAGGTCGCATTCAAAACAACTTTTCTGTAGGAAGACTCTGCAGTTCCCACATTATATTTATCTTCCAGTTCTAGGACTCCCCAAATGATGAGTCTTTTTATTGGGGGAATGTCTGTGTCTGCTACAATCCATGTTCCTATAAACCAATAATAAATATAGAGATATAATCCAATACAATATCCTACAACCAAGGAAAACCCTGACAGTCTATTAATGAGCTTTGGCCATTTGAAGAATGTGATCAATCATCTTACACAATGGATAGCTCTGATTTCTCCTAGGAAGTCTGCTATTCTTAATACTCAGGTTTAAGTTCCTGTCAATCCCAGAAATCTAGCTCTAGTAACCATGATAAAACCACCTCTTCATATTTGTTCTCTCCTCAAGGTTGATAGCTAACTCTCAAGACATCTATGACAGGACAGATGCACAAGCTTTGTATTGATGTATGTTTGTGTCTTTACCTTCAGGAATAACCACATTTGCCCCTTGGTAAGGTCTGGTATAATTATTTTCTCGAGATGCTTGCCAAAAAGAATCATTTGACCATAAACTGAAAAAAGAAGTAAGAGAAGTATTCACATTAATTTTAATCTCTGGATAATGACTTATGGTACCGTAGAGTTGGAACCAACCCAGAGCTGACCCTCCTGCAGGCTTTCAGCGGCAGTTACTCTCACGGGAGGAACTGCCCATCCTTCTCTCACCTATGTACCAACTATCATCACCTTACAGTAGAATGACTGCCAGCTGAGGGTGGAGCACTAAATAAAATATCTTGAGACAACAGAATGCAAATTAGCTTGTAGTTTCATTAAATAAACATGTCAATATGCAGTGAGTAAAATATTTAATACAGCTAAAGTACACACGTTTATCTCCATTGAAGAAAATTGTCTATTTACATTCTAAATCACTTTTTATACCACTAAATCTTATGACACTTTACTTTTGTCTAAATTGTAAATTGTTCTATTTTTGTAAGGTTTTTCCTGGTGGCAAAGTAAAAACGAAGATGCGTTATGTTCATTCAAAGGTCCTTTAAATGTGCTACTTCACTGAGAAAGGAAGAGGAAGCCACTGTTGGATTCATTCTATGAAAGGAAAGGAGAGAAGAATGGTCTTTGAATTGGCAATGAGTCAGTGAAGTTAAGACACTAGTTCAGGGTGGAGGGGAAGGCTTGTATGTGTGGAGATTGAGGAGGGAGGGGGAAGGAATTCTACATCTAGAGTGAAAATTTTGTTAATTTGAAAGTACGTGAGAAACTGTCCCATTTTTGTTACTATACCAAGAAACTACTTCTTTTTTAAAAATTTTCATTTTATACTTACAAAGTTCATATTTATTGTTCTTAATGCAAATTTCTATAAAGAATAGTATTATAAAGTTGGTGATAATTTACTTTTGAAGACAGTTCTCAGTCAGGGGTTGCTCTCTTAACCCAGAGGAAATATTAATAACATTCAGTTTTGGAAGCTACAAAAGGGTCAGTACACACTTTGTTTTGTTGAAATGTGACAGCTATATTACTAAAGAAATCTGTTGCTAAAAAAATTGCCATTTTATGCCTGGTACATAGCAGGTACTTAATATACTTCAATGAATGAATGAATGAATTCCATTATTATTTAATTTAATAGTTATGATAGTATCTGTTTTAAAGTATAGTTAATCTAATGAATAGCATTAGCTATATTGTAGATAACAATTATTAATTATCAGTAAACATTAACTTATGTGATCACCATTATCATCATCATTATTATTATTTCTATGTAAGGACACAAATTACATAAAATCTGGATTCTGGTTTTAATGTACTTATTATAGTTAATAGAAAAATATATTTAAAAATGTGCTATAATACTAAGTAAAAAGTGATAATTTCATATGTAAAACAAAGAGTTTCACAAGTTCTAATGATAGAAAAAATTTTTTTACTAAGTAAGGCAACATTTGAGATAAAATTAAACTTTATAATGGGATTTAACCATGAGTATTATTAGGTCCAGTGGTCTAGAGGTAAGAAGCTGTACTGCAATTCTGAAGGCATATAGTTCAAATCCACCAGCTGCTCTGTGGAAGAAGGATGGGCAATCTCCTTCTGTATGATTAACAACTCAGAAAACCTGCTTGAGAGTCAGCTATGGGTCTGTTCCAACTCGATGGTACACCACCACCTCCAGGGTACACCACCACCTCCACAACAACACAACAAACATTGGATCAATGAGACACCACCTGCAAGTAAAGCACTGGACTAATGAGGAGACTTAGTTCCTGGAACTGCACTAGGTGTTCTGTCAAGATGCTCCGTGAGCTCAAGTAATTCACCTACGGTCTTCAGTACTGGGCCTCAGCTTTCTCATCTGTGTAATAAAGTAGTTGGGCAGGAGCTTGCAATTCAGGTCCAAAGTTCTAATTTGAGTGTTCAAATAACTTTCATGTGTATACACACACACACACACACACACACTGCTGTCAAGGCAGTCCAACCAAACACGTAATGCACCGTGCCACCAGTCAACTCACTGACTGACCTCCTGTAATGAGATTTTTTTCCCATTTCTTCAGGGCAACAGTAAAACTCAAGTGCAACAAGGTGTACTTGCTAGCAAAACATCATGTGAAAGGAAGGCGTTAATTATCTAACCCTTGAATGACAAGGCACACAAAAGAGATTTACACATCTAAACATGTTCAAGGGTGTGAAACAAGGAAAGGCATCCATACACATATGTGGCTGGTCGCCTCCGGGGAACTGGTTTTCTGGATGAGGGCTGCACAGGAAAGCAATCCTGAAGAACACAGCAGTAAGCTTGGAAGTTAATAGTGACATCTTTCACATCAGGATCCAGTGTCCCAGAAATGGGCTGATTCTGCTGAAGGTCATTTCTTCCAGACACTGAAAGAGAAGGAAAAGCAGTTTAAATGAATATGTGGCTTGAGCTTGAATAGAAATAGTGCATAGTGATGGCATTGGGGGATGATATTCTCTACATAATAACTTGGTTGCTGGTAGGTAGGTTATACACCTGGAGTCAGAACCACTTCATACCTGACCCTCCAGTGGATTTTGCACAGTTTCTTGCCACTAGGCCACCAGAGCCTCCTTAATTATTCAGTATAATGTAAATTTGTGGGATGGTTATAGGAAAATTCTACCAGAGCGTTCATGTCTTGTTGAGAAATACATAATAAAAATATTTATTTTATCAAGAAATTTCTATTATATTTATTCATTTTTTAAAAAGAATATAATTAATAAAAAATATCTAAGTTTGCTTTCTTTGTACACATTCCCTCCAGTTCTCTGAAACAAATGTGTTGGGACCATGAATAGGAGTGTTGGTGTCAAAAATTAATTCAAGTCAAAGCTTTCTCCAGAATAAAATTAGATTGCCCAATCATTTCAGTCAATAAATCTTTATTGAATCCTGTTATGTACAGAATACTGTATAATACATAAGGAACCTTCATGGCACAGTGGGTTCAGCTTTGGGTCAACTGAAAAGTCATCAGTTGGAGTCCAGCAGCCGCTCCAAAGGGGAAAATTGTGGCAGTCAACCCTAGAGACTTACAGTCTCTGAAACCCCATGGGCTGTCCTGGCCTGCACTGTGGGGTCACAATGGATCTGAACTGGCTTGAGGGCCATGGGGTATTGTATTTGGGGCACTCGGTGAAGATAATTATATCTGCTTCATGAATACGTACCAAGGTAATAAAGAGTACTCGTGTTTGCCTCAAGGTGCCAGTCTCCGTTCCTACTGGTATTCCAGTTCAGTGGGTTTGAAGAGGCATTCCTCATATCAATAATGTTAAACATATCAGGATTTTGAGTGAAATTATGTGATATTATCACATAATCTTCTTTCTATAAAAATTGCAGAAAATATCACTTGTTTTATGTCTTAATACTCTACATAATGGATTTTAATCTTATCATATAAAATCAGTCCTTTGCCTTACATAAAAAAATATTTTATTTTTGTTTTCTTTTCATCTGGCCTTTGTTTCATATTTTCCTTAACATTTTGGAGCTCGGCTAGCCTAGTGGATAAGGCATTGCACTACCAAACCAAAGGTGGTTGTTGTTGTGTGCTGTTAAGTTAGAACTGACCCATAGCTGACCCTCCACAGATTTTCTGAGGCAGTAATTGCATGGAAAGAGATTGTTGATCTTTCTCCCATGGGGCAGCTAGTGGATTTGAAGCACATGCCTTTGCGATTGCAGCACAGCTTCTTACCACTAGGTCATCAAAGTTTCCCACATGGAAGTGGTTCAAACCCACCCACTGCTCCATGTGGGCAATCTCCTCCTGTACAATTTAGAGCCTGTGAAGGGTCAGTTATGAGTTGGTTAAGACTGAGTGACATATAACAACAGCAATGGCAGTAGTGTTATTTGTAGTCGTAAGGCAGGAATTACTCACTTAAGACTTGCAAAAAGGTTTAAGTGGATAAACAGAGGACAGATTATGTGTACTGGTGCATACCCACATACACACGCATTCTGACATAAGGAGCGCCTGAACCCTCGGCTCGTACTGATGTCAGGATGATGTTTGAAAACATGCCAAAGAATGTGAGATACTGGTTTGGCCGCAGTGGAATGGAGTGTAAGTATAAGAATATGTATGAGGATGCAGATTACCGGATTCAGATGCTAGTTACCACGAGCATTTAGTACTACAGCTACTTAAAGGCGGAAGTGATAAATGAGAGCTGTAACACAGGATACTTCTTTAAAGTAAATATTCACGGGCTTTTTTATTCAGAGAGCTAAGTGTCTGGCATAGAACAGCTGCCTTTTCCATAATTTTCTTTGTTTGATATATTTCATAATCAAATAATGAAGAGCCTACCTGGTACCTAAGATGTCATAAGTGCACAATAAAAGCTAGTTATTATGTTATCAACAAAAAGGGCACAATATTAGCACTACGGTAATATGGTCAAATGAGCCCGTATATTTTACTCTTAATGGTTGCTGTTGTGTTGTGTACTGTCAAATCGGAACTGACCTAGAGCTGACCCTCCCGTGGGTTTTGAGAGGCAGTTAATCCCACGGGAGGAGATTGCCCATCCTTCTCAATGAAGGATTTTTTAAAAAAACCCACCAAACTAGCCTCCTGGAGGAGGTTTGATTTTGAGCAGATCACAAAATTTGCTCAGGCCTTTAATAGATGGTCATATGGGGCCAGGGCAACTGGAGTCTAACAACTGATGTGAGTAAAAACACAACTATAGTCTGTGTTTTACTAATACGCAATTGAAATAATTGTAAGACAGATTCTGTACCTCGTTGTTTACCTTAAAGCCATAGAAGGTTGATGTGTATGAAATGTTAGTTACATGATCTACACCCCTAAAATACCAGTTGATGTGATTTGCGTTTGGAATCAGAGCCATCCATCCAGATGCATGAGTCAGCCGTTTCTTCTGAAAAGGAACGATACTTGTGCCTGTAGGGAAACACCAAACAAAAATCAGATAATGATGATCTCAACTCCCAGAAAACTACTCCTCTTCTGTGCAAACACAATGGCAAAATACTGGTCAAGGCTGTGGGACTCTCCAAAGAGGTCATTCTTTAGGCAACAAATATCTTTGTCTCACAGAAGTCCTCAAATGTTTAATATGATGCTTAAATCAAACAAAAATGCTTTCTCACTAGGAAATTTTAAATTGAGACAAGGTTTTTGTTCGTTATCCAAATCAGAAGGCAAGTAGTCAACATCACGGCCTTGAAGTCAGATCCACTCATAGCTGACCATCCAGCGGGTTTCCAGACTCTGAAATGCAGGAGAGGAGAAGAGAGTGCCCACCTTTCTCTCACACAGCTGCTGGGGAATACAAACCACCAAAGAGGCCTTGGCTTTAGGTTAACAACACAGCCCCCTACTAACTGTACCACCAGAGTTCCTTCCTGAAATACTGCGTTATCACTGCCAAGATCAAGGTACTTAGATCTATCAATACTGTTCTCTAGTACACTCTCCTTTATCTGTTGAGATCATTAAAATGCATATATATACAGATGAGAACTTTCCGTGTATGCCACACCTAGACTTATCATTTGCTAGTGATCATGACACCCTAAAGTTTGTATATAACATAACCAGAACCTGGAGTACTTGCTATGGGAGGGGGGAAATGATATGTGTGTGTGTGTGTGTGTGTGTGTGTGTGTGTGTAGATATTCATATACACACATATATATTCATATACACATATATATCATGAATATAAAAAGTGATATAAAAAATTATATACATAAATTAGATTGTGTAGTCCATAGGGAGTTAGTTGCACTGTTAACCCAAAGGTGGTACCTCTTGCAGTCTTAAACTACCAGCAGTTTCTCTGGAGGAAAATGGGCAGTCTCCTCCTTTACAAATTGCAGCCTTTGAGAACCTACTGGGGAGCCTGCTGTGAGTAGGTTCTGACTTGGTAACAGTGGATTTGAGTTTGTTTTTATATATAATTTAGTAATACTTTGGCTATGAGTGAGTACTTGAACCTCAGTAGAATATTTTTAAAAGCCCTTTCGAATACAAGGAAAAATGTGTGTTTAATTGATCTTATTCTATTCTCTCCCCTTCAACCTGATAACATTTTATTTTAAATTAGCAACTCCTTTTCTCAAAAATTATTGGATGAAGAAGGTAGGAGCAAGACTATGAAATTAATTATCAGTTATTATATTGTGTGGAAAGATAAGAGAAAAATTCAAGGAAGAATTTCAAGGGTAAAATTCATTGAGTTAGTGTTTATTTTAATGGGTCTTAAGCAGAGCTACTTAAAGCTTATACTACCAAAAAGATTGAAAAATGTAATAACTATAATAATGTTCATGATTGCTTAGCAAATATCCAATCATTATGGTCTCTTGCAGGGGAAAAAAATTAGTTTCTCTATAATCTTTTCTAAACTTGATATATTTCTCAATACAGATAATAAAGCCACTTGACCTATTGTTGTTTAACTTTTAGTCAATAGCCCTGGGTTGAGTCAAAGAAAACAGCCTCCCACTCCTAATTCAGGCCATGGCTTATATCAGAGGGTTGGAAAATGAATAAGAATGATAGAAGAATAATTATGCCTTTTAGTTGTGGTGCTGAAGAAGATTGCTTAATATCCCATGGATTGCCAAAAGAACAAATAGATATGTCTTGGAGAAGGTGCAGCCATAGTGCTCTGTGGAGGCAAGGATGGCGAAGCTTTGTCTTCATACTTCGGATATGTAGCTAAGCAAGGCTATTTCTTGGAAAGGAACATCGTGCTTGAAGGATGGAGGGTCAGCAAAGGAGAGGAAGACCCCTAACGAGATGTATTGACATGGTGACTTCAGCAATGGGATTCAGTATATCAGATATGATAAGGATGGCACAGCATAGGGCAAGGTTCAGGCTGGCCATTCATAGGGTTGCTATGAGTCATACTTGAAGGCACCTAACAAAAACAACATCATGGTAACTGCTGTTCCTTCTGCCTGTGTCCTGGAAAAAGCACATGTGGGAAAGACCTGAATGCAAACTACAAGTACAAAGAGAGTTCAGGTACAGTATGTTTACCGTAGCAAACAGGTTCTGCTATGCTAGCAAATTGTTCGCCCACTGCACCTCAATAAGTAAAGAAAAGAAAAATCATTTGCAAGTAGTGGCAGGAACAGTGGTATAGTTTACTGATATGATCCACAGTCTGGGTTATTTTCCATGCCTTTTTTTTTTAAATAGTATTGTCTGAGATTCCTTAATCAGAAGACTATTAGAATTAATCCATAATTTCTCAAGTACCCAAAATGAGTTTGTTACTTGATTCTGCCTGGACTCTGACTGATATAAACGTTACACCTCTTCTGAGATGTTAAACATTAAGTGAAAGCATGAATATTACTACAAAAGCTTAGGAAAACATATTTTAATAAGTGTTTTAAACACTTGTATTCTACTTACCAAAAGACCCTGAGAGGACCACGTCCTTTTCCAGCAGAGAGGCTGGAGAGGGTTTGTTGAATGCTAGCCGGTGAAAGCTGACTGAGGCATCACAGACAGATCCAGGGAATCCAATGCTCCACTCGGGTTCTTGAGAGCAGTGAGAAGGGTCCAGTAAAGAGCTGTGTGGGATGACGGTGTGTCCTCTGTGTCCTGGAACATGAACGCAAACCATATGTTTTCCATTTCACATTTGTTGTTGGTTGCCCTAGTGACCTGTCCATGATGTAAAAGTGCATCACCAGTGATCAAAAGTCTTGGTAATATTTTTGTGTATATCATGGGGCAAGAGAGACCTCATGCAGAGACTGTTCATTTGACGGCTTAGTGAAGGACTAGTCTTGAAGACAGCTGGAATGTGGAATTGAAGTGAAGTAGAAATGAGAGCCCGAGTTGGTGAGCAGAGTGAATTTGTAACTTGGTCATGGATAGAACTTGGTCAAAGACAGAAACGTTAAAATTGAGGCAGCCTCATCATAAAACTTAAACTTTTAACCAATGCACTACCAAATGACCTTTAAAATCTACACAAAGTTTACATACCGAAAGAACTTCCTTTCTTTCTATCCATTGTTAGACCAGACTGAAGCCAACAGCAGCAGATGAGGAATGAAGCCTACTTAAACATTAAGGTGAATATTCTCAGACAGACTTCCAAAAACAAGTCCTTAATATCTGTCTTACCGGTCAATTCACTCTCTATTACATGACATTATATAGCATGCATTGCACATACATATAAGTTCTTGGTTTCTTATTTAGATAAGCCTTTATCATACACATTTGCAAAATCCTAAATACTGTTGTTGTTGTTGTATAGCATGAGTCAGAACCAACCCACAGTTGACTCTCTGGTGAGTTTTCAGAGGCTGTTAATTGTGAGGTAGGAGATTGCCTAGCCTCCTGTGGAGCAGCTAGCGGTTTTGAACCGTGTGCCTTCGAGATTGCAGTGTAGCTTTTTACCACTAGGCCACCAGAGTAAGAAACAGTAAATATTTAAAGAAAATATGACAAACTTTTGAAATTGAATTGCTGAAAATATTTGAGCTAGAAAGTGTATTTGAATTTTGTTCTAGCATTTACTACTTTTTTGTAATTATAGAATGAATATAAAAAAATGGCTAATCACAGGTCTGACATGTCCTTCAGCCCTGCAGAGTATTTTAGCCAATATACCAGAACTGTCTACATTTCCTGCCTAAGCAAATCTTTACTCTATGGATTATGGGATATAGCTGGCTAGAGAAAGTGGGTACCCATTTTAGCAGTTTCTTGTGCATATAATTCATATGTATATGTATGCATAATAAAGGAGTTCTGATGGCCTACTAATAAGAAGCTGAACTGCAATTCTGAAGGTGCACAGTTCGAATCCACTAGCTACTCTGCAGGGGAAGGATGGGCAATCTCCTCTCACGTGATAAATTGCTTCTGAAAACTTGCCAGAGGATTAGCTATGGGTCGGTTCCGACTTTACAGTACACAACAACATATGTATAGTAAGTACAGAATGGAGGAGTTTGAAAACTGCTGTGGACCTCTGTTATCATTGTTTCCAGAAACATTGCCCCAAATCCACCAAAATAAAAGTGCAAAACACAAGAAAAGTAACATATTTGGGGACAATGTCTGACAGTTGAGACTTATCTAGAAAAGTATGTCTCATTTGTGCCTGGTGCTAGCCTATTTTCTTAAAATCATTACAAAATTAGGTATTAGATCAGATTTATAGTTGATGTGAGCTTCTCTGATGATTTAACTTTATATAGTAACAAAGCTTTATTTTCAAGGTATTTTGTCATGAATTTTAAAATAACTCTACCTGTAAGTGTGCCATCAACATCAATCAGTACCATTTCATGTTCCCATCGGAACCCAGCCTTGTTGGGTGTGTTGAAATATTGGATGCCAATAAATTTTGCACTCCAGCCTCCACATCTGTCGTTACAAACACCGGTGATGGATGTCACTCCCAAAGCTGCACAGTTGGGTCGGTCAAAGTTCATAAAGTGGACAGAGGACACAGTCAAGCCCGCATTAAATGGGAGAAGCAGGCCTTTCCTCGTGCAAAATGCAGGCCCCAGTAGTAGTTCATCAAGATGACCAACGATTTTGGCATTTTTAATCACTGCCCCATGGGCTTCACCCCAGCCTCCAACATAAGGAGCCAGGATCCTCTTGGTTTCAATTCCAGCCTCGTAATTATTTACCACCACAAAGTTATGGAACTGAAGAGCACCCCCGTGGACCCACTCAGCTCCTTTCTGACAATTCCAAGTAGTGAGAGAATGAAATATTGCAGGCACTGGCACTGTAGAAGTGCAAGCCCCAGTTTCCATGGGGAAATACTCTTCAAATATCCACAGTCCAAACCAGCCTTGAGAATGCACAGTGTTGTTGAAGAATTCTCCAAGAGGAACTCTTTTTTGGCAAATATTTCGGTCATAGGAGGGCCCATCAGGGTGGTTGTTCATTCGATACCAAAAGCCAAAGTGAGTCCCACCAGCAGCCGCGTTGTGCCTGATAGTGTTGTTGGGGTTAGTTACCCAGAACGCAGCTGGGGTCACATCATCATTTAGAAGACTAGTACTTTGCCGCACAAATATAGCCAAGTTGTACTGCAGGATATTGCCGTGTTCAATACCATCTTCTATAAAAAATGCTCCTCCCTTGATATCATAGATGATATTTCTCTCAATCAGAAGGTGATGTGTGTTATGGATCGTAACAGCTCTGTTATAGGTCTGGTGGATTGAACATCCTCTCACATAAGACTGAAAATGCAAGTCTCCCAGCAGGTGCCAGTGTATTGGATAGCGCCCCAGTCGGAAAGCCTGGCCAACGTGGAATATCTGTCGGGTTAAGAAATCACGGCGAGTTACTGATCCACATTGAGTCAGCTCATAGTTTTCTTTTCCAAAATATCTCCAATTTTATATTAACTATTACTATATTCCTATGTTCTGTATTATTTATGGTTCTCATTTGGAAGAGTTAGTTGTACACTCCACTCATGCTTAATAGCCATATTTTTACTAAATAAATTAACAAATGTAGAAACAAAAGCTACCTTCTCTCTTTTCCTCTCCCTTTAGCCTATTGCCAACTTTTGTATTTTGGGAACCTTAAGATACATCCTTCTGATCCTATGGAGATTTTTGAAAGTATTTCTTTGAGTTTATTATGTTTAATATGTTTTAGTTGTTTGTGTATAAAGGATGCTCATCTAGATGATAACATAATTATGATAAAAACAAAAGGGAGAAAATATGGGAAGCCAATACTAAATATTTGTAATAAACTGAATGCTACTTAAATAAAAAAAAATACAAATTAAAGCCTGAAATAAAAACATCTAATTGCATAAAAAATTAATAAAAATTTCAAAAATACATCTTTCTGAATTGTTTATAAGGAATATATAATTACGCACTATTTGTATGACAACAGTCCAGAATAAGAGGTGCACAGCAAAGCCGACTGGGAGACAGGTGGGAGGGGAGGAAGAAAACTATTCAATAATGAAGGAATATTGTTTTTTAAAAAAGTGAACTGGAGGGGTAGGGAGGAAAATGTGTAAACAGTGGGTGAATCAAAATTTAACTCTTCTATAAACTTTTATTCAAGTCACAATAAAAGAAAATGCTACATTCCATGAAAAAAATGTAAAAATCATGGTATTTTCTAATGATAATCAGAAATTTTAAAGACATAGAAAGACTCATAAGTATCTGAGAAGAATCATATCCTCCTTTTTTTTTTTTTAAGAAACTGAAGGGCTGAGTGGCTTTTGTATGATAATAAAACCCCATTTAGTACTTTGGGGTCTGATGCTAGACTGGTGCTTTTCTTAACTCCTACGGGCTTCCTTTCAATACATCTGTGATCTAACAATCTACTACTCATTCTCATTACCTTCAAGTAAATTTTGACTCACAGAGACTCTAAAGGATGGAGCTGAACTGTCTCATTTGGTTTCCAAATTTAACAGAACAGCAAGCAACAAATGCTGGCGAGGTTGTGGAGAAACTGGAACCCTTTTCACTGTTGGTGGGAGTGTAAAATGGTGCAACTACTGTGGAAGGCAGTATGGCACTTTCTCAAAAAGTTGCAAATAGAGATACCCAGTAATTCCACTACTGGAACTATACCCCAAAGAGACCATAACTGACATCCAAGCAGATATACGCACACCCATGTTTATTGAGGCTCTGTTCACAATAGCAAGGAGTTGGAAACAACCTAAGTGCCCATCAACAAATGAATGGATAGAGAAGTTGTGGTATATTCACACAATGGAATACTATGCTGCATTGTAAAACAAGGAACTCATGCAATATTATTCAAAATGGGTGACTCTGGAGGACATTATAGTATCTCAGTCACAAAAGGACAAATACCGCATGGTGCAGTATGAAAATGGTAAGATGCAGAAACACACCTGATCTCTTAAGGAAGTGGACATAGTGAATATATTTAGAAAATACTATAATGTATGTAACATTACATTGGTTATATTGATATTGTTTATTGACTTATCTCCCCTTATGATTGTAAGTGGAGAGCTCTGGTGACCTAGTAGTAAGAAGCTGCACTGAAAACCCAAAGGCATGTGGTTCAAGGCCACCAGCTGCTCCATGGGAAAAGGTTGGGCATTCTCCTCCCAGGTGATTAACTGCCTCTGAAAACCCACAGGAGGGTCAGCTATGGGTCGGTTCCCACTTGATGGTAAACAACAACAACAATAACAACATGACTGTAAGTAGTATTACATGATGGTGAGTATGTTTGTACTTTGATTACAAGGAGTACAATCCCTATAAACCATGTATGATAACAAGGATTGTGTACTCCATTGTATGACTGTAAGTACAATTATATCTCCCCTATATGATTTTAAATAGTGTCTGGCAAAGTGTAGGAGCTCAGTATCTGTTTATTGCTTGGGAAAGTGCTAAGCTTAATAAAAATGACTCTTACCTCCACATATTCTATTCTTCCAGTTACCATATTAGCACTAGGTACAGGAGCATGAAACATAATGCAGCCTCCAAACTGGTCACTTCCTATTTCTTCTCCAAATTTTCCTTGAAGACATGTCTGTGTAGCAAATTCACCTTGAAAAAGATTTTTGAAGATATGAGAAAAGAAAAATCATCTAATAATCTTATTATGGGTAGATAATGAAGGGATTTTTTTTGTCTCAGTTACATCTCTTAATTTGCACACAATTTAGATCTCATCCATTTTATAAGCAGAACAAGAAAACAGGAATGGGAAAATGGTGACGTTGAGGTATTTACCTTCCCTGAATCTCTTGTGGGGTGAGAGGGTCTTGGTGGGCTCCTGCACCCTTCAGCCAAATGGCACAACTTCTGTGAGACAGCTGTTATGTGCCCTCAAGTAGACTCTGACTCACGGCAACTCTATGAATAGTAGATCCGAACCCTGCTCTATCCTGCACCATCTTCAGCATCTGTGGCCATTGTTACAGTGACTGTGTCAGTCCATCTTGTTGGGAGTTTAACTCTACATAAATCTCTCTTCTTTTTAGATTAACATACTCTTCTTTCCCCTCACCAGCTCAGGCCTAGCTGTGATTACAGCCTCTGGAGAGCTTGTAGGACTGTACTCTGGTACTCAGAGATGTTAGTGGAGGATGCTGCAATGGATTTCATTTCTCTGATCTTAGTGGGGAAAACAGAAACTCCAAAAACGGAGTAGCACTTAGCTATCAGATGAAAACAAAACAAACAAAGAAAAAAAACCCACTTGCAGTTGAATAAATTCAGACTCATGAGTAGACCTGTGTTCCATTAGGTTTTTGATGTCTGATTTTTCAACATTCATTCATCATTCCCATTGAGTCGGAACTGACTCATAGCTGACTCTTCAGCAGGTCTCTGAGGCTGTAAATCACACTGGAGGAGATAGTTATTTTTCACTTTCAGATCTGCTAGTGGATTTGAACAACCAGAGAGGAATGGCCTTGGAGTTAGCAATGCAACTCCTTAAAGACCAAGCCAGGAAAACTCACTGATTTTTCAGAAGCAGAGAGTAAAGTCTCTCCTCTGAGATGCCTCTAGATAGATTCCAACCACCAACTTTCCAGTTAGCAGCCTAGTGCATTCACCTTTTGCACCACTAAGGGACTTCATCAAATATTGTGATAAGTGTACTTGCCACAATAATTGCGGTCCAAAGGGCAGCTCTAAGGTTCTGATTTGCAGTGATATGTAGTGACAGTTTATCACATAGCATACTCTGGAGCTCTTGAGACTATACATATGCAGAAAAACCACACAAGTCTTTGGTGGACAGAAATAGAACTCAAGTTTCCCAAGTAGAAATTTTCTGCTCCTTCCTTATTTCCTAGATCGAAGCCAATTCGCAGACGCATAGTCTCTCCTTAAAAACAGCATTAGCATTTCAAATTTTTAACATTTAATTATACATACAAGATAGCAAATTTGCAGTTTGAAATTAAAATTCTGTATAAGCCAAATAAATTTTGAACTTTTTTTTAGCATGATTATATAAGCCATGCTCTTGCTGCTAAAATTACCTGTGTTGAACCCATCAGGGCATGCTGGAATTCTATCATTCCACTCTACATTATCAGACCCTTTAATTAAAATATTTCTTGTGAGAATTCCAACTTCTGCTCTTGCTTCAAACACAGTCCCGTCGGGGAGCGAGACAGTGATTCCTAAGTGTGTGTAGTTGAGCGGGTTGGCAAGTGTTATGTTCATGCCATCAGGAGATACAGATGCAATGGTTCTTTTCTCATTTTCTCGTTGACTATGTCTAGAAAACACATACAGGAGCACTTTTAGACTTAATGTAAACATTTCTTAATTTTTTCATATTTGATTTATGCCAGTTTGAACATCTTCTTGTTGCAAGATAAAATAATATTTTTATGACATACAATATTCCAAAGATTACTATATAGATATGATTTTACTCTTCCTTAGAGTAACGACAAACTTTGCAAACACATTTCAATTTAATTGCATGATTATGGTTTATCATTACAGTTACTGTGCTAAAATCTATTAAGTTTTCAAAAGAACAAAAACATTTAAAAGTAAAATGCAAAAAATACTCAGGGTAAGAAGCTAAAGTATTACACGAATCACTAAAAGGAATACCAGCATCCAAAAGATTAATGAGCAAAGAACATGAATCCCCCATATTACTCAGCATATACAGACAAATTATTTATTAAAGCAATAGGAAGATGCTAGCTTCTAGCTACAAAATTAATCAATTGGTGAAAACATGGGAGCTCTGATGGCTTACTGGTAAAGAATTGCGTTGTCAACGCAAAGGTAAGCAGTTCAAATCCACCAGTTGCTCCACTGGAGAAAAATGAGCAATCAATTCTCTCCTGGTTTACTGCCTTTGAAAACTCACTGGATTGTCAGGTGTGTGTCAGTTCTGACTTGATGCTACACATCAACAACAGCCACAATGGCAGTCAACAACAGTCCACGTTGGCAATGTTGTTGTTGTTGTTGTTGTTGTTGTTATGTGCCATCGAGTCGCCTGTGACTCAGCGACCCTATGTACAACAGCCCTAAACTCCGCTCTGTCCTGAGCCAATTGCACTGTCTCCGATACACCCCCGTCACTGAATCAATCCACCTCATAGAGGGCCTTCCTCTCCTGTGCTGTCCCTCCACCCTCCCAAGCATGATGTCCCTCTCTAAGGACCGGTCTCTCCTCACAACATGTCCAAAATATGTTAGACAGAGCCTCAGAATCCTTGCTTCCAAGGAGCCACCCGGTTTAACCCTTTCCAGGACAAATCTGTTTTCCTAGCAGTCCATGGTATTCTCAATACTCTTCTCCAGCACCACAGCTCAAAGGCATCAATTCTCCTTCTATCCTCCTTGGTCATTGTGCAACTCTCTGGTGCATAACAGGTGATTGTGAAGACCATGTCCTGTATCAGACGCACCTTATTCTCCAAAGAGACACCATTACTCTTCAGCACTTTGGAGAGGTCCCTAACAGCAGACTTTCCCATTGCAATGGATAGGTATCCTGGTGGATGGTGAAGCAGGAAATAAGTGGGTAAAGATGCGTGTGAGAAAGGCAGGGACAACACTGACACTAAAGTTAACTCCGCAATAAGGGATATACCTTTAACTTGCTGGTCTGTCTGATACTTCTCTAAACCTGAACATTCACATTGAGACAGACTAGGAAGAAGGATTGGCCATCCACTTCTGAAATAGCAGGCCTCTGAAAACCCTATGTATGTACATTGGCAATAGCAAAGTGAAATACACAATGATGATATTTATGGTATGGGAATATGTACGACAATTGGATGTGATGTGATGGAGAGTAATTTGACATCACATGTCATGAATCATAAAAATGTATATGCTTTTTAAAAAATGTACATGTTTTGACTGATACATTCTCTCTTAGAAAGTCATCTTAAGAATGAAAATGTTTCAAATCCACAAATACAAATGCAGAAAGATATTTATTATAGCATCCTTTACAAAAAAGGATGGTAAAAAGTAAAAAAAAAACCCTTAGCAACAACTTGTAAGGTCAACTATAATACAAGTAAGTGATGAATGTTATATTACCACCAAGAGTTTGTAAGGATCAAATAAATAATATGATAGAGCTACAGAAAAAATTAGGGTTCCATATTAAATATACAGTGTTATCTTAATTTTGTAAAAATATTAATTTTACAGGAAATGAAAATAACTGCTTAAATAGTAGAATTATATTTTCTACTTAGATAAGCTTCCCAGAATTTCAATTAAAAACATGAGAAAAGTAATAAAAAACATACCAGAAGTCCTTTATGCCATATTATTTCTTTGAAAAAATAAAATATAAATACCTCTATCAGTGTGAAAACTCAAGTCTTATCATAAGTTCACAAAGTCTAAGAGAGCAATTCTTCATTATAGTTGGATATTAGAATTATAGTTCTGAATATATTCTGTTATTGTAAGGGAGCACTGGTGGTCTAGTGAAAAGAAACTGCACGTCAATCCCAAAGCCATGCGGTTCGAATCCACCAGCTGTTCTGGTGGAGAAAGATGGACAATCTCCTCCTGTGTGATTTACTGTCTCTGAAAATGTGCTGAAGGGTCAGCTATGAGTCAGTTCCAACTCAAACAACAACAACAACAACAAGAACAACAACAAGTTTTATCTTGTTGTTGTTGTTGTTATGTGCCGTCAAGTCACTTGCGACTCATAGCGACCCTATGTACAACAGCCCTAAACTCTGCTCTGTCCTGTGCCAAACGCACTGTCTCTGACACTCCTATCCCAATTATCCCAGTTACTGAATCAATCCACCTCATAGAGGGCCTTCCTCTCCTGCGCTGTCCCTCCACCCTCCCAAGCATGATGTCCCTCTCCAAGGACCAGTCTCTCCTCACAACATGTCCAAAGTACGTTAGACGGAGCCTCAGAATCCTTGCCTCCAAGGAGCCACCCGGTTTAAGGATCTCCAGGGAATAGGCACAAATCCTTAAAAACTCTTCAGATGATTTTAATGTTTGATGATCTGTACCATTTACCTTTCCTTGACACAGACACAACTCTGCTCTAGGCCGCTGGTCTTGCTATTCCTCAGAAACAAAGGCTAGAGCCTGGAACTTTTCCCTATGCTATTTGTAGATATCATTCCCTCACTTTCTTTAGTTTTCTGCTCAAACATCACCTCATCATGAGGACTTTTCCTGATACTCTCTCTGTCCTTCCTCATTGTTGCTGTTGGTAGGTGCTGTTGAGTCAAGCATGATCCTAGTGAATCTATGAAGTCACAGAACCCTGTCCTATGTTCTGAACTCTGTCCTGTCCTGTGCCAGCCTCATCAGATCTGATGCCCATGAACCAACTGCAGGAGTCACTGTGTCAATCCATCGGGCTGAGGGTCCTTTTATCTTTTGCTAACTCTGCGTATTTCCAAGCATGATGTGCCGATCCAAAGAATAGCCTCTCCTAACAACAAGCCCAAAGTATGGGGAAGTTGTTTTATGTCTCCCGCCCTCCCCAGTGTTTTTAATCACCTGCTTTGCATCTGAGACTTGGACAATGAATAAGGATTGATGCCTTTGAGTTGTGGTGTTGGAGAAGAGTGCTGAATGGACTCTTATGGACTGCCAAAAGAACAAATATGTATGTCTTGAAGAAACTGCAGCCAGAGTGCTCCTGGGAGGCAAAGATGACAAATCCTTCCTCATCCTCCTTCCCAACTGTCTTACCACTCATCTGCTCTTGCTTTGTTTTTCCATATAGTTTTTCTGACTTGTATCTTTTCTTGCTCTCTAATTATTGTTGGACTCCCTGTAAATGTCAAAACCAAAAGAACTTGGTTTTGCTTTCTACTTTTCTCTCATAAATGGCTAGGAAAGGTGCCTGGCATGAAACAGACACTCCATTTGCTATCAAGCTGGAACTGACTCATAGCTGACACTCCAGTGGGTTTCTGAGGCAACTGCAAAGGAGGTGATTGCTTATCTTTCTCCCAAGCACTGCCTGGTAGATTCAATCTACCAGAGAGGTATGATCTTTGGGCTAGTAATGCAACTCCCTGCAAACCAGGACACTGAGAGCTGTAGATACCGAATGAAATGAAATCAATAGCAACTGAGACAAGTAACTATTAGTAAATGAAATGAATATTAAAATGAATACTCACAAATGACTTGAGTGTGTATCAGAATAAAAGCTACGATGTTAAGTGCTGTCAAGCACGACTCTTAGCGACCCTATGAACAAAAGATTTGAACCCTGTTCTATAACTATCATCATTTCTCTAATGTTCACAGAGATTCCAAAGGCATGTTGCTTAGGATATGGATGCCAATCATGCTTCCAAGCTTGTCTTAATCTGGGAGCTCCACCAAACACTGTTCTTTATGGGTAACCATTATGGCATTTGACACACCAGTGGCACAGCGTTCAGTATCATATAACTCCAAGTTATCTCTATACAACAACCTAACAGAGCAGTGCTGTACCACTTAGAAGAATGTTCTTCCCAAACACAATTAACAACAAAATAAGAGAACCTCCCTTCCAGAATCCAATTGCTTCACACATGAGTCTCCAAACTGGAAACTTAGTCAGGGCCCAATCAACTTTTAAATACAAAGGCCGCTCAGCAGGTCTTGATTGACTTAAACAAGAGGCTTCCAGCCCATAGCTGATAGCTAAATCCAATAAATTCAGCTCACTTATGACTGTTGTTATTGTTATGTGCCGTGGAGTCACTTACAACTCATAGGGACCCTATGTACAACAGCCCTGAAATCTTCTCTATCCTGTGCCAACTTTACTGTCTGTGTCACACCTGCCCTCATTACCCTACTCACTGTATCAATACCTCTCACTGATGGTCTTCCTTTCTTTCTCTGCCTCTTCACCATTCCAAGCATGATGTCCCTCTCCTCCTTGCAACATGCCCAAGGTATGTCAGAAGAAGCCTCAGAATCCTTGCCTGGCTTCAACCTCTCCAGAACGAACCTGTTTGTTCTCCTGGCAGTCCATGGTATATTCAACACAATTATGAACATAATAAAAATAAAAACAACCCAGATTTTCAACTAAAATAAGAGAACCTACCTCCAGAATCCAACTGCTATAGTAAATATAAATTCTTACAGGAGTTTGAGATTAGAGATATTGAAATGAGCTGGACAGTCCATCAACAAATGAATAGATAGAGAAAGCTATGGTATATTCACACAATGGAATACTATGTAGTACTGAAAAACAAGGAACTCATAAAATATTATACACAATGGGTGGCCCTGGAGGACATTATGCTGTGTGAAATATCTTAGTCAAAAAAGGACAAATACTGCATAATGCCACTGTTATAAAACAGGACTGACATGAGGGGTAGGGAGAAACTAAGAAAAGAGGGGACAAATAATATACCCTGCACTGAAATAGATAAGGAATAGAACTGCTTAAAAAGAACATATGTTTAGGTATTATTTGCATAACAATAATAAGAGCTGCATAGTAAGGTGGACTGGGGGAGGGGGTCGTACACAATGGAAGAAATTTTTTTCAAAGTGAAAACTGAACTGGGGGGATGGGCAGGGAGAAAGATGTGCAACAATGAACGAATGGAAATCTAAGTTCTCTATAAACTTTCACTAAAATATCAATTTTTAAAAAATGAGCTGGATAGGATGGGCAAGTTTTCAGAGTAGGACTAGTACTCACACGAGATTCCAAGCAGCCAGATCGCTCGGTTGAAAACAAGAGTGTAGGAATGTGGCAGAATGGGCTCAGAAGCGTATAGGCTTTGAAAAGATCTACTTTAGAGACAAGGTTCATATGAACAGCAAGCATATTAGTGTATAACTTAGAGGATCACGTTGAGAAACCAGAGAATGGACTGTTGTTGTTAGGTGTTGTTGACTTGATTATCCTCTGAACAGATCCTAATCTTGCCTCTCCTGTGTCATCCTCACAGTCTCCGACGAGCTCGAGTCCACGGTGACAGGCACTAACTATGTCAATCCACCGGGTTGAGGATCTTCTTTCTTCTCTTTCCCACACCATTTCCAGCATAATGTCGCTTTCCACCATTGAGTTCTTTTTAAAGGATAGATTGGTGGTTCTCAATCAAGAGTGATTTATAAACCAGTAAAAAACAACAAAAATAATTAAAAGAGTGCTTTGTCCCCTAATGGGATCTTTGGTAATATTTGTAGAAAATTTTGATTGTCATAAGTGGTGCATGTCCCAGATATGTCCCTGGTGCTGCTAAGCTTCCCACAATACACAGCAAAGCTGTTGTTAGCTGCCTTTGAGTTGGTCTCCAAATCACAGTGGATTCAATCCTTGACTATCCTCGTGATTGGTTGTGGGTCAATAGGAATGTCATCGGCAAGCCAATTTTTCAGGGAGCTCGGGTGGCCTAAGGAGTAGAGTGTTAAGCTATCAACTCAAAGGTGGATGGTTCCAATACACCAATTTCTCTACAGGAGAAAGATGGTCAGTCTTCTCCCATATGATTTAAAGCCCCTGAAAACCCTGTGATGGGTCAGCCATGAGTTGTTTCCTCCTTGAAAGTAATGAGAAAGGGAGTGAGTCAATTTCCAAAAGTAGATCACCAGGCCTTTTTTCCTAGTAGTCTGTTACAGACCGGAAACTCCACTGACACATGTTCAGCATCACCTCTCTCTCTTTCTCATTGCCATTGGCCACGCTGCCTGCCTTGGCATGGGCAGTGCAACTCCTTACCCACTAGGCCACCAGAGCTCCTTGTTCAGTACCATGTTGTTGTTGTTGTGTGCCTTCAAGTCAGAAGTGACCCACAGCTTTCAGTGAGTTTTCCAAGGCAGTTCATTGCACAGGAGGAGACTGCCCATCTTTCTCCTGCGAAGCAGCTCGTGGATTGGAACAGCCTGCTTTGGGGATTGCAGCCCAGCTTCTTACCACTAGGCTACCACAGTTCCCTACTCAGCATTATAACAATGTGAAATGCGCCACTGACAGATGAGTGATGGTTGCAGGCACATAAAGTGAGCTGGACGGCAGATGAAGTGGGTCTCCTGCGTGAATGGCAAGGCTCCTACCACTAAAGTAACAATTAAAAAACTATCTCATTTAAAATTTGATATTTTGGTTGAGAGATCTTGACAGGGAGGCTCCTAAACAGGGAAGATAAACAATTAAAGACTTTAAAGAGACAAGTGTATCACTGTTTAATTGTATACTCCCTCCTACAAAGGGGTAAGCTTAGCAGAATTACTACTGTGACATTTTCTTTTGACTCTTTTCTCCTTGGGCAGAGTCTTTTTTTTGTTTTAAATGTCAGTTTAAATGTCATGTGAAATAGGTTAAAAGTCACCACTCTGAATTTTACAAATCCCTCCTCCATATTGTAATCCTGTCATTTATCTATTCTGCTGTCCCTTATGCTAATTGATCCCTCCATGAAAAGGACCCTGTTAAGTCGTTCTGTGTGCTGAATACCTAGTACAATGCCTGTCATTACAGCTTTTGATGGATTGATCGACTCAATGCAGAATAAAATGAGTGTGAAAAAAAGAGTAGAGGAGTGGAAAGCAACCTGGAAGCGGATGTAGCATTTCCACATCTCAGAAGCTAATGGGAGAAGATGTTGGAAGAGACAGTTCAAGGATCAGAGCCAAAAGAACACTGCGGTGTGCGGAAAGTGAAGAGTTATAATCATTAGAAAGTCCTGGTGAGGTTAATATGAAGGGGGCGGGGGAAGGAAAAAGAAAGAAAGTAGCTGGAGGGGACAGCAGACCACAAGTTCTTTGGAAGATCATGAGGGGATGGAAAAACTATTAGAGGGTAGAGAAATAAGGATGCAAGAGATTAAGGAAGAATCAATCCATGGAACAAGAAGTCACCTACCACCACGACCACCCCCCCTCAAAACCCCTCAACTTCCTAATGTTGATTTCAACTCCAAGCAACCCTACAGAAAGATCAGAACAGTGCTTCCAATGCTGGCAAATTCCAGGAAAGCAGATTCCCATAGCTTCATTGGAGAGCTAGTGGACTCAAACTGTTGACCTTTTGATTAGCGGCCAAGCACGTAGCTGTTTAATCACTTGGGTAGCTAGTTCAAGATCCCACAAGAAGTGTAAGAAAGGACTTCAGACTACTTGGTCAGAGAATTCCCTTTGTTTTTGATGACAGTCATTTGTTCAGAAAAATAAAAAAACAAACTCTTAAAATAATTGTGTTAAATGTACCTAACACACAAATTTTTCCTTCTTATATCATTTAACTCTTCTATAGCATTTCTTTTGGGCCATATTCTGCTCTCTGCTTTAGACATAATAACTGATTTAATCCTAACAGTAATTCTACGAGGTGCATGCTACTATTGTTCTGATTTTACTGAAGTACAGATCAATGAAATAAAACAGTCACAGAAAAAAAAAACAACAACAAAAAACAGTCACAGAACTGATAGAAAACTTTCTCTTAAAGACTTGCTTTATAAATCTTAGAATAAAGTTTATCAATGAACAGACAACAATGAGATATCCTTACCAAACTTTTAATTCATGTTTCTTAAGACTATGCTAAATTACAAGCTTACTCTTTTATTTCATACAGGAAGCTAAAAATGAGGGTTATTCTATTCTATTAGTAACCCCTTTCATTTGAAGCCTTTTTAAAAATAAAAATGTTGCCATTATATAATTAAGATTTCTTCTAAGAGTAGAAAAAAACAGGCATTTCTAACGCTAATTATATATTTAATTCTTCCTAACATCTGCTTGTGTATTTATAACTCAGAAAATGGCAAACTCAAAATGCCAGCTTAAACTTTAATTTTTACATTGAGTCATAGCTTTAACACAATTTCGTTTTTCCCTGTCATAAAATTACTACTTATTCTCTGAGCCATATCCAATATTACTACTGCTTATAATTTAAAGTGACAATAAGGGTCCCTTTCCCCCCCTCCCTTGCTATATGCGTAGTATAATTTTATTCATAGTCTTCCTTTTGTTTCTTCCTCACTAAAATAAAGAATTAATCAGAAAATAAGGGTTATACTATGTTTTCATTTTAAAATGTCTGGCACCTCAAAGGTCAAGTTAATAATCACTTCTTCTATTATGGTTCCTTCCCTTTTACTCAATCATTGCAAGCACTTGCACATCACTCTTCGAGAACCACTGGCAGAATAAGAATTTAGTAGCTGCTTTCAGTTTAATTAGTTGATGTCTTCAAACAAAGATTTTAATTCACACTTTTTCATATATTAGCATATCAAGGTAGAGTTGTATATCAGAGCCTTTTATTTTTTAGCAACAGAATGGCTTTTCAATGAAATTTTACAGAAGAACCTACTCATGTAAAAGAGAGAAAATATTTTACTAGTATGTATTTATTCCATAAGTTTAAATTTATAATTTTTCTTATGAGTTCATTCAATCACTCATCATATGATCACTCGATCAAGAAAATGTTAAGATGGGGCAAATGTATACTTGAGTGTATTAGAGGTTTCAGGATGACAGACAATAAACATTAAGTGGATGAGTTGTGTCCCATCTAAATGATCCCCTTATTACACGGTTTAAACATCTCGACTCCAGATCAAAGTCATAAATCTCTGAAAACTTCTTACCTGTGTCCTGTGCTTGCAATGACAATGTCATCTCCTGCCTTCCAGGTTACAGCTTCTTGTAAAACCAAGGTGCTCTCCCCGGCCTCGGCTGTGTGAGCCAAACGCGTCCAGACCACGGGCACAGGCAGGCCTAAAACCCAACATGCGGACAGGGCATTTGTTCAAGATTATTGAGCACTTTTTAAATTTTAATCTTGTCCTGGATTGAATCCATTTTGGGAAGGTGCATTTTTACCATAGGTGCATTTTAAACCTTTCTAAAAAATGTATGTTATTCTTTCTATAAAATGTCAAAATGATGCTTCTTAACAACACAAATGGTTTTATAAAAAGGAGTGCTTGTGGCTCAGAGGTTAGAACATTTTGCTAACATCAAGGGTGGCAGTTTAAACTCCTTGGGAAGAAGTGGAAGAAGTCTAATTCCGTAAAAATTTATAACTTAGAAATACTATGGGACAGTCTTATGCTGTCCTATAGAGTCACTATGAGACAGAGTGGGTTTGGAGTATGCATGGGGATTTTTGAGGAGGGAATGTTGGAAAGGGTGAATCCAAGTTTCTCCTTGGAGGCTAGGATTTTGAAGCTCCTCCTCACATACTTTGGGCATGTGGCCAGGAGAGACTGGTCCTTGGAGAAGGACATCATGCTCAAAAGGGTGGAGGGACAGGGCAGGAGAGGAAGACCCCAGATGAGATGGATTGATACAGTATCTGGGGCGGTGGGGGTTAGTGTGTCAGAATTAGTGAGACTGGCTCAGGACAGGGCAGGGTTCGGGGCTGCTGTACATAGAGTTTCTATGGGTCACAGGTGACTTGATGTCACATAACAACAACAATAATATGGTCCTATGAAATTTTTGTTTTTTTTAAAAAAAATACTTTTCTTCTACTCCATTTATAACAGTTTCATGTACAGAAGCAATGTAAATATTGTGTGATGGTGTCATTTGTATAGGAATTGCTTAAGATGATAATGGAAGAATGAAGTTTGTAAAGTCTTAAGAAATTATAGCTACACAAATCTATTTAGCCCAATGCACCTCTAAAGTATGAAAAATACAACACTCTAAGCATACAAAAGAGATACATTACAATATAGAATTCTTTACTATATAAAAGAGATGCATTATGGTATAGAAAAAAATTCTTTAATGTAAAAAAAGGATCCAAACTATGCTTCCTTTAAACAGACAGTTCCAGTGCCTCAAACATGGTCAGTATGATTTTTATGTCCTGACAATTTTCCAGAATATGTTCTTACAAAGTTTTAAGTGCTATTTTTAAGAAAAAGACTCTTTTCAGATACAAATAAATTACTAATTTCTACTTCTAGCAAATGAGTGTTGTGTTTTTTTTAAATGTAGACAAATAACTGAATTAACAATCACAGGAAAGGGCTAATTTAAACAAAAGATGCCCTTGGTGTAGAGAGGCCTCAGGAAGTGCTTTCAGCAGGGTAGGCTAAGATGGCCTGGCCTGGTCTGAATGCAGGTGGAGAGGGATGTTCTAGGATGTGGGAAAGGCTGGCAAGCGCTCCTTTAGGGAATCCAGTCAGAACTACTCTCTCTGTTTTCCTGGCTGATTCCTCCTCTAGCAGGCTCCTGAGTGCTGGCTACTGAATCATACCATGCAGATCCAGGACACCCTCTCTCACGGCCAGTGTTTTGGCGCCATAAACAGGGAGCTCAGGGGATCGCAGGTGCCCATGCAAAGTGATGATCGCCTTGTGTTTAAATGGGGATGCTTCTGTTCCAATCTGAAAGAGATGTCACAAGCATCACTGGAAAGCAAAACCCCAAGAGCCACATATCTAATTACACCAATGACCTCTTCCCTTGTCGCTTCTCACATTTGAGAATTGACTCTTCAACTATTCAGTACCTTTCTCCTCAAATGAAATTTCAGTTTTCTACCTAGCCAAATACAACATGTCAACTCTTAGAAAATGTGTTGTTCAGCCATACCACAGAGCTAATTTTCTTCTGCTTTAATTTTAAATGTTCTCTGATGGCAACACACTGATGTACTATCTTATCAATAAAAGAGGAAGAATACTTCCAAGAAACTTTTTCTTATCAAAGGGATTTTATACCTACAGATATATAAGCAAATATAAGCTTGAGAGAGGATGGCATAATGAAGAATTATTATTATTATTATTATTAATTATTATTATTATTTTGTGCCTTCGAGTTTATTTTGACTTGGAGTGACCCTACAGACAGGGTGAAACTGCCATAAAAGGTTTCCTCAGTGGGAATCTTTACAGAAGTCAATTATTAGGTCTTTCCGCCAATGGAATGGCTGGTAGGCTTGAAACTCCAAACTTTCGGTTAGAAGTTGGGCACTTAATCATTGGGCTAACAAAGTGCCGTATTTTGTACATCACGCAGTCACTCCCTTATTCAGTGCCTTCAAGTCAGACCTGAAACATAGCCGATTCTCCTTCGAGTTTCCAAGATTGCCAATTACATGGAAGGAGACCACCCTCCCGAGGAGACACTGGTGGATTTGAACCATCAGAGAGCTGCACCTATTGAGTTAGCAGCACTGCTAATGGTCTGCAGCACAGCTCTCTGTTACAGAGCTCTCATGTACATACAGTATTTTACAAAAGCTTGGAAAGGAATAGATATAAAATTCTCTCACATACCTGAAGAGTGCCTCCATCTGTAATTAGGATATTTTCTGCCTGAAGTTCAAGATCAGCTTCATCAAATATTAGAGTTCCACCTATAAACCATACAATTTTGAAATATAGCTTGAGGAAAGACATTGTTAAACTAGGTATTAACTATTTTCTCATTCCTGTACTCCTATTTTACTACGTATATAAATTTCACATTGATTTTTGACACTATAAAAGTATAAAAACTGATCAAGCCCAGTGAAATGAGAGAAATTCCCAAGGTGGTTGTTTTGCCTTTTACTGTCCTTATTTAAATGTTATTATGTAACACAGCTTCATAAATTAGAGTTCTAAAAACTCAGGGCCTAGAAATAAATTAAGAATGAAAAAATTCAAATCAAAGAAGAATTTTTATGGAAACTGTAATGTCAACATTAGCTTGAACTTTTATCTGGATTCCTGGATATTGTGATGGATTAAGCATTCGTTGCTAGCCCACTAGCCTTTCAGTGGAACACCAGGGAGCCCACTTCCAACGACTTCCAGGCTTGGAGACCCTATGGGATAGTTCTACTCTGTCCTTCAGGGTTATTATGAGTCAGAATCAACTTGTCAGTAGTGAGGTTTTTTCCAAGGGGTAGGATTTTACCCTTTTATTTGTTCTATAAACAGTTACAGCTTGATTGACATTATTAAAGAACACCTGGAATAAAATCTGTGTGAAATGAATATTTATAGACAACATTTTACTTGTCCAGAGGTTCAATATTTAATAACTTAAAAATCTCTGGACAATGTTGCTGTTATCTCAGAAGTTAAAATAAGAACAAAACAAAGAGTCCTTGAGTAGCTAAAATCATTTTGGCAAAACTCAGGCATTAAAGCCCTGAGTCCTTACATTAACTTCTTTTCCCTTACATGCAATTGCAACTGATTGACTTAATAAAAACAGAGTATCAAGAAGCAGAGAGGATTTCAATCCAAATCACAACTTGACATTCAAAGGAAGTCAGAAGGATCAGTTAGGACAAAATACGATAAGCTCTCATGAACTCACTATGCCAATGCTTTTCTTAGTGGAGAATACCCTGTACCATGACGCAGCGCAGGTGGGCGATCATACTCATACACATGTTATTGCAACAAAAGTTTCATGAAGCAGCATTTAAGAGATAATGTTACCTTATATGTGCAATATACCCTGCTATTCTCTAACCTTATTAATTATGAAAATACTGGTTGCAAGACAGTAAATAATTGCATGATAACAAATGGATTTTAATATTCAATTTTGTAAAATCCCTCTATCTAGCACTGTGTTATAAACATGACACAACTAATAAAGTCTATAATCATGCATTTTTATTAGATTAGCTTCCAGAAAGATTTAATAGTAGACTTAGTAAACAGATTTTCTGATTTTTACCCTGAATAAGCAGCATTTTCAGAACTGGGGTGCTTTGATCCAGCAAAATTATCTGTCCTTTGGTAATAACAACAAGTGACCCTTCGTCAGGCGGAGATTTTCCTCCCCAGGAGAAGTTGGAGGACCAAGCATCAACATATAAGAACTCAGCATTATCCTGTTAAAAAACAAAACAAAAGAAAACAAAACCACCAAGAGTTGTGGCTGTTACAGATGTAGAGGCGTTAGGGTAGAATTCTTTACTCAATTTTTCCAAAAAAGAAATTTGGAATCATAAAATGTTTAGCAACAATTAGTAAACCATAAAACCTGCTTTGAATATTATAGCTGATTCTCTATTTAACTCAAGATATTACTGAAGCAAAAAAATAATGACAGCTGTACCAAGGCCCAGAATAATAACCCAAAGTATGAAATAATAAAAATTCTTAGTAACAACAAAATCATAGCTACTTTAAATGTATTAGCTATATTTAATCACATCCAAGCTATTTTTCAGAGGTAATAGGGATAAATAGGCCAGGGTGGCAGTATAGTTTACACTCAGTAGCTAACCAAAGGGTTGGTGGTTCAAACCCATCAGTCACTTCCAGTAAGAGAGTAAGTCAACTCATTCCCAGGGGATCATTATGTGTTGAAACTGATTCAATAAGTGATTCTGGTATGCATGCTTGTTTTAAAAGTAAAAATAAAATACCCATTAATCATCCCATAAACCTATCTTTTCTGTTGCGGTGATTACTATCCCCAGTGGCCCCATTACCAGTTTGGCCATGCCGATGTTTCTGATGGTAACATGAACCGGAGCCCATCCTGAAGCAGTGTGGCTGTTTGTCGTGCAGATGATGTGTGTCTTGTTGGAGTGTACAACATCACATTCCGCTTCAGCGATGGTGACATGCACGTCCTGAATATCTCCACTGCAGAGTAAAAGGAGAAACAAAACACATTCATTTTTTTTAAGTTTCTAGGCCACATCATTAGTTATTTGTATGGTATTGTATGACGCAGCAACGGAGCTGGAGCAGCACTCTGTACGTAAGGCACTGAGCTGCTGAACAAAAGGTATTTGGCGCCAACCCACCAGCTCCTTCTCTCAGGGGTAAAGAAGCGGCAGTCAGCTTCCGCACAGATTTACAGCCTTGGAAACACTGTGGGCGATTCTATTCTGCTCTATATTGATAGGAGTTGGAATGGTTTTGGTGTTACAACTCATAAAATGGAAAAGAAGTAGTTTTAAAAATTGGCAGGGTTTTTTTTTAGAGTTGTTTGCTTATTTATTGAAAGACTTCATAGCATGGGTGACATACAGTTTAAACTTTTTGTGAATTGAAGAGAATTACTTGGATGTCAATGAAAAAATTGGCTTTTTTTTTAAAAAAAAATTTAAAATATTTAATGAAGAAAAGCAAAGAGGCCAGGGATGAGATTCTATCCCTCTTCCTTTTGCTTTTCCTGGTACTGCTTTCTTGCTGGTAGTTTGTGTTTACAAATAAGCCCAAAACATAACCCAGAAAATGTAATTATTCTAGCTTCTTGCTTAAAAGGTTTATTGAAGAATCATACAAAATTATTCTGTAAAGTGATGATCATTGATTTTTTTTGTGCCTTAAAAATCCATGTGTACATCTCACTAACACAGCCACAATTTTATTATATGAAAATGTTAAGTCTTAATTATCAGCAGATGAAATGCAGGCAGGTTTAACCTCTTCTAGCGCATGAGTAAAACTGCTTCCTTCTTGCTCTTCAACGAACTGGCAGCTATATCCCTTTTTATTTAAATGCAGTCAAGTAAAACAGACAATAATGTTGAATATAGTGGGTGGTGACGGTTGTTAGGGCTGTTGAGTATGACTCATAGGTTCACTATGAACTACCGAGCTGACCCCTGACCTACCCTGCGCCATCTTCAACATCTTTAACACACTCCAGCCTTTTGCTGCAGTCGCTGTGTCAATCCACCTGGCTGAGGGGCTTCCTCTCTTTTGCTGATCTTCAACTGTTCCAAGCATTATAACCCTCTCCAAGGAATAGCCTCTCCTAGCAACATGCTCAAAAGTAAATGAGATGAAGCTGCATTATCTTTGCTTCCATGGAGCACTCTGGCTGCACAAGACATATCTGTTTGTTCTTTTGGCAGTCCATAGGATATTTAGTGTTCTCTTCCAACACCACAGCTCAAAAGCACCAATTCTTCTTCTGACATCCTTATTAGTTATCTAGCTCTCAGATCCATAGCAAGTGATTAAAAAGACCATGGCCTGAAAAAGGCACACCTTAATCCTCAAACTGACACCATTGCTCCTCAATAATTTGGAAACATCCCTAACTGCAGACTTTGCAAGCGCAATATGTTTCCTGATCTGACTGCTGGTACCAACAGTGTTGATTGTGGATCCAAGTAAGTTAAAGTTGTTGATAGTTTCAATCCTTTCATGATTCTTCCTATTGATCCAGTGGTGTGAATTTTTGTTTTTCTTGACGTTGAAATGCACTCTGTATTGAACACTATATTTGATTTTCTGCAGCAAGCTCTCCAAGCCGATATTTTCTCTCCTTACCTGTGTAATCTGTATGTTGAACAAATTATTCAAGAAGCTGGACTCTATGAAGAAGAATACACTGCAGGTAAGCTATTTCATTATAGGAAATAGGAGACATGGATGTGTTTAGCAAGATGATGGCACAACCATTCTGTGCTGGTGAGTCATACTGTTGGAAAACAGTAAAATGTCTTTGAGTTTTCATCTTCTTTCTTTAGGATTCTACATTTGTTATAGCTTTTGAATATTTTTAACTAGGAAAGTGTAGTTGTTTTCAACATTTGAAATTGATTTAAAACTCATCTAGAACAGTATTTTCAATGAGTATAGCAAAAGACATATTAAATAATATGCTTAAAAGGAGGAAGAAAAATGTATAATGGGATTAATCCAAACAGAGCGAAATCTTGTCATATCTCATCTGGTAGATTCTGGAAAAATTCTTGTCTGTGATAACGAGCATTTTGGTGATCAGCAAGGCCACACACCTTGGTATAAATGGGACTAGAGTAAAGGCCTTTTTGTCTGTTTCTCTTTTTCTTTTATAAAGAAAATGCTGTGATTTCAAAAGTCTGATTTGTATTTTAAAAAACTAAACATGAGAACACCATTACCATTCAATCTCATCATGTGAGCATTTACTTGGGATGATTCAACATACTTATGAGAGGAAGAAAAAAAAATTATTAAAATAACCAAGATCAAGCAATTCAATACCACACGTGATGAGAATGTGTGTCCTCAAATGGCCTTTGGATGGCAGATGTGAATTTCCAGATCTATTTCCAGTCCCATGAGCTTCTCAAAAGTGCTCTCACTCCTCCAGTGCTAGCTGACTGTGATTCAGATTTTTAGCTGTGTCTTTTTCATTGAAAATTTCCCTAAATACAGGAAAACTTTCTGTATTCTGTTTTGCTTCTTCTCCCTCACTGACTCTTCCTCCTTAGCTTTGCCCATCTCTCACCTCCTTGACCTCTTCACGCTGAGACACCACAGCTTGGCCTTGAGCATCCTTTTCTAACTCATCCAATCTCATGGCTTTAAGTCCATCCATAAAAGGAAGGTCTCCAGTCCACATCCCTAGTGTGATATCCATATCCTTGCCTAGCACTTCTAACTCACAAAACTGCCTCCTCACAATCTCCTTACCTCCATAAATATCTCAGTCACAAAAAGACAAATACGGCATAATGTCACTGTTATAGAAAAGGACTGACATAGGGGGTGGGAGGAGACTGAGAAAGAGGGGATAAATAATGTATGACATAGATGAGGAAGAGAACTGTTTAAAAGGGATATATAATCAGGTATTATTGTCATGACAGGAGTCCAGAACGAAGGTAGCATAGTGAAGTAGACTTGGGGGGAGGAATTGAATAACAATGAAAGATTTTTTTCTTTTACTTTTCAGAAAGAAAAGTGAATGGGGTGGGGAGGGCTGGACAGAGAGAAAAGTGTAACAATGAATGAATGGAAATACAAAGTCTCTGTAAACTTTAATTAAAATAAATTTTTTTAAAAATTTCATATTTTGCGTCAGGGCAAAAGCCTTGGCATCATCTCTTCTTCTCTCTCTCTGTCTCTTTTCTCTCCCTCATTATTGTGTTCAGCCAGTCAGTTAACTCCTGTTGGCTCTACAGTCAAATACATCCTACCATACCCTCCTACCATTTCCATTGTGCTACCTTTGTTAAAGCCCCATGATCTTTCATCAGGCTTATTTTTGTAACTCTTAAAAGTTCTCAGTAAAATAGAACATACCACATTTTGGGTGAAAATTCAGGAAAAATACAATTACATTCAAGAGTAGAAATCCATCTTTACAGTGGTCTTGAAGGCTCTTTGACATGTGTGTTTATTTTTCCTTCCATTTTATCTTTTACTTCCCATCTTTTCTCTCAGTCAGTCTTCAAATATCACAAACTTGCTACATCTCAGTGCCTTGCGTTAGCTGATCCCTCCATCAGGAACACTTTTCCCTGATAACCTCATTGTTCCTTCTGTCCTTTCGTTTTTAAAAAAAATTTTACATTTTTTAAATTTTTATTTTATTTTATTTTATTTTAGTGTATACCATCAAATCAGATCTGACTGGTACAAGAGGAAATTGTTCCCCCTTCTCCAGCAGAGCATCTGGTGGATTTGAACCGTGCATCTCTGGGATTGCAGTGTATCTTCTTGCCACTAGGCCACCAGAGCACGCTTCCTTCTTCCTTTCATTCACTCTTTGCCTCAGCCTCCTTTTTAGTGAGACACACACTAATTCTTCTCCCCACACAACACTCTCTGCCTTGCTTCCCTGTACCTTTAGCTTTTTTGACATACCACAATCTGTCTTAAAATGTATTTTGTTTTTCAACTTCCACTCAAGTGTAAGCTTCACAAAAGCATGACTTTTTAAAATGTACTTCTTTATTGTTGCTTCCCATCATATAGAACTCCTAACACATAGTAGGTACCCATCAAATACTCGTTCTATGAAAGAATACTCAACTTAAGAAATAACACAATTTAATATTGGAGGGGAAATGGCCTGGGCTCATTTTGTGGAAAGATTTTACCTTGATTTTGAACTAATGTCTCTGTAATGAACTTCTAAGAATTATCTTTTCTATTAGAAATTTTTTTTGTAGATATATATATACCTCTTTTTAATTCTATTAAGTTTTGCTTTATAAATGTTTAGACTCTGTCACTGGCTGGATATATCTTTATGTTTTTATATTTTCTTTATTAATCTTTTAAATATCTGTTTGTATACATTCATATGCATCATGTTTCATATATGTACTTATGTTTTATACAATCAATCATAGACATTGTGCTTATCTCAAGTACAATGTGCTTTCTACAATCATTCACATACATTATCTTTTGTATAATTAATTACCATTGTTCTACACCTGTTATCACCTTGTCTTTTCGTGTCCTCATTACGCTTTTTCCATTTCCTCATCCCCTTCTGCTATCCATTCTTTTTCCATCCCTCCCTTTTATTCTGTGTTCCCCTCCTCTCTCTGCTTCTTCTTCCCCTTTTGAATATTTATATCAATCTTGTTCAATAAATGTTACTCATACATGCCACAAATGTCACTCATTAGTAGGAGAGTACATGCCATATGACTATATTTTGACAACACCTTATGTAAGTAAAAAGACCATTGGTTTGGACATGAGCATTGATACATGGACAAGTGAAGACAGTACCTGAATCCTGATCCCACGACTGTAAGTCTGGTGCCCCCTGCTGTAGTGCCTCTTCTGGGAGATATTTCAGTGATGAGTGGAGTCAGTGATATATTATACATAAATGGAGTCAGAGACTTAGAAGAATCTTTCCCATTGACCACACTCACGTCACACACTTGCTCGGGTCCCCTACCTACGATGAGAAGCAGATGAAATGCAAGGTAGCTTTACAGACTGATTCATTTCCAACATCTCAAAACTTTTCAGTAACATCTTCCTTTTGCAACAATCTTTTTTCAACAAAGTCAAGACTATATACTTAAGTAACAGATATCTAGCAATAGCCAAAAACACCATAAGTTCACATGCATTAACAAAGGGTAAAAATCGCAGACTTTCACTTGGAGGACTAATATAGATGGTTGCAGATAATTCTACAAATTATTGTAGACAATTCTAGAAACATGCCTGTTTATTTTCCCAGATGAGAGCGTCTAAAGTAGTGAATTAGAGCAGGAAGGACTGCTGAAGGCAAACATACTGACAGGAGCTGGGACTGTGGGCTGGAAGCAAGGGAACAGATAAAAAACAAAACAAATCTGACAGAAACAGATGCAAAAGCTTAATAGAGATTAAATGAATTGAGGATTACACAGAGAATCTAAAAACTTCTACAAATATTGACAGGATTGCTGCATTATAAATCAGAATGCAAAATCTGGTGGTCAAGTCAGATATTAAGCTTTATGATGAAGAGATTACATTTTATCAATATATAATTTGGTTTAAGAAATTAAGAGGGAAAAGGCCAAGGTTTTTTTTGAAAAGTTTCACAAATTATGTAAGTATTCTTAACAATGTTTGCATGTGCAATCTATCCTCATTTACAGAGATAATTCACTTTGGATAAGGCACTCTCATGGCTTAAGGTAAGGAGTTGGGTTGGGGTGCCAACCAAAGGCATGCAGTTCAAATCCACCAGCTGCTCTGTGGGAGAAAGAGGCATCATTTCCTCCTGTGTGGTTTACAGCTTCTGAAAACCCAGTGGTGGGTCGGCTATGAGTTGGCTCTGATTCAGTGGTAGGTACATAACAACTTTTCTTTGGATAGATGCTTCCTTGACAATTAAGTCAAATGTGTCAATTACTTAGAGTGCCAGGTATTTAAGTCTCACTGATGGCTTTGTGGTAAGTATGTGGTTTGAATCCAGCAGCTGCTCTGTGGGAGAAAGATGGGCAATCTCCTCCCATGTGATTGAGTAACTGCCTTTGAAAACCCCCTGGGGGTCAGTTATGGGTCAGTTCTGACTCCAGAGTACACAACAACAACAACAAAAAACCCACATCCCCCAAAACAACATATCTCTATTTAAAAAAAGGAAATTGAAACACAGGGGAGTTAAACAAATAAGTATCAAAACTGATTCTGAAACTCCTCAAATCCCAGGCCTTTTAGCCACCAAAATGGGGGGGGGGGAAGAAACACATGTAAGAAATAATAATTGAAAATCACATATCATATATCATCCTATATAATTGATATCCATTAGCTTATTACAATTTGGAAGAATAAACCAGAATAAATCAGGCTACTATGATTAGATTATCACCTTACAGATGAGGAAACTGAAGAGCAGAGAAGTTGAAAAAATTGTCTCAAAGCACACAGACGCGTTTGTAATCTCTTCAACTTACTATCAGTGCCCATACTTAATACTTGAATAGGATAAAAACATAATGCTCATTTGACATGCTCAATAAAAAGTAATGTTATGATAAACTGAAAAAGTGAAGCCTATTATGAGTAATTAATAAAAAACATATTTTAAGAATCTTAAAAGACATTTTTGTAAACTTAGGAAACAAAGTGCTGAAGAATTAATTTAAAACCTGGATAAAGTGATTGAGTCAGTTATCTCAAAGAATCTAAAAACCTGAAAAAATAAATTCCGATTTTGATTTTCATAAAATTTAATCGTTATTCACAGACTGCCCAAACTTACCATTATTAGGTGGAATTCTACATTTCAAGGTTGTATAATCAGAGCTAAGCCTATCAATTGCACATTCTGAGTCACACACTAATATAACTGAATTTTGTGGATTAAACCCAGTGCCTGTCACGGTCATGGTTTGACCACCACCAAAACTCCCTGGTGAAAACAAACAAAACAAGAAAGCAAAGTTAATTAAACAAAATCTCTGCATGTATATTTCTTTAATTTTCTTTTAAACCTAAAATATAAAATAAAATCTACTAAAATGAAAGTATCATATATATAATATGTTTTAATCATTATACTATTATAAACTGTATTATATACAATACTTAAAGACTGGGATCTCATTTGATTGTTGTAGTTTAAACTGATTTGAATAATAGCCACATTTGCATATCTAATTAAAGCTAAAATTAACATTTTATTTAAAGAACTGGCAAAGATTTTCAGACTTAGCAAAATGTAAATGTAAAAATTAAATTAAAAGGAATATTAGTTTTAGTTTTTCTTTTTTTATTGTGATTTTAATGAAAGTTTACAGAAAAGTTGGGTTTTTATTCATTCATTGTTGCACATTTTTTCCTAATTTTAATTTTTCTAAGGTTTTTCTAACTCTTAAGATAATTTTCATTAAGAGTAAATGTTTCTTTTTAGAAAAAAAAATACAGCAACAATATCTAAAGACAACTTGTAAAATTTTCCACATGTGACCTGAATATTTTAGTTTAAATGGGGCTATATTTTAAATAAATCATTACACACTAAGATAAATATCAGACTTTAAATCAATATTTTAAGTGATTAAGGAACATCCTTGAATACACATTTAGAAAATTATTTTAAATGTGTTATAACACTACAAATGTAGCAATATTGGAAGATCAGTCTTTTTTTTTAATAAATATTTAATGAGATGAAAGGTTTATGAGTTCCTGAACATTCGTGAATACCTTGGCTCGGATGAATATTTTGAACAGACAACGGGTATTCAAATACAAGTGTGGACACAGCAAAGCCTTTTGTCTTATGGTGCAACGTAACAGGGACAGAGCCACCAGCGTGGTATCCAACAATGCAATGCAGCACGCTCTCATTGACCATGGTTATGTTACACTGAACGTTATTGGTCATCACTGAAATGTCCAAGATATCAATACCAAAATTAACCCCAGTGATCTGAACTTCTGTTCCTGGTGGACCTAAAAGGAGGGGGAGAAAAAAAAGCTCAAAACTAAAAATAGTATAAACCAGTATAAATGTATCTAAATTCCTCACTATACATTTGTTTAAAAATATATTTTTTACCTCTATAAGTAAAATAAACCCAGGGTTCTAACTAATAAAAGTATTAACAAAGCTTGCGTTCTATTTACATTTGAGTGCAGTATACACTACAGCTAATTGTTCAGCAACTGTTGTTGTTGTTATGTGCCATTGAGTCGCCTGTGACTCATAGGGACCCTATGTACAACAGCCCTAAACTCCGCTCTGTCCTGTGCCAATCGCACTGTCTCTGACACTCCCATCCCAATTATCCCAGTCACTGAATCAATCCACCTCATAGAGGGCCTTCTAGAAATTACTTATCTCACATTCTTTGTGGTCTTTCTCTTGATTCTATTCTCTGAATCTGGTAACTCGGTATAAGAGTTTGGAGAAGAGAAGAAAGAAACTCTGAAGTTGAGCAGAATACTCCTGAGCTGGGACTATCTGTGTGGGGACTATATTTTTTTAGGACAAAGCTGACTATATTAAAAATATTTTTGATACTTAATTGATGTTGCAATTCATTTGTGGATGGACCATATTTATCTTAATTCCTTACACTACAGTAACCTCTCAAGAATTCATTACTTAGATTGATGAGGATTCCAATAACTGAAAGGTGATTAGAAACACCAGAGCATAATGAAAAAGGACTAAAGAGGGGACCTTGACATAGCCTTAGCTTAAAAAAGTAATTCGTTAAAAATAAATCTTATTTTACAGTATTTGCTCCATTTGAATGTTCTGATTGCTTTCTTAAAAGAAGTCTATTGTGTTGATAAGGTAATAATCAATCATATGGCATTCTATGGACATATGATAGTCTGGAAAATTTGTATTAATAAAATAAACTGAGTTTTACTGTTTCTTGTGGTGTATCAGCATTATAGGGCATAAATTAACTATCACTTTGATTCATATACATTCATGTACTTTTCCCTCATATTTAAACTTGGCTCAAGTTGATAAGCATTTTGTTTCTAAATAGAAATTGGCAGTTTGGCTAAACATTTTATCCAAAGACTGTGACAAATAATCACAAAATGGTGACTATGGCGAGCTTGACTCACACGAATGAGGTAGGTTAAATTGAATTGCCTAAAAACACATTTTCATAATTATTTATAAGCATTATTCTAATTCAATAATGTCAAATATTGTTGATAATAAGATACAAAATAATACAAAAGTGGGTCCTAGAATACCTTTACTTGGGGCAATTTCTTCAAGAAATGGAGTATCCTCCAAGGCATATGTAAATGACAGAGGTGGGTAAGGAACAGCACCAACGAAGACCTTCACATCAACCATGGCAGTGTCCCCGGCCGGGGTGAGGCAGTAGATTTCACTGGAGCCGATGGAAATAATTTTGCAAGGGTCTTTTCCAACCATAACGGTGGTTTGGCCTGGATAGAAGCCATTTCCAGTGATCACTAAAGTAGTTCCACCGCCAGTGCTTCCAGAACTTGGTGAGACAGATGCTACCGCAGGGCTGTGGACTGTAAGGTTTCCCAGAGCCAGGCCTTTAGTTCGCACCACCACACGAAGGGAGTGGAGTCCAGCAGGGAGAGGCCTCACAAGAACAGTGATGTTATTTTCATTGGCACTGATTACCCTGCACTGTTGATTTCCGATGACCACGGCTATGTCCTCCAAGATAGTCCCCAAACCTTCTCCTTCTATCAGAACCTGGGCAGACCCATTGATACTGTGTGGGCTGACCACTGTCACAATGGGCGTGAGGCTGTCTAAATAGATAAAGCTGCAGTTCCCCTGGCACTGGGCAGGCACGCCATGGATTCGAAGCTCTACATCCACAAGCTGTTCAGAGGCAGGTGGTGTATCACATTCAATGGCCGTGTAGTTCACAGATAGAACTTCACATGATAGATGGCCTACCAGGATATTTACACTGGAGGGAGAAACTGCAAATCCAGAACCTATTATGGTCATCCTTGTCATGCCCGTGGTTGCTCCCGCACCAGGCAGCACCATGTCAACGTTTGGTAGAAGCACAAACCGTCTATCAAATTCTTTAGGCAGTATGTTGATTGCGGTGCCCAGGTTGTAGACAGACAGTGTGACAACTTCCCTAATGCCAACATCCATGGAGTTCTGAGGGTCAATATGACACATAATGGCATTTTCATTACTTTCTTCTACAACACAGGGGTAGCCACCGATAGTAACCTAAAAGTGAAATGAATATGAAATAAGCCAATTTAATGGAGTTTGCTAATGTGAACCTAAATCTGGTACTAGTAATAACTAACATTAAAAAATAATATTAACAATCATGTCTAAATCATTATTCATAAAAGGAATTTATGGGGATGATTAAAATACATTTTGGATTAACTGTAAAATAAAATTATTATTATTACTATTACATAAGAATGTTTATAGAGCCAAAAAGGAGAAGCAGTCTGAATGTCCAATACCTGATAAACAGATAAACTAAATGGAGTATAATCATAAAAGGATTATTCTTTGACAATAAAAAGAAATTAATTATGATATCTACTACCTCAGGAGCCCTCTTGGTGCAGTGGATTAACAGTTGGTTCCTAACAAAAAGGTGAGTAGTTCAAACCCATCTGCTTCTCAGGAGGAAATGAAGCCATTTGCTTCTGTAAAGATTGACAGCGTTGAACACCCTATAGGCCACTTTCCTCTATTGTTTCCCATAAGATCCCCATGAGTCAGAATTGACTTGACAACAGTGATTTTAGCTTTCTTCATATAAAACGTGAATATACCTTTAGCATAAAATAGTTGGCTAAGTGAAAAAGCTAGTCACAGAGGCCTACCTATGTTTCCATTTATAGGAAATATCCTTATTTGGCAAATCTATAGAAAAAGAGCTTCTTCAGCGGTTCTTTCCACAGATGTAATCTATCTGATTCCTATGTATACCATCAGGTGAAATCCAAGTATATAACCTGTGTTTATATCTCTTAAAAAACGTATTTGCTATGAATAAGTTATTGATTGTGCAAAATTCCATAATTCTCTCTCCAGCTCCATTTCTGTCACCAAGTCCATGTTTTCCAACTATTGAATCTTCTTCTCTGTTCCCAACTTTTGCATTCCAGTCACCCATTATTATCAACGCATCTTGATTGCATGTTCGATCGATCTCCGATTGTAAAAGTTGGTAAAAATCTTCTATATCCTCTTCCTTGGCTCTGGTTGTTGGTGCATATATCTGAATGATAGTGGTATTCACTGGACTTCCTTGTATGCGTATGGATATTATCCTGTCACTCACAATATTGTACTTTAAGATGGATCTAGCAATGACTTTTTTTGTGGGTTTTCTTTTATTTTATTGGGAAAAACATATTGGGGGTACAGGGAGGTGAGGGTTGGGGGCTGAAGGGTGAGGATGGGCAGGGATGCAGTTGCAGAGCTGCACAATTTGGTTGGTGGGGAGAGCAGGTGAAGGAAATGAAAAGAATCCAGTGGGGACTTTTTTAGCTATGAAAGCAACTCCATTTTTTCCTCACCTTTTCATCTCCAGAGTAATATATCATATGATCATCCGACTCAAAATGCCCCATGCCAGTCCATCTCATCTCACCAACACCTATTATGTCAATATTTATGCGTTCCATTTCTTCCTTAACAATATCTAATTTTCCTACATTCATGGTTCTCACATTCCATGTCCCAGTCACTAGTGTCTGCTTACAACTCTTCCTCTTCCTTTGTATTTCCATACTTGAAAGCTCAAACTCAGTTTCCCTTTCTGTTAACCACATGTGTTCTGTTGTACATAGGGTTTTCAGAGGCCTGCTATCTCAGAAGTTCAAAATTGGGAAGGGCGTACGCCAGGGATGCATCCTATCTCCATACCTTTTCAATCTGTATGCAGAACAGATTATCCGGGAGGCTGGGCTCTATGAGGAGAAATGTGGGGTCAAGATTGGTGGACAATCTATCAACAATCTGCGTTATGCAGATGACACAACCATGCTTGCTGAAACTGAAGAGGACCTGAAGCACCTGCTGCAGAGGGTCAAGGACTGCAGCCTCCAATATGGATTGAGGCTCAATGTCAAGAAGTTAAAGATTCTCACCACTGGGCCAATTGGCAGCATCAGGATGGATGATGAAGAAATTGAGATTGTTCACAGCTTTAGTTTGCTTGGCTCCACAGTCAACACTCTTGGCACCAGCAGCCAGGAAATTAAAAGGTGCATTGCCATGGGAAAGTCTGCTGTTAGGGACCTCTCCAAAGTACTGAAGAGCAATGGTGTCTCTCTGGAGACTAAGGTGCGTCTGATATAGGCCATGGTCTTTGCAATCACTTGTTATGCATCAGAGAGTTGGACAATGACCAAGGAGGATAGAAGGAGAATTGATGCCTTTGAGTTGTGGTGCTGGAGAAGAGTATTGAGAGTACCATGGACTGCTAGGAAAACAAAAAGATTCATCCTGGGAAGGGTTAAACCAGATGGCTCCTTGGAGGCAAGGATTCGGAGGCTCCATCTAACATACTTTGGACATGTTGTAAGGAGGGACAAGTCCTTGGAGAGAGACATCATGCTTGGGAGGGTGGAGGGACAGTGCAGGAGAGGAAATCCCTCTATGAGGTGGATTGATTCAGTGACTGGGATAATCGGGATGGGTGTGTCAGAGACAGTGTGATTGGCACAGGACAGAGTGGAGTCTAGGGCTGTTGCACATAGGGTCTCTATGAGTCGCAAGCAACTCGACGGCACATAACAACAACAACATAGAAAAAGATGAGCAATTGCCCAGAGACGTGGAAATGGGGACTGTGAGGGTGATAACTAAAGGGTATGAGTTTGTTTTAAGGGAAAAGGAAATGATCTAAAATTGATTGTGGTGATGGATATATAACTTTGTGATTACACTAAAAGTCACTAAATTGGATGGTTTAAATGAGTAATTGTGTGGCATGTGAATGATTTATCAATAACCCATTACTGTAGAGTTAATTTCATCTCATAGGGACCCTATGAGATGAACTGCCCCATTGAATTAGAAGGTTGTACATCTTTCTGGAAGCAAGACTGCTACCTCATTCTCTACGTGCAGAGTGCCTGGTAGGGCAAACCACCAGTCTTTTTGGTGAGCACCCAAAAGCATTAACCACGGCACCACCAAGCTCCCTTATATAAAAATAAAGCTATCAAAAAACTAAATGATGAAGTTTTGTCCAAACACCTTGCTACAAATTTTGAGCAGTGAAAAGGAGACTGAATAATCTTACCTTATTAGCACATGTGAGATTACTGAAGCCATGTCCAGTAATTGTTATCAGGTCATTTACTGTTCCAATGGTTGGACTAATGCTGTGTATAGTAGGTGAAAAACAATCAGCAAACTCGAAGAGCAATTCCTTTGAATTGTTAAGCCCTGAAGTGCTCAGGCCACACAGGGGTTCTGTTGCCAGGCAGCCGTCCTCAAAGCTAGTGAAGTGTAGGTCCTCAGGTCTTCCTGTAGACAAAAGAATTGCCTGTAAGTCATGGATCATATTCTAAAGCAAGTGCTGTTTTCTTTCTTTTTTTTAAAAATTTCCATTCATTTATTGTTGCACTTTTCTCCCTGCCCATCCCGTCCCCAGTTCGCTTTTCTCTTTTAAAGCTAAAAAGAAAAAAAAAATTCTTTCATTGTTATACAATCCCCCACCCTCCAATCCACTCCACTATGCAGTTTTCATTCTGGACTCTTGTCATGAAAATAATACTTAATCATGTATCCCTTTTAAACAGTTATCTCCCTCATTTGATTCAACACAGTATACATTATTTATCTCCTCTTCTCTTTGTTCCCCCCAACCCTAATGTCAGTCTTGCTTTACAAAAGTGGCACTATGCAGTATTTGTCCTTTTGTGACTGAGATAGTTCACATGGCATAACGTCCTATAGGGTCACCCATTTTGTATAAAAATTAATGAGTTCCTTGCTTTTCATTGCAGCATAGTATTCCATTGCGTGAATATATCACAGCTTCTCTGTCCATTGTTTGTTGATGGGCATTTGCATTGTTGCCAACTTGGTGCTATTGTGAACAAAGCCACAATAAGCATGGGTGTGCATATATCTGCTTGGGTGACAGTTCTGTTTTCTTTGGGGTATATTTCAAGTAGGAATTATTGGGTAAAACGATATTTCTATTTCCAACTTTTTGAGAAAGTGACATATTGCCTTCCATAGTGGTTGCACCAGTTTACACTTCTACCAACAGTAAATAAGGGTTCCAGTTTCTCCACAATCTTGCCAGCATTTGTTGTTTGCTGTTATGTTAAATTTTGCTATTCTTATTGGGGTGAGATGATATCTCATAGTTGTTTTACAAGTGCTGTTTTCAAACTTCATTATTCTTTATTTTTTTGATGATGGTGGTTTAAATGTTTTCTTTCTTTCTAGTAACGAAGGAGCATGAGACACCAGGAAGGTCCCAAAGTTTTAGATAACGTTTGTCAGTGAAGGGAGAAGAGTAAAGAAAGCTAACATTAATGTTTTGACTTGTCTAAGGCCAAAATTCCATGGTGGTTGTATGGAATAAAACACAGTAAGATCACCTTGCTTTTTAATGTTTAGGAGGAAAGAACAGAATATAAGTTTTTCTTTTACATTATATCTCATTTAAAACACAAAAGGATTCTGGGAGACTGGAGGAATGTTAGCATGACCCTTATTTTATGGAACAAAATTAATTCTCAGAGCAGAACATAATGAATATAAATGATTGCATTAAACACAATGAGAATCAAAGATTATGTGAAGTACAATGTACATAAATGAAGCACAATGTATACTAGTCTCATATGCAAACCAATATAAAACAAAATTAACTAATAAAAAACTATTTTTGTAGCCTATCTTGTTCCCACTACTCTGAAAGGTTTCATCAACTGAGTATCTTTAGTATCACACCTTCCATCTTGCACCGTCTTACCCTGAGCATATGTGGCCTCAGTGCCATCCACGAACAGGTGCACGGGCATTTGCCTGGTTTCAGCTGGTCGAACGTTAATGACTCCTTGGAGGAAAATGGAGTGGGCATCATCAACATACCCACTGCTGTAGTAATGAAATCCAGGTGATGTAAACTGGTAAGAAAAGGAACCTGTCACAAAATAAGATTGTACATAATAAATAGAAGCAATTAATGAGGCTTTCCTTGAAAAGGCTGCAAACAATTCAAAGGGATCATTTAAATGCACAGATGATAGGCTTCTTATAGTTTTCTTGAGGGTGAGATTTAAGCTGGAAGTAGAAAGGGGATGACTCATATGCTATATAAAAAGCTATTGAGTATGATATAATTGCATCCCAGGAAGACAAGATCTTGAAATTAACTATGTAGAAAGCCAGGTCAAGTCTGGCATAATTTACCAGGATTTAAAGAAAACCTCATTGTAAAATGAAAAAGAAACAAATAATGCAAACTTTTTTTATTTATGAGCGAGAAGTCCAGTGTTACATGTAAATAGCAAAATCAGCCATCTGCCCCCTTCAATGTTCTAGCAGAAATACTGAAGTTGAAGCGGATTCCAACTAGCAAAAGTTAATGTTTTAGTATCAGAGTGATAAGGTTAAAAGACATATTCCAGCTTCCATAGTACTTTCACTTATTTTTTCCAATTAATTATCAAATATACATTTCTACTACCATAACTCTAGTATGTGTAAAATATTTTGCCTGTACTCATTTACAGTATTTTATCAACATCATAGAATTTGTACTAACCCAGTATGTATATGCATAAAGTTAAGTCTGTCTGTATTTTTTTTTTACAGGAAGATGTGAAAACTCAACAAAGTAGAAACCTACCAGATGCAGATTTTTGCCTTCCACTTGTAAATCCTTTGCCATCATAAATTATACTTCCAGGAGTTGAGACTGAGAAAACTCTGTAACCTATTCCCCTCAGAAAGGGATCTGCTTGCCAATACCATGTCACTGTGTCACCCACGGATACATTTAAGACTGCCGGGAACCAGGCAAAACCTAATCCATATTCTGAAAGCAAGAATGATTAATAATTAACTTGAAAATCAATTGCTAACTGACCATGTACAACTTTTTGAGTAATTCAAACAATTAGCAAAAAATGAGCAGAAATAAGAAGACAATGAAAAGCTAAGGAAAAAATAATGCAGTTATTCCCAAACTGATGATCAAATGATAATTGTAAAAAAATCTGAAAGTCAATAAACAACTTGGTAAGCAATAATCCATGAAAACACTACAATTAATTATGTGAATGTTAAAAATTTTATCAGGCAGGGAAATATTTAAAAATCTTTCATTTCCATTTGAATATTCATTCAGAAGTTCATGACTAATTAATAACTACACTAATTCAGCAATTCCTGAATTTGAAAACTGGAAAGTTTATCTAGCTTTCAAGACTCAAGTCACTGATTATATATGATTTTCTATGTTATACAGGTAGCTTTCTCAGAATACAGATTGAATAGTCATGGAGAAAGGATACAATCCTGATGAGCACCTTTCCTGATTTTAAACTATGCAGCATTCAAACTCTATCCTGAGTAAATCATTCGAGAAGCTGGACTATAAAGAAAAATGTGACATCAGGATTGGAGGAAGTGTCATTAATAATTAGCATTACAGATGGCACAACCTTGCTTGCAGAAAGTAAAGATGAACTTAAGGTAGAACAACAAGATACAGCCTTCAACATCAAGAAAATAAAAGCTTCACCACTGAACAAATAGGCAAGATCATAATGGGTGGAGAAAATAATGAAGTCAACAATTTAATTTTACTTGGATCCACAGTCAACACCCATGGTAAGTAACATCAGTCAAGAAATCAAAAGGTGTGGTGCACTGGGAAGATGTGCTGTTAAGGATGTTTCCTAAGAGCCAGAATGTCCATTTAAAGACCAAGGTGTGCCTCATCCAAGCCTTGGTTTTTCAACTCCTTCCAATGCATCTGAAAACTGGCCAATAAATAAGGATGACAGAAAATGAATTATGGTGTTGGAGAAGAGTAGGGAATATCTTATTAACTGGCAAATGATCAAGCCAGTGTCTCTTGAAGGAAGTGCAATCAGGGTTCTCCTCAGAGACAAGGAAGGTGTAACTCCATCTCATATGGCTTGGGTATGTTGTCAAGATGACCTGGTCCTTGGAAAAAGACACGATGCTGGGAAAAGTGGAGGGCCAGAGAAAAAGAGGAATCTCAACAAGATGGACTGGCACAGTGTCTAAGAATGGGCTTGAGCATATCAGAGGTCATGAGGATGGCTTGGATGGGGCAAAGTTCAGATCTGTTCTTCATGGTGTTGTGATTAGTCCTAGTTAATGACCATGACCTCACCTAATAGTCAAAGGCACACAACAACAATAACAACAATGTATAAAGATACCACTACCAAAGTATATAGAGAGTAATAACAACACATATTCTTTAAATGCTTTGCTTTGAAATTTAAAAATAATTTTAAAAATTATCTCTGCAATTAAAAATTTTTGGAATTCAATGATACCTGAATCTTGTCCATTGTTAGTAACTCGGAAAACATTCCCTGTTGAATGAAGGACACATTTTATGACTTTGTCTGTAGATGATATCACATTGCAAGGAAAAGAACCTAGAAAAATAAAGTCATACATATTTTTTCAGATATCTTTGTAAGTTATTGAGTTGTTAAACTGTGTACCATGTTACTATGTATTAATTATTTTTAGGATATTCCCCTTTCCTCTTTTTATCCACATGTGCATATTAAACATACAATATTTGTTTCTTGGAATCAAATGGTATTCTAGTTCTTTCTTAAGCAAATATAGTTATTCTTTGAGACATCAAAAGAAAATACAACTTCTAAGATTGAGAGTACTTGTGTAATTCTTTACAATACAATGATAGTACATCTTTTGAGGCAAAAGAGGAAAAAAATTAGCATAACATTTCTATAAGAATGCAAATCTTACCTAAAAGCACAGTGTTCTCACTTGGTATAGGGCTAAATCCAAAACCCATTAAAGTGATTTCAGTTCCACCATATAAGGACCCTCTCTGTGGAAATATGTTGGTCACTTCCAAATTATATTGTATAGAAGTATGTATCTTGTCTCTGCAAAAGAAAAATGAGTAGTGTCTCTTTGAACTTTCTAGAGATTTTTATTGCTAAAATCTTCACAAAAACAAAACCAAACCCTCACTGTCAGAACCGACTCAAAGCTGACGCTCCAGTGGGTTTTCAGAGACTGTAAATTCTACAGACACAGACTTGTCTATCTGTCTTCCCCACAGGGAGCTGTGGGCAGATCCAAATGGAACCTTTTGACTCACCCCTAGACAAGAATCTTGCTAGAAATTAACTTTTCAAACTAGACAATTTGATAATTATCATGGTCCCAAATAGGCTGGATGGCTTATAATTGCTTCTCTTTAACTATGAAAATTCAATTTCCGAAATGCCACAGTAAAAGAATTTGAAATGGAGTAACTTAAAATGTTATGAGGAAAAAATGATTATGAGAACTGAAGATGCATTAATTTATTTAAAACATTCTATATTTTAACTAGAGTAGAAATTAAAGACAGGTCTATCTATCATCTATCTATCTATCTATCTATCTATCTATCTACCCATCTATCTATGTATTTATCCATCCATATATTCAGCTAATTAACCTTTCTATCTAATGTTGCTATGTACTATAGAATAATTGATTCATGAGTGACCCTCCCACTGGTTTTCAGAGGCTTTTTTTTTCCAGAGGCGATTGCTCATATATTTCCTGCAGAGCAACTGGTGGATTTGAACCTGGAACAATGGAATTCTATGCATTTCATATGAATAAACAGAAGTTCTATGCAATGACTTCATGATTCCATGTTTATGGGATATCTATCAGGAGTCTATCTCACAACTTCAGTAACATAGCTTTTACCTTACTTTGCTTTGCTATAAGCAATATGCTAGCTAAGACTTATTTCTCCCAGATGCCACCATGACTTCAGAGAAGTAGAACAAAGCAAATGAGTCTTTGTGTGAACTTTAATTTATAGCTACCTCAGAATAGATGAATTGGTCCATTTCTAACGTCCATCCAAATAGAGGTGTTTTATGGTACCCACTCCCCTGTAATATTGACATGACCAAGTACGAGCCAATGTCTTTTCTCACATCTATCTCAGCTCAGCCCTGAGATTTGCCTACTAAAGCTCACTATCCTCACCTCTTAGAAATCCTGCAAAATTTCTCCTTTCACTTTGATTCTGGCTTTATCTGCCTAAATCTCTTTTCTTCTGCTGTCAATCAGTACATTTCTCTCTAGAAAGTAAACTTTTCTCAATTAACCAGGAAGAAAATATGAAACACCTACTGAAAGGGAACATCGTGGGTAAGGAGTTGAATTGTCAATCCAAAGGTGGCAAGTTGAAATCCACAAAGTACTCTGTAAGGGAAAGATGGGCACTCTCCTCCAATGTGATTTACAACCTGTGAAAATCTCCTGGAGGCTTAGTTACAGGATGGTTTGAACTCCAGAGCAATGAGATTGAGTATAATCGGAGGAGGATTGTCTTAATCTTCACGTGGCCAGCTCCTGCATTTTTGCATCTTGGCTTAAATATTAACTTTTCAGAGACTCTTTTCTATCTCTCAGGAAAAATTAAGACTCTCTATTATATGCAACTACATCATTTGGTACCCCTTGCCATTATATGCTTCATTTTTTATACTTATTTTTTATTCTTTTGTTGCACATTTTCCCACCCCACCTACATCAAAATCCCAATAAATGCATGGATTAAAAAAAAACCAATCCCCTTTTTTTTAAAAAAAAAAACCCAATCCCAAAATATTATAGTAGATTCACACAATGGAATATTATGCAGCACTGAAAAAAAATAACCTCATAAAGCATTACACAACATGGGAGAGCCTGAAAGACATTATATTAAGTGAAATATCTCAGTCACAAAAGGACAAATACTGTATAACACCACTGTTGTATGATTAATTTTTAGAAAAATTACTTAGTACAGTCTTTTTTTTTTTAAGTCTACTTCTTCAATAAAATTGAGAACATTATCAGAGCAGAAGATATCCCCCTCTTGTTCACCACTATCAACCTGAACAAGATCCTGCTTTGTAGTAACTATGTGGTAAGTTTTTCCTGAATGAAGGAAAAATCACATAGTTTCTCATTTAACAATTTATGCACAAATTGTTCCATGATATACTTTACTCTCTCCATTTCTACCCTGTTTTCACTCATCCAGTTCTGCTGCCCCTCTTTACCTTTTAACCTTTGCTTCTGGGTAACGGTTGACATGTAGCTGACTACTGAGAGGAGTACATTCCCTCCTGGGTGTTATTTATGTTATAGGTTGATCTGTTATTTGGTTGAAAGGTAACTTCTGAAAGTGGTGTTAGTTTTTAATTTTAAAAGTTACCATACCTTTTTGTTGCAAAGCCCCAGTTTATGACTTCCACGTAGACATCATGTTTTCCAGGCGACAACTTGGGTAAAAGGCATCTAATATCAGTGAAGTTCCAGTGAAGAACTTGACAGGTTTTCCCGCCAATATACACCATGATTTCTGTGTGCTCATTTCCAAAATTATAACCCTTAATCATTAAACTGACATCTCCTATTATTTTCAAAAGAGAAAACAGTTTTAAGAGATGTTCCTATTAATTATAAAGTTTAAAATGTGTGTGTTAAGCAAAATAACTCATCTCTGGTATTTAATAACATTTTAGAAATGCTTACACTATGGAGACAGAAATGAAAATAAAAATGTTAAGGACCATCTACTGAAGATAAAATCTCATCTAGTTGTTTAACAAGGAAAGCAATGAGATGACAAAGAACTTTCCCCCCTGAACTTGACAATTCTCCTCTTATTGCCTAAGTTCACAGTAAATTCATGAGTAATTATGATGAAGAAAAACTCATGACTGGTTTTATGTGGCGAGAATCGCAGGACAAACTATGCTTTCAAACACTTAAAGACATACTTGACTTCAAGCAAGCTAATGACTTAGGATAGAATTTCTTACCTAGTATTGCCCGTTCTTTGGGGTTGAAATCAGTTATAACTGGAGTCTGTAAACAACTATAAGTAAAAGCATTATTTGCTGTAGCTTGAAATCCATTGGTAATAACGGATACATCAACCGTACCTTCACTTCTCTAAAACAAGACAAAGATAAAATGAACAATTATGAAATGTTCACTGTTGAAATTCAGAAATACAAAGGGTAAAACTAAATAGAATTGTTCAGTATAAACTTTTGAAGGTGCTATATTTTCAAGTCATAGATTAAAATTGGATTTTATACATTTAGAAAGTTGTGTCAAATTTAGGATGTAGTTTTGAATTTCAGAGATGAAGGTATAACTCTAGAATTAGAGTGACTTGTAAACATTTGGAAACAACTTAATTATAATTGTGCGTGTGTGTGCCTGTATACACATTTTGCTACTACACATTGCTGTCAAATCAGAACGGACTCATAAATGACCCTCTAGCAGGTTTTCTGAGGCTGCAAAACACACAGGAGATTGCCCATCTTTGTCCTGTGGACCAGCTGGTGGATTGAAAGATGAGTTCTTCGAGTGAGTAGCACAAACAAGCCATCAGATCTCTGGTATTTATAAATAAGTAGCCGTGTGTGTGTGTGTGTGTGTGTGCGTGCGCGCGCGCTGCCTTTAACACATATGAAACACCTAGTTAGTAAAAACACTTTTCCAACATCTAGTAAATAATGTTTTCTCAGTGATTAACTAGATGGCATAGTTGAAATAAATTTGATATACTGTTTTTCTTCACATGATCACCTTCAGTATTAGGTGTAACACATTCTTAAATTTATTCTTCCTATAGATCCTACATAGGGAGCTCTGGTGGTTTAGTGGCAAAAAATTTTGCTGCCAACTTGTGGGCACGTGGTATGAATCCACCAGCCGCTTTATGGAGTAGAAACGAGCCATCTCTTTCTGTGCGATTTACAGCCTCCGAAAACCTCCTGGAGGTGCAGCTGTGAGTCAGCTCTAACTCAATGGTGCACAACACAGACACCACAACATAACTCATCTATTTTGCAAGGTGTTTGTTTTTGTTGTTGTTTATTTGTGTAAATGACTCATTATCACTATAATAAGCACATGAGAGTCTTGATTTAAATTTAAGGACTACAGATTTGTCCTGGAAAGGGTTAAACCGGGTGGCTCCTTGGAGGCAAGGATTCTGAGGCTCCGTCTAACATACTTTGGACATGTTGTGAGAAGAGACCGGTCCTTAGAGAGGGACATCATGCTTGGGAGGGTGGAGGGACGGTGCAGGAGAGGAAGGCCCTCTATGAGGTGGATTGATTCAGTGACTGGGATAATTGGGATGGGAGTGTCAGAGACAGTGCGATTGGCACAGGACAGAGCAGAGTTTAGGGCTGTTGTACATAGGGTCGCTATCAGTCGCAAGCGACTTGACAGCACATAACAACAACAACTTTAAAAAAAAATATGATTGGTTTAATGAGGCAGTATTTCAGGGAGAAATTACTATCGCTTCCCTGCCCCCCAACAAACTGAAACTTTAAGACAGTTTTTTTGGGGGGGCTGTATAACAATGAAAGAATTTTTTTACAAAGAAAAAAAGCAAACTTAGGGGGCCAGGGGTGGGGGGGTGGTCAGGGAGAAAAACGCCCAGCAATGAATTGAATGGAAATCCAAGTTCTTTATAAACTTACAATAAAATCTCAAAAAGATTCTTTGTAAAAGTTAAACACTTCTAGCAGTCTTTCAGTGCTGTCAGGTCAGAATGGACTCATAGCTGATCCTTCACTGGAGTTCCAAGGCTGTTGATTACACAGGAGACCACGCGTCTTTCTCCCTTGGAACCGCTCGTGGACCCAAACCACAGGAGAAGAAGAGATTTTGTGTTCGTGGTGCTGCTCTATGCACTGCATCCCCCATTTGAGCTCCCTAAATTTCTTAACTAGACCACTTATTAGTACTATTCTTATTTTTTTCCATCTTTTCATTTAATCTATAAATTACCATTCATTACTTAAGCTTCAGTATAGTATAGTATTGACTTTCCTGCTACAGATTTCTAGTGATTTCTCCCTGCCGCATTTCATTTTTGCTTTGTTTCTATTTATATTCTTTTAAAATGAAATCACCCTAGATAGAACTGGTCTACACGTCTGTTCTTCTTTAATATTTTAAGCATCTACAATGCGGAGATCGTCTCTGAATCTTTCCATACAGAAGATTTTTGAGACATTCTTGAATAGTACAAATAAAACACTGTAGTTTCTAGATAATGTATTACTTCACCTTCTGCTGAAGGGTTCCTTAATTCGTAAGACATTAGACTTATTTTAAAATGACTGCACATTCATTACTTACTTTTGGTGTTCTGCAAGTTATGGTATTCAAGTTCCCTTCAAGCACACTGCAGGTTTCATTGTCAACTAATACCTTTGAGTTTTCACTAAAGCCAAATCCAGACAGAGTCAGTAAAGTACCACCTTTGTATAAAAACAAAAACAAAGATATAAAACTCAATGGATCTACTTTAATGATAAAGAAACTTTTTTCGGGAGCTCTGTTGGCCTAGTGGCAAGAAGTTGCACTGTAATCGCAGAGGTATGTGGTTCAAATCCACCAGATGCTCTGCTGGAGAAGGAGGGGCAATCTCCTCCTATACCAGTCAGATCTGATTTGACGACACACACACACACACACACACACACACACACACAAATTAATTTTTTTAAAAAAGAAACTTTTTGGTGATAGCCTAATTTATGATACAAGAACTCTTCAGAATTGAAAAATAGGTCAAGGACAGTATGTCAGAGTTTGCATTTAGTAATTTCCCAGTCAACACCACCTCATATACCTTGAGCAAGCTGTGAGAGGTGTCAGTCCTGGGAAAAGAATCTCGAGCTTGGAAAGGTAGAAGGTCACAAGAGAGAGAAAGACCCTTCATGGGAGCTATCTACACAATGACCGTAACGAGGGGCTTCGGCAAAGCAGGGGTTGGGAGGATGGTGCGAGGTCAGGCAAGATTTACATCTGCTGTACACAGGGTTGTCAGGAGCTGTTCTTGACTTAAACACCAAACAACAACAACCAAACACCATCACACACCAAGCCTGAGCACTGAGACTTGAAACCAGAAAGATGATATTATGAAATACCAAATGAATAATTACCATTTGCTTTGGGACATTATTATAACGATTTTTCTTGGTACCTGCTTCATTGTGAAGAAAATTTTAGGCTGTTTCTATCATGTAATCTTTTATGTGTGGGAAATGTGGATGCATTTAGAGTCTCAGCAAATCCAAATTTTATACCTTTCAGTAAAAGGAAAACAAAACAAACAAATGAAAGAAACATATAGATCATAAAACCACATAAAATCTAAAACCAAGTGTGGTAAAACATACAGAACACAAAGGAAACGAAGCAGAACAGGAAAAATGTGCCATTTTTTCTCTTCCATGCATCAACCTTCGTCTCTCTTGTTTGTTCCCAGAACTTTTTCTGGGTCAAGTAGCTCCATTGAGACATGGTTACAAATGGAGCAGCTGGTAAGCAGAATAATAACTAATAAATCTTATCTTGACATAATTGATGAGCTTGTTATAGAAACACATAATAATTGATGATATTAATTCAATAACCTAAGATGTAAGTATAAGCAGTTACCTAAGCTTGTTCTTCAGAAGAAACAAAAGAATTAGTCAGCCATTTAATCACCGTGTCTCCTAAAAGGATACTTTCTTGTGTTCTATATGAGGAAGTGTTAGGTTCCACTCTCCTCACCTTATTCTAGAAAAAACCCAACACAACAATGATGGTGATATATGTAATTTTCACTGTTCAGCACTGTTAATTCTTACCTGCTAGGCTTCCCGAAGCAGGCCAGATGTGTGAGATGTGACTCCGATACGTGAAGTGGAATATTTTATCCTCTGCATTCCTTGCTAGTCCCACCTCAGCTATGGACACAGCAACTGGGAAATATCCGGCACTTCCATTCAGAATCTGACATTTGATCTCATTTTCTTGTAAAAAGAGGAAAATGATAAGGCAAATATTTCTGAGACAACATGACTATAAATTTCATTTCAAATATTAACATGAGACTTCATTTATATAAACCTAAAGACAACAACTCAAAAATTAACTAGGGAAAAACTTTTATAAATGACATAATGTTATGATTCAGATTCTGTTAGAAAACAGATACACCGATAAAGGAAAGTCTCTATTGGAACAGGATTCATTATCTTAGTCTGTAAAGTCATTTATAGTCATAGTTCTAAAATTTGGCTCAAATATTACTTATGTCTAAAATTGAACAAACCACTAGGAGTCCTATGATAAAAATTGAAATGAAAATACTTCCTTCAGAACAAAGGTCTTGAAGAAAGTGCAGCCAGAGTGCTTCTTGGAGTCAAGGGCAGTAAAGCTTCGTCTCATATATTTTGGATAAGTTGTTGTTGTTGTTGTTGTTGATGTTGTTAGGAGCTGTTGAGCCAAGTATAACCCATAGCAACTGTATGAACAATAGATCTGAACCCTGCCCTATCCTGTGCTGTCTTCACACTTCCTGACACACTAGCACACATGGTGGCAGTCATTATCATGTCAATCCACGTGGTTGAGAGTCTTCACCTTAATTGACCCTCCACCTTTCTGAGCTTCCCATCACTCTCCAAGGAACAGCCTTTCCTAGTAGCATGCCCAAAGTTGTGAGGCAAAGCTTTACCATCTTTGCCTCCAAAGAATAAGCTGGCTGCACCTTCTCCAAGACATATTTGCGTGTATTGTGAGGAGAGGCTGTTTCTTGGGAAAGGACATCATGCTTAGAGAGGTGTGGAGTAGTGAAAGAGAGGAAGCCTTCCAACAGAATGGACGGACACAGTGGGTACAGCAGTGAGCTCAAGTATGTCAGAGATTATAATGCTGGTGCAGCATAGGGCAGGGTTCAGATCTGTTGTTAATAACGTGTCTGTGAGTCCTCCTTAACTCGACAGCACTTAACCACAACCTCCACCACATAAAACAGGTGGTATTTTCACTTTTAGATCTCAACAAAGTGTAGAGAAGTTTAGATTTAAGTTTCAATGATTTGGAAGATCAAGTCACTCATGTAATCCCAATCTATTAAAATTAAGAAAATACCTAGGACTGGACAAGAAAATACTTAGGTAAATTAGTAATTGTGGTCCTTACTATTTCAAAGGATAGAAAATGCAAGCAATCTTTCAATTCTTTTTTGAAATTTTTAAAAAATTTCTTGTGTGTGTACCATCAAATCGGATCTGACCGGTAGAGGAGAAGATTGCCCCTCCTTCTCCAGCAGAGCATCTGGTGGATTTGAACTGCATACCTCTGGGATTGCAGTGCAACTTCTTGCCACTAGACCACCAGAGCTCTCTTCAATTTTATATTATGTTGACAAGGACTAGTTGGAAAAGAAGTTAAGGAAGATTATTGTGTTCTCTTGCAATTTGACCAATGTGATTACGCCTGAGCATGGGCGGAGAAGCCTAGGGAACACCAGACTAGCAATTCATATATTCCTGTGTTCTAAACTCACACCTAAGGAAGCATTCACGTAGCCACTTGTAGGAAGGTAGAAAATGACTAAAATAAACTGTTATAGGGAGCTCTGGTAGTACAGTGAGTGCTAAGAAGTAGCACTGGCAACTCAAAAGTAGACGGTTCTAATCCATCAGCTGCTCCATGAGAGAAAGATGGACAGTCTCCTTCCATATGATTCACAGCCTTGAGAACCTGCTGGAGGGTCAGCTGTGAGGTGATTCTGATTCAATGGCAACAAACAACAAGAACTACCTGAGAAAGATGTTCATCATTAATAGCACAAGAACTCTACTATAGTAACAGTCAAAGATTAAAATTTTAAAACATTTATACAGACCTTGTTACTAATTTTATAATATCATAGGGGACTTTGTAGGATAATTGTGAAATCACTCTACTACTTCCACTTCACCATACAGAAAACAAATTTAATAGGTTTCGAAAGAACCTACCATTAACAGAGTGAAGAGGACAAGCTATTGGCCCAACTGAGACTGATACACCTGAACTAGGAGAAAATCCAGAGCCTGATATAGTTAGAATTGTGCTTTCTTCATAGGACCCTGAAAAAAGAACAATATTAAAATGACAAAAATACCAGAATATGTTGTTAGGAAAACAGATATTTTTAGAGAAGATTTAAGATATAGACAGTATTTCAGCAAGCTTATAAACAAGCTGGTAGGAAGGAGAGTGGAGGGTGAGGTTACAAGAAGGAAGACACACTTGTGGTGATGCTTTTTGTAATTTTTGTTCCATTTAATTCTACATGGCTTCATATTTATACTCTGAGTGAGGACAGATAGCAGAAGAACTTACTGATTTAAGGAATAAAATGAGGTAAAGAAAAGAAAAATTATTTTTATGAAAAAGAAATTAAATACAGATCTCTAATAGTAATATAGCATGTGATAGAACTCAGACCATGAGGAAGGTTCTTCTTTCTAGAGTAATACAAATCCTTAAATATCTAGAATATTCCAATTTACATTTGTTTTAAGAGTAACTCATACTGAATATTTTTCCATTTACCTCCTCTCCCTCTAAATGAGATTTCCTCTCCCCCCCCCGCTTTGTCACCATTAAGAGTGAATTTTGAACACATTCTTGAAGTAGGGGCTTATAGCTATAAGCTCATTCAACTTTAGCATCTATCTCATCTTCAGTATCTTTTCCAGAATAACTACCTTTACGATCAATCTCTTAGAGTTTTCCAGTTCAAATTTGGGCTTCTTCAGCATTATTGCTTTTCTACATGGAAAAGATAAATAGACTAGAATGTCTTTTCTTTGTCTTTCTCAACGCTCTCTGGAATCAGTTTATTTACCACTTTCTACATGCCATTTGTCTGCACCTCTCAGGTTATATTTCCATAATTTTTGCCTGTATTTGCTGGACCTATTGGTCCTGAGCATAATAGGTCTTCCAGATTTATCTGTTGCATATTTTAGTAAAACTGACATTGAACACACGAAGCACATAGCCATCATGGTATCAATAAAAGCTACTTTTTGAGCATGGAATATATCTCCTCACAGGTAAGATCCAGGCTATAGCAGTTGGTCAGGCAGGTTTTGTCCTGAATATCTACAATAGTAATCTTGGATTTTCTAGATGCAACTTCTTTCTTTGTTTTACAGATCATCAAGGCTCAAATTAAAAAAAAAAAACATAAATAACCCTTGAGACCACCAGATGCAATTTTAGTTCCATGAACTGTTAAAACTAGTATTTTTTTCAACACTTCTTATATTTAACATAACAGGGTTTTCATATATCATATCATATCTTAGTGTATAATATGTCTTTCATAGAAAATAGAGCAAGCATTTTCTTTGTAGCTCCTTTATTTTGCCACTTTTGGTACAGCACTTTTTCTTGACGTCAAAATCTCCATTCCCTCTTAAAAGTGCCAGATTAGACAGATAAATTATATGAAAACAAAAAAAAAATTATATGAAAACATTGATTTAAAAAGTGAAAAAAAACCTCTAAAATTTGAGACTATCATGTTAAAATATCTTAATGACTTTTTTATTAGTTCATCTAATCCCATATTCCAAGCTTAAAATGAGAAGGTTACCTTGAGAAGGGTTTATAGCCAAGACTAGGGGAGTACTCATAGGATCCCATGTAAACCCACAGTCACCAGAACATTTAGATGGAATTCCATTGACATAGACTTCAACCTTAAGGCAAAAGTAAAAAAATTTAAAACACAGAGCAAGAGTACAGAAGTAAAAAAGCAATATAATTTAGTAGAATATATATGCAAACACATAAAAATACTAAATATTTTAATTTGGCTCTAAATTATAATTATGTATATTACATATAATTTAGAGCCAAACAATGACATTTATTTTCATCATAAAACCTAGTATACTACTTTATATTTTTGTTTGACTTTTCCTTCAACTATTCTACAAATGTGTCCATTTCTGTCAAGTACAATTGTAAATATAAGTAAATTATAAATAATTCTGGATTGCTTCTCCTGAGAATCATGCAAAGCACCCAAAAGACAAGATTATGGATCTAGTGTGAAAACCAATGTACAAGAACATTGTAAGTAAACCAGAATAAAATTTAAAAAGATAGGATTATAAAAATATATTCATTTCTTATCTCCAAATGTGATTACTAAATTAGATTATAATATTCCCTCAAAAAACTTATTGTAAATAGTTTAATGACAAATAAGTACTTATATAAATAGTCTAAAATTCCCAAGAATTAATAAAAATAACTTCATTCTGACAAATATTTCTTGTTTTAATTTAATTAAAATTTTTATTTTATACTGCTTTACTTACACATTTCTATATTGGCCCTGAAAACAAAATGTTAAAAAGTAAAGCTTACTAAAAGCATTAGCTAAATGATAAAAGCCCTGGCAATGCAGTAGATAAAGAATTTGGTTACGGACTACAAGGTCAACTGTTCAAACCCACTAACATTCTATGGAGAAAAGATATGACAATCTGCTCTATAAAGATTTATAATCTTGAAAACATAATGGGTAGCTTTACTTTTGTCCTGTGGGGAGCTCTGGTGGCCTAGTGATAAGAAACTGTGCAGCAATCCCACAGGCATTCTGTTCACCAGCTGCTCTGCATGACAAAGATGGGCAATCCCCTGTCTCTGAAAACTCAATGGAGGGCCAGCTACGAGTTGGTTCCAACACCATGGTACACAACAACAAAATTAGGACTGCTGTAAGGTGAAATTTACTAGTCAAGCAATGCATTTTCTTCTGTCTTAAGTATTAATAAAATATGTTTTATTTAGAGTAAAGGAGTACTTTTTATTCATTTCAGGATAAGAGGAATTTATCTTTTGTTTCTCCAAATATCTGGGTCAACAAACATACATAAATAAAATTAATTGGGATGAACTCATTTCTTCTTTGGGAGCTTTGCTAGTATAGTTCATATTGAGTTGTGCTGTAACGTGGATCCCATGCATCTCAGACAGTTGAATCTGCAAGTAATTTAGTAGATGTTGGGCAGTCTCCTCCTGTTGGGATGGACGGCCTACGATCCCCACCAGAGAGACACTATGAACGGGAACTAACTTGACAGCAGTAAATTTGGGTTTCAGGACTTTTTCTTAATAATGAATATCTGCAAAATATATGACTCCAAAGACAGTTTTGACAGGATTTTTCATAGTCAGCTGAAAACTATTATTTAAGAAAAAACTTATATTTAAAAAAACCCATTTTTTGAGAAAAGAATTATTTTACTTTAAGAAATGAGATATCTCATTTTCTTTATGAAATTTTCTCCTAAATAAAATAAGGTAAATAATATAGACTTTAATAAGGTTTAAAATAAGACCATTTCCACCAGATATTGTGAAAAACTCATGAACAAATATAAGGAAAGAGTAATAAAACACAAAAATTGGTAAAGAGGTGTGTGAACATATAACTATGTAGAGAGACACTAGCAGTAAATATGTTTGGTGATAAAGTTTTAATCAATTTTGTGTTGGGTAATAAGTTGTTTCAATTTTGTCACCCAAAGATTGTATATATGTAACAAAGATTAGAATTGGAAAAGGTTTATTAAAAAATGGTTTCTTAATAATTTAATATAGACTGAAAACCTAATGCGTTAATTTGCAATTTTTTAAAAAACTAATGTCAAATACTATGTAAGAAATAGTTAAATGTCTACCTTTAAACATAACAAAATTTTCTTTGATTACTGGGATAGTTAATTTTATTCTTAGTTCAATATGCCTTAAAGGCAAGTAAACAATATAATGAGTTCTTGAATCTAAAAATCTATGAAAATGTTAAAAATCCTAAACTAGTTTACTCAGTTTCAATAATCTTGGTTACTTAAGTTAATTCTCTGTAATCTAAGAAGTTCTTTGTCTCTCAGTTTATGTTAATTTTTATGTTTTCCAACAATAAATGAAGGCAAGCAACTTTAAAAGAAACTTTTTACCTTCTGAATTTTTGGTAAAATAACTCAAGTGGTGTTCTTCAGTGACCTATAATAAATTCCTTACAACTTTAAAAGGTATCCACAAATATTTCTTTCTGTGTTATAGTTGGAAAGTACAAAATAGATTTATTTAACAAGTTCTGGATTTTATGAAACAGTTCCAATCCACAGGTATTCTGTGGAAGAAAGGTGAGCAATCTCCTCTCATGCAATTAACTGTCTCTGGAAATCTACTGGAAGTCAGCTTTGAGTTGGTCCCAACTTGACAGTATAGAACAATATTAATATTAATGCAAAAAAGCATGCCAAGATTTTACTATTTCTATTGTTCATTTGGTTGTCACTTTATTTCAGATATTTTAACAAAACTATCATCATCAAAGTAAATTATTTAACTAGGGAAATTCATATTGTTTACGTACAGAGTTTTATTATTATTACTGTTGTTGTTTGCTGCCAAGGTGGAATCTATCCATAGCTGACCCTCCAGCATGTTTCTGAGGCAGTTAATGACAGGAGATTGCTCATCCTTCTCCTGCAGAGCACTTTACTAATTTTAGTATATTCCTGCTGTATACTACTTAGTATTATATCTCAAAATTGTTTTATCTGATGCTTTTAAAAAGAAATTTAATCCAATATTTCCACATCCCCAACAACATTTATTGCTTGCTGCTTGCTAAACTTTGCCACTGCTACTGGAGTGAGATGATATCTCATAGTGGTTTTGATTTGCAGTCCTTACTGCCAGTGATTTTGAGCCTTTCTTCATGTGTCTGTTGTCCTTCTCAATGTTTTCCTTTGTGAAAAGTCTTTCCATGTCTTTTGCCCATTTTGTAATTGGGTTAGCAGTCTTTTTTCTTCTGGAGGCCCAGTAGTATTCTGTAAACTTATGCTAAAGACCCTTGTCTGAGATGTAATGCCAAATGTTTCTTTCCCACTTGGTAGGTTTTCTTTTCACCCTATTGGAAAGAGTTTTTGATGTGTCTAGAGATTGTAAAATGGTACAGCCACTTTGTAAGGTAGTTTGGTGTTTCCTAAAAAAAACTGAACATTGAAATTCTGTATGACCCATTTACTCTGCCGCTAGAAATATATCCCAAAGAAATTAGAACTGAGGGACAAATGGAGATTTGTACCTCAATGTTCATAGCAGCTTTATTCACGAACATGAGAACATGAAAACAGCCTAAATGTCCAACCTCAACTGAATTGATTGAGAAATTGTAGTGCATCCACACAATGGAATATTATGCAGTATTCAGGCCGCAAAAATTTAAAAAAAATACTACGTAACTTGGGAGAGACTGGATAGCATTATGCTAACTCAGTTTCATGAGGATAAGTACTGCACAAGGCCATTGTAAAAATACAAGGATACTAGTAAAACATGTATGGGGACCCAAGGTGGGAAGGGGTGGGAACAAAGGGGTGAGGATGGTTAGAGATGAAATCACATAGTTGAACAATTTGGTGGGTGGAGGGAGAGACAAAGGAAATGGGAAAGATCTGACAAGGACCTGCAAAGACAGGGTAATGGTGGCATAGTCCAATGGCAATCAATTTTATAAAACATAATGAATGAGAATAATTCTATGAAACACAATGTAAATGAAGAGTGTGAAACACAATGTATATGAACTTTGTAAGCAAACTGATATAAAATAAAAATCTTAAAAATATAGTAATTAAAAATAAGGTTAATCATTATGGTTAAAGTATTTTTCTGTCTAAAGTGTCACTTTAGTTAACTTTAGTTGACTTAACATTGCTTTTATATTATTTTGACATCAGATCTTGGCAATTTTAAGAATTGCTATCACAAATTAACCATGAACATTTTAAGTTGTCACTTGTAGATATTATATTTTAATTTGTAAATTCAGTGAAAATGCTTGATCAAAATATTTCAACAAAAAATGGCCTATATCTAACTTATGAATAGGACTACAATATTTCAAATGCGGATACTAATAGATGAAATCCAGATTTCCAAAATTCTTATGTAAAAGCTGATCAGTTTTTTTTCCCAATCAACATTTTTGACTGCTGCTGGTTCACAACTGTATGGAAATAAGGTTAAATAGGTAGAACCAAGCAAATGAGAAGAACTGGTATGCTTTCATTTTATATGAGTGTATTATTGACGTTGAGGATTTATTTTCTAGAGTAATTACATGAAGATTGATCCATCATCCTCCCTTATGAAATATCATGTAAAGCTTGCTTCTCACAGATCTGAGAAGCATTTAATGAAGCTAAGTTTCTCTGCAGGTTACTTTATCTCAATTAAAGAAAGTCAGTGAACCAACTTGGACTCAATATAAGGAAGTCAAGGAACTAATTTGGGGCCTTGAGGTGATACTGTGACCTGCTCAGAACCATAAGCAGATGACATCAGACAATGTTATCTATCAAAAAAATGCAGAGCAAGAACTTATGCAGTTTTGTTTGTTTGTTTGTTTTTTTAATGTAGGTTGTTTATTTTTCATTTCAATGAACATCTACAGAGATTTTGGAATTCCATTCATTCATTGTTGCACTCTTCTCCCCGCACAAACCCCTCCCCCCTCCCTTTTGCTCCTCTCCTTGAAAAGCAAAAGAAAAACTCCCTCATTGGTACACAATCCACCCCCCCACACCTCCCCAAACTCCACCCCCTATCCCCAAATATAATCCACTCTGCAACCCTCGTTCCATACTCCTACAGTTTTTTAATGTCACTGGACTCTGTTTCATCATAGTAGTCTGTTTAATACTCAGTCTTTGTAATAGAATTGTTTTATAAACTTAGACTCATCAACTGGTAAGAAAATTCAAGCACATTACTTTTATAGATGTGTTTACCTTTGCTTTTATTATTACAGCTATTCATAAACTGATAGCTATAATAAACTTTATATTCATTTAATCCTCTACAATCCTTAAGATAATTGCTTTTTACATTGCTTTGTATTTGAAACTATTTGTTTTGTCAGTGAACCATTATTCTTTAATGGCATTTTATTCTCCCAAGCAAATAATTGAAAAGAACCTGTTTTCTTACAGCAATTATTTTTTCTTCATTTCCCTCCACTATAAAGTCTTTTTTCCTTATTCTTTTTCTAAATCCAGTTAGCACTTTGAAAGAGATTGCCTTTACTAAGTCATCATCAGTAGCTAATACTAGTAATTGGATGAACTTCTGGATTTGTTCCTCTTTGCAAGATCATTCTGACTCCTTATCATGGGTTGAGTGGTGTTCCCCCACTAGACTTCACACTCTGCAAAACATGTGTGTGTGTCATGATGTAATGTGGAAGTTATGCAATAATCCTCCATGATGCAGACACTACACACTTACAACATATTAAGTATCAAAACCTTTAATCCTATTTAATCCTATTCTAGATCTGATCTAATATAAGGGAAATTTCTCCGTGTGTGACCTGCATCATCTTTTGTCTTAAAAGAGGCAAAAGGTGAGAGACTCGATTAGAGAGCAGTAGCTGCAACAGTGAACTCATACATGACGGTAACTTTGAATGATACAGGACTGAGCAATGTTCCTCTATGAGTCAGGATCAACTCAGTAGGAAGAATGCAGCACTCATAATTCACACTCGTTGCTATTTCACTCTCCATCTAGCTGAAAATTGCAAAAAGAGGAGATGGCTCATCTTTCTCTTGAAGAGTCTATGGTGGATGTGAACCACCAGATATATGCAGCCTTTGAGTAAGCTTGGTTATCAAATAGGCTAGCATCATGACCTGAAGATGAATCTCTAGACTAATGGAAGGTGAAAAGGACACAGTATCTTCACAAGATCAAAAGGGGTAAAATAGATAGAGCAACATAAAAAGTAACTTTCTAGAGCTGTTGCGGAGTATGACTCACAGTGACCTTCTGAATAACAGGACTGAACCTTACCCTATCCTGCACCACCCCTGCAAGTGCGTTGCAGCAGCTGTCCTGACTGAGTCATTATACCCTGTTACCAACCTGCCTTTTGGCTTCCCTAATAATTCTTATAATTGTGACTCTGGTTCCATGTGCTCTGTAAGCTACTGCAATGGATTTCGGACCTAGCAGAGCAGTAATATTGGTGTTGGAATTAGTAGAAAGAGGTGAGGGAGCATGTGGGACATATCTGATCTATAGAGAATTGGTTTTACATTGTGGATGTTGTTAATGAGGCTGTTTCCCTTTGAGGAGCAGGTAGAAATCAGCTATAGCTATCACTGTCCCCATGATGCCCTTGCTTGTTTTACAGAAACTTTAAGCTGACTTAATTTGATGCATAAGGAAATATTTTCTTTTCCACCAAGTTATATAAGCCATTCCCTAAACCACATTGAATAAGAAAACCCTCTTTTCAGAAAAGACTATCCTGATTGTTTTGTGACTCTCTGTGAACCTTATTATTGTTACGAAGTTGTAACTAATTAACAAAGTCCACATATCACAGAGGTATAATTCTTTAAAAAGATACCCACACCACCAAGGAATCAATAAAGAATCTTCAAAGTAATGATTGTAAAGTCCCTGCTTTTGTTAATTCACTATTGTTTATAGAGTTGCTATGTGTTAAAGTGAACACAATAGTACTTAACAGTAACAGCAAGCATTTCAGAATATTATGTTGTTATTGCTTGTTTTAATAATATAAATATTGCATAGATGTCTGTAGCTTCTTAGAGAGTATAGTTCTTCCAGACTCTATCTGCAGCTTAAATGGTATTTTCCCATATATAAATATTTTTATCTTAAATTTTTACCACTGGGCAGATTGACAGCATCATGATAGATGGTGACGAGATTGAGATTATTGACAGTTTTAGTTTGTTTGGCTCCACAATCAACACTCTTAGTATCAGCAGTCAGGAAATTCAAAGACAAATTGCACTGGGAAAGTCAGCTGTAAGAGACCTCTCCAAAGTACTGAAAAGCAAAGGTTTCAGTCTAGAGATTAAGGTGTGCCTAATCCAGGCCATAGTCTTTGCAATTACTTGTTATGCCTCAGAAAGCTGGACAATGACTAGGGATGATAGAAGGAGAATTGATGTCTTTGAGCTGTGGTGTTGGAGAAGAGTACTGAATGTACTACAGACTGCTAGGAGAACAAACAGATTCGTCCTAGAGAGGGTGAAGCTAGGCTGCTCCTTGGAGGCAAGGATTCTGAAGTTTTGTCTGATACTTTGGATATGTTGCAAGGCGGGACCAGAGCTTGGAGAGGGACGTCATGCTTGGGAGGGTGGAAAGACAGTGTAAGAGAGGAAGACCCTCAATGAGATGGATTGATTCAGTGACTGGGATAATAGGAGTAGGTTTGTCAGAAACAATAAGATTGGGACAGTGTAGAGTTTCGGGATAAAGTACACAGGGTCTCTATGAGTCACTGGTTACTTGTTAGCACATAACAACAACAACAACAATAGATCATGAGTTTCATGCTACTACACAAATCAATATATATTTTGTTTGATGGTAATTAATGCTAGGAGGAAACCATAAATAACACTTGGTAAAATATCTAACTGCTAAACTAAAAGTTAACTTTCATATTCAACTTTAATTTCTTCCTCATCAAAATGGTAGCTTTAATAATTACTTCAAAAAACTACTGCCAACTTTAAGGAAGAGAATATGCTTTGAAATTCTAATAGGCAAGCTAATTTGAAAATCCATTCTTTTGGCATGTTGTGCTGTTGTTGTTGTGTACCATCCAGTCAGATCTGACTCACAGATGACCCTTCAGCAGGTTTTCAGAGGCGAAGTTCATCTCACGGGAGGAGATTGCCCATCTTAGTCTCCCAGCAGACTCTCAAACTAATAAAATAATATTATTGAGTTGATTAACTGTTATCACTAGTAAAGATGTCATCTCTTCTCTTTCTGGGTCTTAAAAAAATTACATACCAAGAGAAAATAGTTTCAGATTTACCTGTGGCTGTGGGCTGGGTGTTCGAAGTAGGTCTCCAAGAATACGTTGCCTGAATAAGCCACCTTCCTTTATCCTTGTAACAGTCATATTAACCTTTTCTCCAATAATTTTTGAATCATTAATCTATTTTTACACAAAATGATTTTTTTAGAAAGACTATGATAAACATAACTATATTAGTTTTCCACTGAAATTTTAACATGCTTGAAAATGAACATGAATGAAAGGTAATAGGAAAAAAAATCAAAACCACATTATCAACATTTCTTGAAAAAGAAACCTCTCAAAAAGGAAGAAAATATAACAAGGAAAAATACAAATAAACCATTGTTACATTATGCACTGTATTAATTACAACTTTGAGTTAAATGTTAATATTCACCTTCATATTTAACTGAGATCATAGCTGAATCATGTGATATCTATAGTCAGATAATACTAACTTATCTTTTAAGAAAACGGTACTAGTTTACTTTTTTGACAACAGTTCATGAGAGAGACTGTTTTTTCATCGTTTTCTAGACACTCCTGCAAATTCTGGGCTCTCATACTCTTCTGTATTCCTTCCCACACTCTAACAAAACAAAGGCAATTAGATAAGAGCTTAAAGTGTGACCCCTTTATAACTTTAAAATTTGTTATAGCCCCCAAATACAGGTCTTATGTTGTAACGACAGAGAATGAAATTTAGCCTGCTTGTCCCACCCACTTAGTCCCGATTAAACTGAGACTGAATTTGTCAATGTTCTTTCTGCCTTCATTAAGGATCTTCTAACCCTCGTATTCCTGAACTTTCCCCACAGGAGAAAGGAACAGAATACCAGGGCATATGCCTTCCGTGAAAGAGAACTGAATTTAGAGATATCTTCTCTACTGCTCTTCTATTTTTCTGGCTACAGTTTGCATGAGCTGTTATTAGGCACTGTTGAGTCGACTACAATTCATAGTGGCCCTATGAAACTGATCAGGACCTTGCCCTACTCTGTGCCTGTGGTTTTCATATATGTATTCATTCTCACAGTCTCTCCGGAATGAGGTAGGATTTACATAAGCATCAAGACGTAGAGGGAAACACACATTAAACCAAATGAGCGCACCTGGAGAATGTTTTGCCTTCCACACACGCTTTCCCACTTGATGTTCCATGAGTAGCCAGCACAAGTTCCCTCTCGAGTAACTGAGACTTGTCCCATTTCTCCCAGACTCTGGAGAGCGAACTGTAAATCCACAGCTGACACATCAGCGGGGAGGCCTGCACTCACAGAGGGAAACAGGTGTCAAACTTTTCAAACCAAGTTCATCTTTGAGACAAATGAAATAGGTACTATTTATGATCACTTGTCCACCAAATGTTCTCTTCCAATATAGTAAAAATGAAATTTGCATCTTTTACTTACAGGATGATAAGGGTTTTTATATTTATTGGAAGTAAAATCACACACCTAACATGCTTCAAGTCACTGAATTGGCTCAAATACCTTTATTTCTAGTATTAATTTACTCTATAGAGTAAATTACAGAGTAAGCCATTGTTACAAATGAGTAACAAATTTGAGGACTGTAATATTTTTATATTTAACGTGGTAGCAAAGAAAACATCATTTGTTCTGAATCATTTCTTTACTAGCATAATCTCAACAGCATACATTATGTAAAAAACTAATTAGAAAAGAAAATATGCCAAAATGTTTATTAGCATTGTTGAGATCACCTCTGTCCAATAGATACGATGCATCTTGACATGCAACTTTTAAATTTTATAGCAGGCCAAATTTTTTTAGAATGGAAAATAATAGGTAAAATAATATCTAATGATACATTCTCTTTAAACCATTGCTGTTGAGTTGAATCTAACTACGATGACCCTTTGTCTGTCAGAGTACTATGGTGCTCCACAGGGCTATCTAGGCTGTAGTTCTACAGAAGTAGCCGCTAAGTCTTTCTTTCTGGACCCTGGTTGGTGATTTGAGCTGCCAACATTTCAGTGATACTATTTGTATTACTCAGGGCCTCATCATTATATTAAAAATTTTATTAATTTAAGCATGTAGTACTGTTATTTCAAGAGCCCAGTAGATTTGTAAGCCTGTTGGCTAAACCCAATGAACAGAAAAGACCTAGACGTCATACAGGTGCCTTTTAAAAAGAGTATACACTTGCATATTAGAGAAACAGAGTGAAACATGTTAGGAATAGGAGGAAGAAATGAAAGTGCAGCTAACTGCCTCCATGAACAACTGTCTCCTTTGCCATACAACAAGAACTGGGTGATGTTCAGTTAATAACACTGATCATTTTGGTCAAAGTTTCTATAGCAGAATTCTGATCAAAAGGGGGAAAATTCAGAATTTCAAATTCTCATGGACTGTAGAATTTCTGGAGCCATAAAATTAAAATATCTCATGAATTTCCAAAAGAACAAACAGATTTGTCTTGGAAAAGGTGCAGCCAGAATGTTCCTTGGGGGCAAAGATGGTAAAGCTTGGTCATTCGCACTTTGCACATGTAGCTAGGTGAGGTCATTCCTTGGAAAGGGATGTCATGCTTGGAAAGATGGAGGGTCAATGACGGAGAGAATGACCCTCAATGAGACGGATTGGCACGGTGACTTCAGCAATGGGCTTTAGAGTGTCAGAGATGATGAAGATGGCACAGGACTGGGCAAGGTTCAGGTTGGCTGCTCAGAGGGTTCCTATGTGTTGTACTCAACTCAATGGCACTTAACAATGACAACAACAAAAAAAGGTGCATGAACCTCTGAAACCACTGGCCTACAATAATCTTTAACCCCTAAGCCAAAAAATATGACCAGGGGTGAGTGGAGGGTGAAAATGGGGAGTTAGTATTAGAGGGGCACTGGTTCTTGTTAGTGATGAGCGTGTGGGAATGGACTGTGATGATGGTTACACAGCAGGGGAAATGTAATTAATGCCACTGATCTCTATGTGTGAAATGGCTGAATTGACAAACACTGGTGTTACGTACGTTTTACCACAATGAAAAGCTAGAAATTGCAAGTGTTTTATCATAATAAAATTCCAAAATAATTTCAAGTGATACATATATATATTCATTCACATGCACATATTATGAATAATTTTCATATACCTTTGAGAATATGTCCATTAGCTTGAATGTCAAAGCTGCCACTTAGAGGGGCAGATGCTGCCTGAATTCTTTGAATACGAATCTGAGCATCCCCTGGCCAATTATTTCCTCGGTAAACAACCTCATTCTCTGTCTCATTTCTGATTACCTAATTCCCAAAATAAATATTGATAAAATGATTAAACTTGAAACTGGTTAACATGATTTCCATTTCACCACGGTACAAATCTGTGACATGACATAAATGAGCCTAATGTATTCAGGTTTCTTCTGCACATTAAAGAGAGTCACATCAATCAACACAGGCCGTACCTACATGGCCGCAATAATGAGGCCAAAGTCAACTCAGTCATCCGTGCCGCAATCAGTCCGACGAGCAGTAATACCTCATTAATTCAGGATGTACCCTCCCTCACTCAAGGAATAAATATTCATGGAACACACATTCTGCAATAATCATTGTGGAGAGGCAAAGAAGCATGAGATACACATTTGGCTATTAGCAAACAAAAATCCTTTTTGGAGAAATTGTACATGGGGACTAGGAAACTCAAGAAAGGACACGGTCAGTAAGCTGGATCAAATTCAGGAAATATTTGTTTAATGCTGATCTACTACTAAGCAAGTGATGGAAATTAAAAACCATATAAAAATCCTCTGAATGTCAACTCAGAGTAAAAATAAAAGTTTCTTGCTTTTGGTATCTTCAAGTAGGGTAAGTATTCACACTGCCAACCCAAAGGCAGAGAGTTTGAACCCGTAGTTGTTCCATGAAAGAAAGAGGTACAATCCACTTCTGGATGATTCAGTGGATTTTCAGAGGCTATAAACTCCACAAGACAAGATTGTCCTTTTTTTTTTTCTCCCCCCCTCTTCAGAGCAACTAGTTGATTTGAACCATGTGCCTTTTGGTTAGCAGCACAACTCCTTACCACCAGGTCATCAGAACGCACTATAATTAATTTGTTGTTGTTTTGTGCTGTTGAGTCAGAACCTTATCACTAGGTCACCAGAGCTCGGTACGTGATAACTATACTAGTTAATTATGACTTAATTTTTAATCTTGAGTCTTTCATAATGGGTGTTTGTAAGAAATTACATTAACATATATTTTATCAGAAATTAAAATATTCATATTTGAAATAGTTAATAAATTATTGATCTTTCATAAAAACCAGCGTATAAAATTATTTTGATACTTTAAAATTATGAAAAGCCACTTTTTTACTTCTGTAAATTTTGGTACAGCATAAAAGGTTTTCTTTATAAAAGAATCTGATTTTTCTTTTAAATATCTCTGTTCAAGAATATGTGCTGGAAGAGTGTACATTTTACCTTTGGAGTTAACTGGGAAAACACTGCTTAATTTTAACTAATAGTTTATTAAGGGTATTGTTTCTTGCTTTTTCCCCTCCAAAATTATATTTCTTGAAGAATTCTTTTCTTTTCACAGCCTAATTCACTGCCATCGAATTGGAACAGACTCATACTGACCCTGCAGCAAGTTTTCAGAGGTTGTAAATCACACGGAAGGAGACTGCTAATCTTTCTCCTACAGAGTAGTTGATGGATTCACCACCTTACTGTTAGCAACACAATTCCCTAGAGACTGAGGTACCAGAGCTCCTTATATTCATAGGCAAGTTGTAAAGGTTTCAAATTCACTTTCTCATACAGTAGTTTTCTTGTCCTATTTTGGGCCATATGTCCGCTATTTTTTTAGAACAATTAAAATGCTATTATAACAAAATGAATTCTCCATAAATTGCTTGAGCATTTTTAGCCTTACCTGTCCAAAGCTGGCAATGATCATGGGAATATTGTAGCTGCAGTTATACACAGTCATGGTGATAGAATACTGGCTGGCCATAGCTGACTCACTTATTTTTGTCTGATTCACCTGAAAGTGCCTTAAGAATATTCCTTTACTTGCTAATGCTGGTGGTCTTCTCTTTGGCATTTCTGAAGAACATAAGTAAATAAAGCAAATGGAGACTGAAACTGCATTGAGTCATCAGCTAGTGTCAACAGGTCATACATTAAATAAGCTAAAGGAAAGCAGTTTGGGAAGCTTGGTACTTCTAGAATAAAAATCTTTAATGTCTTTCAACAGGAGCATCATCAGCTAAAACAAAAGATTTAAAGCCCCATTAGCTCTGGTGGTGCAATGGTTAAAGCAATCTGCTGCTAATTACAAGGTCAGTGATTTGAACCCAGCATTGGTTCCAGGAGAAAAAGATGGAGCACTGTTTCCATAAAGATGCACAGACATGGAAGAGTGTTATAGACCCCGAGCAGTTAATGCTACTCTGTCCCACAGACTCTCCATGAAAATAGGTCTACATTGTGGTAGATGGTTTTTCAAAATAAAACAATAACACAGAAAATGGTTGTCACAGTTAATTTATCCATGAACAGGATATAGGTTATAAAACTAATTTTGGCCATATCAAGAAATATAAGTGTATTCAAGATCACCCAATTCATTTAAAAATTAGGTTTAATCATAATATTATTGAAACAAAAGTATAATCTGTTAATTCTAGAAGTTGTTATTTCTATATTATAGAATATAAAAATAATTTCTATGCTAAACTTCTTCTATATGATAAAGTTAAAAAGTTTAAGTAGATATGAAATAAGACAAGAATACCATCCAATGTTGAGATAGTAGATATTTGGCCAATGTATACCACATCCACATAGAAGGACTGCGATTGAGATGCTGGCTGTAAACTAATCCTCTGTAAAAAAAAGTTGGTCCCAGCATACTTGGTTTGTATGAGATCCAGAAGGTCGATGCAAGTGTAGATCCAGCTACAATATGATGAGTTAAATTAGGTGAAAAGATCAATTCAACACTGTAAACATTAACGGCTTAAAAAAGAAAATAATATTTCACAAGATCAACAAACATCCCTTATTAGCACAAAAAGTCACCATAACAAGACTAAGAAAGCAGAAACTAATGCTGATGGTAAAAATTATTTCATGTCTTCTATTCTAAATGACAAAAAAGGTGCTAACTTGCTTGCAGATGATACATGTGTTTGCGTAGTATGTCTTTAGTCTGTAATTTAGATTCAGATTTTCTATTAAGTATTAATTAACTGCATTGGAAGCCAACAAATTATAATAAAGCATTTCAACTATGAATATTTTCAACAGAGATACAGTCATTTAAGCAACTAAGTTCAGTTTGACAATAAATATTGTCATACAAATAACTAATCATGGTTTAATAGTAATTTCCATTGACCATCACTATAGTTTTTGACTAATTATTTTGGACAATTTCTCTTTTCATTTTATTTGTGGTCCAAAATTTATCATGAGATTCAGCTGTAACTAATCAAAGTTTAGACTGTGCATGACAGTTTAGAAAATGGTATGTAAGATGAGATCATCTTAAGTTAGTGCTCTTTAAATAGGAAAAAATTATCTAGGGCATCTAAGCTGAATTATGATATTTATTATATAATCTGAAGTTTTAAAAAGTATTCAGGAGTGGCATCCAACATGCCTCTGGAAACTATGAACTCTGATAAATGCTGATAGTTATAGAGGAGCCTCAGGCCTTTGTTCTAGGATCACTACGAGGCATTCTCAACTTGAAGGCAACCGACAACAACTTAGAAAATATGGTATATTGAAAGTTTTCAAAATCTTTGATTAAAAAAGCTGTTTTTCTAGTCCAACATATGACAAATTATGGAATATATTTATGTCTAAAGGAGTGGATTGAAAGCTGGTCCTGCATTTTGAAAAATTTTGGAATGAGGGCTCAGTCAGAAAGTTTGAAATTACAGAAGTGGGAAGCAGTTTCAGTGACTAGAAACAAATTCCTCTGTCAAATTTGTCATTTCTTCTCTGTCAATTTTCCTTACCATTTTCTTTTATTTTGTTTATGGTTCTATCTTCAACTGCGGGTCATTTACTCCTCTTCCTCTTTGGAGGATAAGAAGCACATAATTGGCCTCATACTTGTTCCCAAACCATTTAGTGCAGAGCTGTCATAGTACTATTCTTATGATGTTGTTGTTAGGTGCAATTGAGCCAACTACAACCCACAGTAGCCTGATGAACAGCAGATCCCACCCTGTCCCGTCCTGCGATAATCCTCACCATCTCCAACATATGCAAGCCCATTGCTGAAGTCACTCTGCCAATCCATCTGGTTGAGAGTCTTCTGCTTGCCCTCTATCTTTCCAAGGATGATGTCTCTCTCTAAGGAATATCCTCTCCTAACAACATACCCATAGTATGAGAAATGAAGCTTTATTTCTTTAGCCTCAAAGGAGAACTTTGGCTGTACCCTCTCCAAGACATAACTCTTTGTTTTTCTGGCAGTCCATGGGATACTCAGTATTCTTCCACACAATGGCTCAAAAGCATCAATTCTTCACTGTCCAGCTTTCAGATGCATAGATAATGATTGAAAAGATCATGGCCTGAATCAGTCACACTTTAATCTTCAAAATGACATCATTGTTCCTCATTAATTTGAAGGGTTCCTCATTGCAGACTTTCTCAGTGCAATAAGTCTCCTGATGTCCTTCTGACTACTGGTACAAAGGGAGTTGATTGTGGATCCAAGTAAGATGAAGTTGTTGATAGTTTCAATTTTTTTTCTCTATACATCATGATGTTGCCTATCAGTCTAATAGTGAGAATGCTTGTTTTCTTGTCATTGAGATGCAATCTATATTGAAGGTTGTATTTATTGATATTGTGCATCAAGTGCCTCAAAGTCTTCTTTACTTTTAGTAAGCAAGGTTATGCCATCTGCATAATGTAGGTTATTGAGTCTTTATCTGATCCTGATGCTATATTCTTTTTCATAGAGTCTACCTTCTTGAATAATTTCCTCAATATAGAGATTGCACAGGTATGGAGAAAGAAAACAACCCTGATGCATTCAATGTTTATGATAAGAACAGAAGATGGTCCTCCAAATATCACAACACAAGTAAAACCTTAAACCTTCAAAACACACTAAAGTCCTGGTGGTATGAGGGTTAAGCACTTAATACCACTTCAAATTGGTGGTTTAAATCCACTAGTGGCTTGGAAGCAGAAGGGTGATATGCTCATGTTACTTTTATGACTGTAGGAAATCCTACGAGGAAGTTCTAACCTGTTATATAAGGTTGCTATGAGTCAGAATTCACTCCATAGGATACAACAAGAAAGGACATGCAAGTCATAAAAATCTATGTAAAGTAGAAGAGATATCAATGTGGCTACGACAGGGGGAAAATTGTAATATTTTCAAGTTGCAGAAATCAGACACAATGCAAACACTGTCCTCAAGTTGGAACCAACTCATAGCAGAGGCTGTTAATGGCATAGGAGAATCCACAGCATTTTCCCATGGAGTAGTTACTGGATTTGAACAGCTTGCCTTTGGTTTGGCAGTGCGACTCCTTACCCAGTAGGCCACCAGGGCTCCCTACAGAGACTGTACAATGGTTCAAAATTACCTTTTATGGTTTTTTTTTAGCCAGAAATGAAAAAGAATTTTATGTAAGCAAAGAACACCCTGTTATGGTTCTCAGACGTTTCGAGGCCCATTTTGGTAGCAAAGACACTAACAGAAAGAAAGGAAGCAGGAAGGAGAGAAAGGTGTTCTTACAATGGATTCCCACTCCTGGGATGAGAGGAAAAGACCAATGCATGATTACTTCTAAAGGCACATTTTATATTCTAAAATGATATACGTTGTTTTCTTGTTAGGTGCTCTCAAGTCAAGCACGACTCACAGCGACCCTATGAACAACAGACCTGAACCTGGCCCTGTGCTGTGCCATCCGCATCACCTCTAATATACTTGAGCTTGTAGTTACAGTCACTGTGTCGACCCACTTTGTTGAGGGTGTCTGCCTCTAGTAAATGTTACATACTTTTTATTAGAGCCATGGTTACAGGGTTAGATACATGTATCAACATGTTAAACTGTGCTATAAAAAAAGAAATATTGCTTTTCATAAAATTACATCTCAATATACATGACTTTAAAAGGAGCTCTGACAGTGTAGTGGTTAAAACACTTGACGAGTAACCTCAATCATAGGTAGTTTGAATCCACCAGCTGCTCCATGGGATGAAAAGAGGCAGCTGAGTCTGCAAAGATTTACAGTCTTGGAAACCCCATGTCACACTGAACTCTGTGCTAAAAGGCTGCTGTGACGTGGAATCTTCTTGATAGAAGTGGGTATGTAGTTTTCAGACAGGACTGTAAAAGGAGTCCTGGTGACACAGTGAACCGATTGCCAGTACTAACGCCGCAGCCACTCCATGGGAGAAAGGTGTGACTGTCTGCATCTGTAAAGACTCCAGCTGATGAAACAGTTTTACGGTGCCCTAACGGCTTGCTATGATTCAGAATAGACTCAATGACAACAGGTTTTCGGGGAATAAGCATATCTTTAATAATTTTGAAAAAATATTTTGTGAAAGTGGAGAGTTGTGTGTGTTTATGTATATGTGTATTTCTTCATCATTTCCTTACTTTAAAATTATTTTTGTGTGTGGAGCCCTTATGAAAGTGTAGAGCTGAGCATGATATAAATTTCAGGAGATATAATAATTAATAAGAACCAAAACATAATTATACAGAAGTAAATCGGGCCTTGAGGCATACTAATTATGGTCATTAAATAGCTTTCTTTAGACTCATTCAGTTTCTCCCTTTATCTTTCTATTTGAATTTCTATGAGTTTAATTTTGGCAAAGTAAGTATAATTTCAAAATATCTTTTCTTTCTCACTTTTGATAGATTAATGAAATACTTTAGTTTCCCCATTAATATGTAGCAAGCACTTTCATTTGACAATTCAAATCTAGTCAGTAGTAATGAAATTCAGACAATGACTAATGAAGACTGAAGAAGAATTGATACCTTTGCATCGTGCTGATAGAATACCATGGGCTTCCAAAAGAACAAGCAAATTAGTCTTGGAGGAAGTGTAACTTTAGAGGCAAGGATGGTGAAAATTCATCTCACATACCTTGATCATGTTGTCAGAAAGGGTCAATCCCTGGGAAAAGACATCATTCTGGGAAAGTTAGAGGACCAGCAAGAGAAAGACCCTCAACGAGATGGCCTGACACAGTAACAATAACAAGGGCTCAAGTACGTTGAAAATCTGAAGACAGCATGGGGTTGGGGGCGATTTTGATTTGTTGTTCAGAGTCACTATGAGTTGTCAACTGAACAGCAACAAAAACAACAGCAATAGTGACAACCAAGTCTCTACCTTGCTTCAGTAACTAAGAAAATATTGAATTTAACATCATCCTCCAAAACTAGCCCAGTGCTGTGAGTCAATACTGATTCACAGAAATCCTCTCCTGGGTTTCTAAGGACGTAAATGTTTAGAGGAGACTACCCATCTTTCTCTTATGGAATAGTGGGTGAATTTGAAAGTTTTGGTCAGCAGCATAATAGGTAGCACACTATGCCACCAGAGTTCCTTAAATTTAACAATAGGCACCACAACAAGATAAAGGTAAATAATCCAATAGAAAAATGGGCACAGGATATGAACAGACACTTCAAAGAAGAAGACATTCAGATGGCCAACAAGCACATGAAGAAATGCTCAAAATCCCTAGCTCTAAGAGAGATGCAAATCAAAACAACCATGAGATATCATCTCACCCCAGTAAGAATAGCAAAATTTAACAGAATAGCAAGCAACAAATGCTGGTGAGGTTGTGGAGAAACTGGAACCCTTATTCACTGTTGGTGGGAGTGTAGAATGGTGTAACCACTGTGGAAGGCAGTATGGCACTTTCTCAAAAAGTTGCAAATAGAAATAGCATTTGACCCAGCAATTCCACTACTGGAACTATACCCCAAAGAGACCATAACTGACATCCAAGCAGATATATGCACACCCATGTTTATTGTGGCTTTGTTCACAATAGCAAGGAGTTGGAAACAACCTAAGTTCTCATCAACAAACGAATAGATAGAGGAGCTGTGGTATATTCACACAATGGAATACTATGCTGCATTGAAAAACAAGGAACTCATGCAATGTTATTCAAAATGGTGACCCTGGAGGACATTATGTTGAGTGAAATATCTCAGTCACTAAAGGGCAAATACTGAATGGTGCCACTGTTGTAAAACAGAACTGATATCAGGATTGGGGGGAGACTGAGAAAGATGGGTTCAATAATGTACGTTGTTGTTGTTGTTGTTATGTGCCATCGAGTCGTTTGCGACTCATAGAGACCCTATGTACAACAACCCTAAACCCTGCTCTATCCTGTGCCAATCACATTGCCTCTGACACACCCATCCCGATTGCCCGAGTCACTGAATCAATCCACCTCATAGAGGTTCTTCCCCTCCTGAGCTGTCCCTCTACTCTACCCAGCATGATGTCCCTCTCCAAAGATCTGTCTCTCCTTGCAACATGTCCAAAAGTATGCCAGATGAAGCCCCAGAATCCTTGCCTCCAAGGAGTAGCCTGGTTTAACCCTCTTCAGGATGAATCTGTTTGTTTTCTTGGCAGTCCATGATACAGTCAATATTCTTCTCCAGCACCACAGCTCAAAGGCGTCAATTCTCCTTCTGTCTTCCCTAGTACAGTGCATTGAAATAGATGAGGGAGAAAACTGTTTAAAAGGGATATATGAGTAGGTATTTTTGTCATGACATGAGTCCAGAGTGAAGGCTGCATAGTGGAGTGGACCTGGAGGAGGGTTTGTAAAACAATGAAAGAATTTTCCTTTTCCAAGAGGGTAGTGTACTAGGGGGGAGGGTTAGGAGGGGAGAAAAGTGCAACAATGATTGAATGGAAATCCAAAGTCTCTGTAAATTTTCATTGAAATTAACAATAAATTTAAAAAAAATTAACAATAGAAGTTAAATGTTAAACCTTACCATTATTTTGACCCTTACATGGTCAATGGTGATAATGATAAGAAATATGGATTTCATATTGGTACAACTATTCTGATTAGAAAGTTTATGTTGAGGAAAGGGAAATTGTTGTCAGATCCACATGTATTATATTTTAAACATATTCAATGGCTTTCTTTTATGTTCTTAGCTTTCAAATGAAGTGCAGCTGAAGTTATCAAATTCCCAATGTAACTTACTTGCTTCCAGAGGCAAAGTTAAAGGAGAGTTGTACATCTGTGCTTCTAGTGTTCTTGTTGTTGTCTTGGTAATGGAATTTGAGACCAATATGATTTGCCAGGAATCCTTTGTATGCTAAGCATAACTACATAAGAAATATGCACAAAAGAAAATCAGGAATCGCATCTCCACATTGCATTGTTTGAAAACAAATTAATTCAATAAGTATTTACTAACCACATAAAATTTACCAGAACGACTGATTTCAGCCAGTTATCATGTAAAAGATGACCTGTATAAGATTTTCTCAAAAGGGAAGTGGACTTGAAGTGACTTTATAATTAATAACTAATCCTTTATTGTTTTCTTATACATTTTTTCCTAGAAAAATGAGAATCATTCATTCCTTGAGGAGTGATGTATTCATTAAACCCAGTTTTACCAAATTGTTCAGTTAATGTAAAAGTCCATTTCACATGAATACAGAGGTGAGGTAAACCTTCTAGTAGGTTAGTTTGAATTTGCATATGATTGACCATTTACTCATCAGAGATGAACCCACTGTAACATGGTTGTTGTTCTTTTTAGCTGCTACTGAGTCCAGTACAATTCACACCAACCCTATGAATAACCTTGCTCTATCTTGTGCCATCCTCACACACTCTGACTCGCTCAAGCCCATTACTTCAGTCACTGTGTCAATACATCTGGTTGAGGGTCTTCCTCTCCCTTGCCACCCCTCCACATCTGCAAGCATGATGTCCCTCTTCAAGAAATAACCTCTGCTAGCAACAATGCACTACATCGCCTGATCTCCTTACTGCAGGTACCAAGTGTGCTGTGGAGATCCAAGCTGAAGTCACTAACAGTCTCCTCCATCTATGCTCCATCTATCATGATGTTGCCTATCTGCCCAGTGGCAAGGATTTTTGTTTTCCTGACATTGATGCAATGTTTATTAAAGGCTTAAGGATTACAGCTTTGGAAATCTTGACTTTATCCTATAGGCTTTCTATGACACAGAATCAACTCCAAGGCAATGTGTTGTTGTTGTTGTTACATGCTGTTGAGTCTCTTCGAACAGCTCTAAACCCTACTCTATCTTGAGCCAGCCTCCACCCTTCTAAATATGTCCTTCTCTAAGGACTAGTCCTTCCTTGCAATACTCCCAAAGTATGTCAGAGTTGCAGCCTAGTAGTTGGTATTTAAATACCACTATTTTACAGTGTAGGAAGACTCATCAAGAACCTTTGTTATGCAGATGGTGCACTCTTATTCACTGAACATGAGAAGAACTTAAAGTACTTGATACAGAAGGTTAAACACTGAGCCTGATTCAGGCTGTGGTCTTTTCAATCACTTGTTAAGCATCTGAGAGATAGAAAACAGATAAGGACAAACAGAAGATGAATTGATGCCTTTGTACTTTGGTATTGGAGAAGAGCACTGAACATCCCATGGACTACCAAAAGAACAAACAAATATATCTTGGAGAAGGTGCAGCAGAAGTGATCCTTGGAGGCAAAAATGAGAAAGCTTCATCTCACATACTTTGGGCATGTTGCTAGGAGAGGTTATCCCTTGGAGAGAGACATCATGCTTGGAAAGGCAGAGGGTCAGCAGAGAAGAAGATCCTCAACCAGGCAGATTGGTACGATGGCTGCAGCAATGGGCATGAGAGTGTCAGATACTGTGAAGATGGCACAGGATAGGACAGGGTTTAGATATGTTGTTCATAAGATTGTTATGAGTCATACTTGACTCAGTGGCACCTAGCAATCTTCAAGCAGATTACTCTTTAAGGAGATTCAAAGAACAAATACATCCATCTTGGTAGATGTGCAACGAGAATGCTCCTTCCAAGTAAAGAGAGTAACACTTTGCCTCATATATACTCTGGACATGTTTTCAGGAGAGACCAGCCCTTGGTAAAGGTTATCATGCTTGGAGAAGCAGAGGGTCAGAAAGGGAGAGGAAGACCCTAAATAAAATGGATTGACACAGTGACTACAAAACCAGGAAATATCATGAGGAGGGCTCAGGATGGGGCAAGGTTTTGTTCAGTTGCACATGTTGTTGTTGTTGTTGTGGACCATCAAGAAGAACTGGCCTATAGCTGACCCTTCAGCTAGCTTATAAGTTGCAGGGAAGAAGATTGTCCATCCTTCCTCCACAGAGTATCTGATAGATTCGAACTACATACCTTTGGGATTGCAGCACAGCTTCTCTGCGGTAAGCTCATTAGGAGCTGACTTGATGGACTTAACAAAAGTCTTTAAGGAAGCAGATTGCCTCGTCTTTGTCCTGCAGAGCAGTCTGAAGTCCCAACTGCCCTGACAAGCTTTCAGTTAGCCAAGCCTTGACTGAGCACTTCATAATGAAAGGCTCCTGCATTGTTTTCTTTCATTTTTCCCTGAGTGGTTACACACACGACACTGTAATGGCTATCTCTTTTTATTTCTTAATAAAGAAAAAATGCTTGTTCATGAACAAGGGATCTTTTCCTTTACATGCCTCTGAAAACCTGCTGGAGGGTCAACCACAGGATCAGTTCCAACCGACAGCAAACAGTAAAGACAAGCCGAGATAAAAGGAGGAAGTCTTATCCTTTCATCAGCTTAGAGTTAAGCTTATGTGCATGTTAGTTTGAGATTATGAGATAAAGCAGAAGACAAGATAAATGGGCCTGCATTTATAGTTTATTTTTTTAAAGATTCACCACAAAGACAATAAGAATCACCAAAAATGTGACCTGCACTGTGAGTCCTACATGATGTGATTTTACATAACAAATACTTTTCCTTGTCTTAAAATTCATGACATTTTATTACCAAGGTTTTTCCCAGATTCAATTAGCATATCATTTTGTTGCGCTTACCTGATTATAAGGGAATAATGAAATGTCTCCATATGGAAATCTGTTTGGTTTAACATCTGCTGAATCAAAGAGAACAGCTGGGTTTTTCAGGGAGTAACGACCACAGTAAGCATCAGTCTCAGCTGTCTTCTGCCCTCTATTAATATGTTCCTGCAGAAACAATAACATTTCAAGTGAAAACATGATTTATTGTCCTGCTTTATTCTTCAACATCCTACCCAAGTTCTTAAAGGGTCAGCTCAGATCCCATTGCTTCCCCCACTATTTAGATTGAAATGCTCTCTCATCTCTGAAATTCTAAAACATTTACCCTGGATCTATAATCCTGTTATCCCCTGTACGTGTAGTTGGCTATTTCCTAAATCCTTTCTCTTTTCTTAATGGCGTCTGTATGGCGCATTGGTCAAGCGCACTCCTGATAACAAGGGCAGTGGTTCAAACCCACAAGTTGTTCTGCAGGAGGAAGATGAGGTCGTCTGCATCTGTAGAGACCATTGTCTTCAGAAGCCTGTGGGGTAGCTCCAGTCTGTCCTAACTGGTTACTATGAATCAGAGCCAACTTGACAGCACTGGGCCATGCATATCTTCCTCCTTATCATACAAACTCTGTTACAGTCATTTGCTCATTCCTTCCATAAATGTTTATTTGGTATTTACTGTGCACTAGGTCTTTATTTTGTCTATATATACTTTTTATTTGGTCTAAACATAATGTTCAAAGAGTGAAGAAAGCTATCTTTATACAGAGGGATAGGCTTACCTATCTCGGACAGAAAAACCTACTATTCTAATTTCAAAGCTGAAACACCTAATTCTCATAAAAGTATTGAGAAAGATAGCTCAGAGAAAGTGATAAATCATCTTTAAACATGAATAGAAGTTTCCCAAATGAGAAAACAGATGTCAAATATTAAATTAAATGGTGACATGATCTTTAGCTGGGCAGCCCCACTCCCCACTAACTATATCGCCAGAGGCAAGAAAATTCATCAATATGGTAGGAATACTGCTTTCAGGAATGACTCATTTTATAAGATAAGATGATAGTGTAGACCTTACCAAAACACATATACCAAAGTGATTTTGCAATTTGACTTGGAATTATTACTAGTACAATAAAGAAATCACAAAATTCCAGCCATTTATATGAATTCTTAAGAGATAATTTTCTCAGTTCAGCAAACATTTCATACCAGGTTAAAGTCAGTTTCATAATCTTTGAAGTATTTCACAGCAAATCCTTCCTCAAGATGTGCAATTTGCTGTGGGCATTTGGCGCTAACCATTTCTTCCACTGCTACCTGAAACTGAATGAACAAGAAAAGGTATTAGAACACTAGTAATTCTAACACTGATTCTGCAAACAAGCTCTTGTAGAACATTTTCAGAAGACAATCCCTGTATTTTATTCATAATTATAAAGTTGTTGACCAAATAAGTTGATACGTGATAAATTTAGTGTCAAGTGACTTCTAAAATATATTTCAGAATGACATGTTGTTGTTGTTAGTTGCCATGAAGTCACCTCTAAATTATGTTCATCTCATGAATAGGAGAATAAAACAATGGCCCGTCCAGCTAATTAGCTATCTGGGTTTCCTTGGTTACTACATAAGGTAAGCAAATTTGTTTACTAGCTTTGTTAGAGCAAGCAGTGAGGCAAATATAAATTAATTAACACCAAATTAAACAGACTGAAGATACAGAGTTTTCCCAATTAACTTTTAAAAATAAAACACTAACAAATAAACCCTATGAATTCTGATGTAGAATGTGATGTTTCTTACAAACATTGTAAGTCTACATTTATTACTATGTAATAAATAAATGACAAGTAATTCCAATTTATAAAGGAATTAGTAGACTTCTGTGATATCTGCTATAACTTCCATATATATTTCTCTAGAGAAGCATAGTTATTACCAATGGTTTAACTTACAGACTTTAGACAACATATATTCTTTAAGCATCAAACAAGTATTAACTTTAATGCATTAAATAGTTTTCAAAATTCAGTAATATACAATAAAATATTTTTTCCTATGGTCAACTGCTACAGACTAGATGTGATAAATCATTTATCTCTGATAAATCATAAGATTCATTAGACGCTGTTAGCCCAAATGTTTCGTAAAATTCATTAGATGCTATTAGTCCAAATGTTCACACGCTCCTTTCTTCTCTGTCTTTGAAATCTTTCCTCCCTTCTTCACACACTGTTAGCTTTAAACCACCATGACAGGTAGCAGAGCATGTTATTACTCTTTAAAGTAACATTTATATAAGGGTGACATTTAACAGTTAGGAACCTTTAATAAGTGACTTGAACTAGCCAATGCATTCAGGTTAGGCCTATACTATATGGTCTTTCTTTAGGAATTCTTGGTTTTTCTTTCACAGGTAACACATACAATTTTGAATGAACAATATCGAGGTGAAAGGAGGGCCTTTGTATCAGAGAAGAGGAAGGACTTCAAGAGCAGTCATCTAGAAGGGGTTATCGTGTTTGAGTCCTTCCGAGCCCTCTTTCCATTAAAAAACTTAAATTACAAGCAAATTATGGTCCATAACTTATAAAGGTCTTTTAAAGAAATGTTTTTCGTCCCTCTCTCTCTCCAAGTGGCCCATGAAAGCTGTGGAGTACACAGGAAAAAACGTGTGGTAGGAACCTTCCCAGGACCTACTTCAGCTTCCGATGACCTTGGGGTAAGAGGCTTAGAAGAAATCCCATCCCAACTCAGTGTGAAAGTCTCCAAGTTGGGTTTTCCTTTGACTTGTTCTGAAATATCCAGTGTGATATTTCCTTCAAGTATTTCATATCCAAATAGATCAAAATCTCCTGTAATGAAACAGAATTATTAAACGTTAATGAACCAAGTATCTATATTTCTACAATAGACATTCAGCTTTAGTAAGATTGGTCTTAGCTGGAATTTAAGAAGATTTAGAAGGACAATTTAAATATAAGTTACTATAGAAAAAATTCTTTCATTCCTATTACTTGAAAAAGTGACCAAGAGTATGAATCCAAATCTTTTTCATTTTGTAAGACTTTCTTCTCTTCCAATGCTGTCACACAGGCTATACATTTTGGTTAGGGAGCACTGGTAGCCTACCGGCAAGAAGTAGCACTGCAATCCCAAAGGCGCATGGGTTCGAGGCCATCAGCTGCTCAGCGGGAGCAGGGTGGGCAATCTCTTCCCATGAGACTAATTGTCACTGAAAACTCTGCAGAGGGTCAGCTATGAGGCAGCTCCAACTCGACAGTACACAACAAAACCAGAGTAAACGTTGTAGAAGTGTAAAACAAAATATATGCTTACCTCTAGCTGACATAAAGGTTATGATGTAGACATAGCTCTCAGAGGTTTGGGTCCTTATTACTTGAACTGTATCGGGTTTTATGGACCACAGGTCATTTATGGCTGCTTGCAGCATGAAGTCAGAAGCATCAGCAGGAAGCAAAACTTGGAAGGAATTTTAAAAAGTTGAAACTTTTCCAGACTGTCAGTCTACAGTGATGTCTTATTATGGAATATTTTTTGTTAACATCTTATGTTACTAATAATGCTAGATTGCATAGACAGTAGTTACCTTTATTATCTAGAGCCTCTATACACCTCTCCATCATCCTTTTCCTTAATAATATTGTTGTGATCAATGTATTTGAATTTTTAAATATCCATAATTTAAGTTATATAAGTAATGAAATTAAGTTGTGAAATGCATTGAGGTTTAATAATACTGGTAATGTAGTTTGTAATCTTTTTGAGGAGAGGAATCTTATTTTATTGTTCTAATAGTCTTATAGTAATGAAACAAAGAGTTAATATTTATCAAGAATCAATATTTACTGATTAAAAGAAAAAAATTAAAATTCCATGATTTGTTATACAGAACTAAGATATTGTTTATTAATGGATGAATTTGTCTCATTATGCATTTTTAAATACTCAGGAGTGGCATCCAGTTCCTAAACAACATGCCTCCAGACACTCTATGAACTTTGATAAATGTCGATAGTTATAGAAAGACTTCAGACCTTTTGTTCATAGGTTTGCTATGAGCTCTGCTTGACTTGAAGGCAATCAACAACAACAACAAGGAAATATTAACCCTTCCATAATTATGAATTTACCTACTATTTCATTCTTGTGAGCCACAAAATACATAAAATTGAATGAACATTTAGACATATTTCTTATGATCCTTATAGGGGGAAAAAGATGATATAAATCAGAGAGCTGTTTATATTGATGCCATTTTCTGTTCCAGTCTGATAAGTAGCAAACATCTTTCTTCTTCTTTTATTACTCTTTTTCCTGTAAAAACTCTATTTCTCAGACAGTAGCATCTGACTAAATGCTTTTGTTCACAATGACATCTACATATGGGGAGGAATAAAAGCTCTCTTACTTGTAACTTACCAGTTTCTTCCATGTTATAGGTTAATTTGTACTTGTAACGGGAGCACGAACCAGCTTCTACACAAGGGCTGGTTACAGTGATCTTCTGAACTTCATTGGCTGCTTGAGTTGTTTCCCAGTTTTCCAATGTTACAACCTGTTTTTTAATTTTTTAAAAAACATTTTATCATGTAAAAAATAACACGAAACCCTTAAGAGCATCATAATTTCACTAATACCTCTTTATGGTCTTATTTTACTGCAAATTAAAAATAATGCTTACACTACTCTAAAGCTTAAATTCCACTAAGTAACGACTCCACTGTTGTTATGTTCTTAGTTGACTATGACTCAGTCCCAAAGTAAGTGAGATGTGGTTTTGAAACCCTGTCTTCAAGGAGCAACCTGGTTCACCCTTATAGGACAGACCTGTCCTTTAGCACATAAACATCTCATTAGCACATTACAGTTCACAGATAGTTCAATCCATAAGCAATTTCATAATTCACAATTGATATTTCAATCCATAAATAATTTTTTCATAATTTCATAGTTCACAATGGATATTTCAATCCATAAACAATTTCATAGTTCACAATAGATATTTCAATCCATAAACAATTTCATAATTTCTCATGACTGCTTTCCCCTCAAAAGAGCATCTTACATAATGAAACTACTAGTTAGAGTTAGACATTTGTTCTCAGTAAAGTGGATAGTCAGAACCATAACATACCTGTACTTCCTGAATGATTGCTGACTGGAATTTAATAACTTGTTCTTCATTTACTGCATCTCCTGTTTGTTGTTCAGTGTAGACATTCCCAGCCTGGTACAGCCCAACGTCAACAAAAGCACTTAGTCTGTACTCCTGAAGCAAGATTTCAATGTAGTACCTGGAAATGAAAGTGACTAATGGATATAATTTTTCAGAACATTTGTCATACAGTTTTCTCAATGAATAAAATGTCAATACTATATTTTTAAATAGGCTTGTTCCACGATTCACATTTTAGTACCTTTGCCTTTGGATATTGAAGACTTCACAAGAGTTTGCTAATAATAAAAAACAAAATCTGTACAATGTCTCCATCAGTAGTTCTTCTCATTCATGACCAGTTATGAAGGTTAGTCAGTAAATACTTACAAAATAAATTACTGCTACCCTCAGGAAGCTTAAAATAAAATAGTATAACTGGAAATTATTATATTAATTCACTGGCAAACTATTTAGAGGCTATGCAAAAGAAAATTATTTAATGTGTAAAAGAAAGTGACAGGTTGACTGACTCTTGTATTTTGTATCTGAGAAGGTCCATGTGTCAAGACTTACAGGTCCTAACATCACTTTCTTTCCATTTTGCCTCCGCTTGTATTGAACAATGAAGCATCGCCTCAGGAAATCCTTTTTTATTAGCTCAACACTAACTTTCTACAAGCTGGATAAGAGTCAGACATTGTGCTTGGAATTCCTGACTCTTGAGATTTCCTATTCACCCAGTATAAGTTGCTCACTCACCACCTACAAGTGTGTGCAAAGCTCTTGCTGTCCTGTCCAAACCTCCATCAATGTCCTCATTGCTCATGTTTTTGGAGAGCCCAACTGGGAGTTGTAAACAGATTCTCACATGGTTCCACAGTCACTAAAGCTTGGGGTGATTTGTTACCAGAAAAAGCTAAATAATAATGTATTAAATGGAATATTATCTCAAGGCATCTTTGATGTTCCTCATGTGTGCTAGATTTTTTAGTATATCATGTCATCTACCCTCTTGTTTTCAAGAGAATCTGAATAACCCTTGAAAAACAGATTATCTGCTATTTAGATGGCATTCTCCTTTTCTTTCAGAACTTCTTTTAGTACTAAGTAATGTGCTTAATGTCAGAAAGTACACTCTAATATCTATTTTATTAAATTTCTAATACCTGACACAGTCTGGAATAAATCAGCAAATAACATATATGTATTGCAAGTGGCACTAGCACCAGTTCATGTGGTTTTGTGATTTTTCTCTACAAGTATTTTTAAAAACTAAGGCTTAGGAACATGAGAAATTATTGACTGGCTTGTCTAAAAGATCCAAATAAAACAGTTGTTGTTGTTGTTTTTCAGTGCCATGGAGTCATAGTGATGACTCATAGTGACTCTAAGAACAAAAGAACTGAACACTTGTATAGCTTTCAACGTTTATCCCAGTTCATAGAGTTTCTGGAGGCAAGCTATGATGCCACTCCTGCTTCCGAGCTTGTTTTAATCAGGGAGCTCCACCAAATACTGTCCACCATGGGTAACCATTACTGCATTTGACACATCAGTGTCACAGTGTTCAGCATCACAGAAACCATGAGTTGGAAGGAAGGAAGGAAGGAAGGAAGGAAGGAAGGAAGGAAGGAAGGGAAGGAGAAAGGGAAGGAGGGAGGAAGGAAGGAAGGAAAGAAGGAAGGAGGGAAGGAGGGAGGAAGAAAAGAAAAGGTTATAGTAAAGGATTAAATAAATCTTACCCAATTATAACTATTGCAACAAAGGTAACTTAGATTTAATTCCACCCTGATTAGCTAAATGTCAGTATTCTGGGAAATTTATATAATGAAATTTTAGGCAATAAACAATTCTATATTAAGCCATGGGCTAATATTACTTCCAACAATAAAAAACAAACAAGTTAAAAATTGCACAATAATTCCAAGAAAAAGAAGAAAAACATACTTTTTTTCTTTCTGAAGATGAATCTCATCTGACCTTTGTGTTGGATTGGAGAAATAACTGTTGGCATTTCCAGAATGATAAGCAATGCTCACCTGATTTAAGAGAGAGAGTACTTAGTGACACGTGTTTGAAATATCACCATTATGAATATCATGTATTGCTTGTTATTTGTTAGTACTTCTGTGAATAGAAAAATTGGAAACTCTTCCATAGTTTTATTCTAGGATCTGTAGTTCATGATGAAATAATGACATGTTGTTTTTAGGTGTCATTGAGCTAACTACGATTCACAGTGACCTGGGAAGAGCAATCAAAGTCTTTTTTCTATCTTGTACCATCCTCATGATTTCTGGCCCCTGTTAGAGTCACTGTGTTTCATATAAATGAAATGGACTTTTTTTAAAAACAATTTCCAATGCTCAGGTCTTTCCTTCTATCCTTAATTAACTCTAAAATATGATTTATCCACAGGTAGAACTGTAACCTGTAAAGATTTCAAAGGAAAGATCCCTGGATGGAGTAAATGGTCTGTGTTTACTACTAACCCAAAGGCTGGAAGTTTGAATCCACTTCATGACATACTACAAGATTGATTAGAAATCTACTTGTGTAAAGATCACAGTCAAGAAAATCTCGTAGAACAATTCTTTTCAGTAACATAGGGATCCTCCATGAGTTGGAACCAACTCCACAGCAATAAGCTTTTTTGGGTGCGTTGTTTGTTTGTTTGTTGGGGTTTTTTTTTTATACTTGTTTATTTACAGAGTTCAAATATATTGTTTTTCACACCTGATCTTTTCCATTTCCTTCACACACACACTCATCAACTTTTTGTTTTTTTTAAAAAATAAAACAGAAGTTTGTTATTGGTAAAGAAAACATTTATTCTGAAATAATACTGAGAAATTGATTTAAATGAAATTAAATTGAATAAGGTAAATGTAGTCTGAAGGACATAGATGAGAATTGTTTTAGCAGGTAAGTCAGCATACTGGAATGAAAGGACTGTGGGCTTTTTCTTAGGAACAACTACACCATCGTTAGAGTAATCATGTTAACAAACTATGATAAAAGTAGAATTAATACACTGTTGGTGATGGTAGTGGTGTGTGCAGTCAAGTTGGAACCAATCCATAACAGACCAGTGGGTTTTCAGAGGCAGTTAATCATATGAGAGGAGACTGTCCAACTTTCTCCCATCTACCTTCAAACCACCTACCTTTGAGTTGCCAGTGCAACTCCTTACCACTAGGCCATGATACTTCTCTTTTATTATTGTTGTTGTGATGTGCTGTTGAGAAGCTTACAACTCATTGTTGTTGTTTTTGGTTGCTGTGGAGTCAAGCATGACTCAGTGAACCTATGAAGAAAAGGGCTGAAGCCTTTCTATAACTAACGTAATTTATCAAAGTTCATAGAGATTTGAGGAATGTTGTTTAGCAAGTGGATGCCACTCCTGCTTCCAACTACAATTCATAGAGACCCTATATTCAACAGCCCTAAATCCTGCTCTGTCCTGTGCCAATCTTATTGTCTTTTACAAATCTACCCCCATTACCCGAGTCACTGACAATCCATCTCATTGAGGATCTTCCTCTCCTGTGCTGTCCCTCCACCCTCCCAAGCATGACGCCCCTCTCCAAGCACTGGTCCCTTTTTTCAACGTGTCGAAAATATGTCAGACAAAGCTTCAGAATCCTTGCCTCCAAGGAGCAGCCTGGTCTCACCCTCTCTAGGATGAACCTGTTTGTTCTCCTTGCAGTCCTTGGTATATTCAATACTCTTCTCCAGCACCACAGCTCAAAGGCATCAATTCTCCTATCAACCCTAGTCATTGTCCAGCTTTCTGATGTAGAGCTAGTAATTGCAAAGACTACGGCCTGGATTAGGTGCACCTTGGTCTCCAGACTGACATATTTGCTCTTCAGTACTTTGGAGATGTCTCTGACAGCAGACTTTCCCAATGCAATTCATCATTTAGTATTCTGGCTGCCAGTAGGAGTGTCAATTTTGGAACCAAGCAAACTGAAGCTGTGAACAATCTCGATCTCTTCCCCATCTATCATGAAGCTGCCAATCGGCCCAGTGGTGAGAATCTTTGTTTTTTTAATGTTGAGCTTCAATCTACATTGAAGGCTGTAGTCCTTGACCTTCTGCAGCAAGCGCTTCAGGTCCTCCTCAGTTTCAGCAAGCAGGGTTGTGTCTTCTGCATAATACAGAGTGTTGATGAGTCTTCCTCAAATCTTGATGCCACATTTCTCCTCATAGAGCCCAGCCTCCTGGATAACCTGCTCTGCATATAGATTGAAAAGGTATGGAGGAGATAGGACACATCCCTGGTGTACACTTTTCCCAATTTTGAACCATATAGTGTTTACTTGCTCTGTCCTGATAACTGTCGCCTGGTCCAAGTACAGCTTTTGCATAAGTATTTTTATTGTATTGTTGTTGTTGTTGTTTGTTGTTATGTGCCATCGAGTTGTTTGCGACTCATAGCGACCTTATGTACTACAGCCCTAAACCGTGCTCTATCCTGTGCCAATCTCATTGCCTCTGACACACCCATCCCGAGTACCCCAGTCATTGAATCAATCCAGCTCATAGAGGGTCTTCCCCTCCTGCGCTGTCCCTCTACTCTACCCAGCATGATGTCCCTCTCTAAAGACCTGTCTCTCCTTACAACATGTCCAAAGTATGTCAGATGAAGCCCCAGAATCCTTGCCTCCAAGGAGCAGCCTGGTTTAATCCTCTCTACGATGAATCTGTTTGTTTTCTTGGCAGTCCATGGTCCATTCAATACTCTTCTCCAGCACCACAGCTCAAAGGCGTCAATTCTCCTTCTATCCTCCCTAGTCATTGTCCAACTCTCTGATGCATAACAATTGATTGCAAAAACCATGGCCTGTATCAGGCGGACCTTAGTCTCCAGAGAGACACTGTTGCTCTTGAGTATTTTGGAGAGGTCCCTAACCGCAGACTTTCCCATCGCAATACGTTTTTTGATTTCCTGGCCACTGGTGCCAAGAGTGTTGACCGTGGAGCCGAGCAAACTGAAGCTGTGAACAATCTCAATCTCTTCGCCATCCATCCTGATGCTACCGATTGGTCCAGTGGTGAGAATCTTTGTCTTCTTGACATTAAGCCTCAGTCCATATTGAAGGCTGCAGTCCTTGACCTTCTGCACTAAGTGCATGAGGTCCTCCTCAGCTTCAGTGAGCAAGGTTGTGTCATCTGCATAACGCAGATTGTTGATAGATCGTCCACCAATCCTGATGCCACATTTCTCCTCATAGAGCCCCGCCTCTCGGATAATCTGCTCTGCATACAGGTTGAAAAGGTATGGAGACAGGACACACCCCTGACGTACACCCTTCCCAATTTTGAACCATGCAGTGTTGCCCTGCTCTGTTCTGACGACTGCCTCTTGGTCCAAGTATAGGTTTCACATTAGCACAATTAAATGTTCTGGGATTCCCATTCTTCTCAGAGTCAGCCACAGTTTGTTATGACCCACGCAGTCAAATGCCTTTGCACAATGAAACACAGATAGACATTCTTCTGGTATTCTCTGCTTTCAGCTAAGATCCATCTAACATCAGCTACAATATCCCTAGTACCACGACCCCTTCTAAACCCAGCCTGGACTTCTGGCAGTTCTCTGCTGATGTACTGTTCCAGTCGTTTTTGGATAATCTTCAGTACATATTATAATATTAATATAGTTATGACATATATGATATTATATTTTATATGTAGCAATTTAAACATGTGCAATTTGGGGAACAATCCTGTCACATAACTCAAAATGGTTTCATATTAGTGAAGTTGTCCTAAGAAAATAATTTTAAATACAGAAACAAAATAAACAGCAGTTGTTCAATGGCATTTTATTTGACATCATTAAAAAATTTGAAAACAAGTTAAAAACTGATCAGAAGAGAGATTATGGAAACTGAATAAACAAATGTAATTAAATAATACTCAGTTAAATTTACATAAAAACTGCCCATGAATCACTCTAACTTCCAGCTATTATAGTAACATATTTTATGATAAAGACAAATATTCATTTTAAAGGAAATATGTATCTCTTTTCTTTATCTGTCTCTCTCTCTCTCATTGTTGTCAAATTGGGAATCAGTCATAATTGCCACTCCAGCAGGTTTTTGAAGGCGGTAAACTTAAGGGGACGAGATTGTTCATCTTTCTTTCTTGGAGTCATTGATAGATTCAAACCCCAGAGGGACACTGGCGTTGGGTTACCAGCACAACTCTATTGACTATGCCACGGAAGCACCATAAACAATTCTATATGAAAAAGCATTTTAATTTAGGCGCTGAGTTTCCATGAAAATTTTATAGTTCTTCCGGTATATGTTAAAATATTTAACACATTAACTCGACATCACGTAAGACTGCATCAGATCAATTTTCATAAATAAGTTCACGACTATGGTTTAGAACAAATGAGATACACTTGCAAAAATATTGTAATTTTGTAATATCAATTAATTGTCTCTGGCATCCTTACCTTATCATCTGGAATGTCGCTCTGGCTCAAATAAACAGCATAACGGTCATCACCTCTGATGTAGAACCGATAGACATCAGAATCCGGAGGCACCAGAAACCCACTAAGGCGTGCCACAAACGTGTCCTGTTCAACAGGCCACGTATAGGAGGCTGAGTCCACCCAACTGGCACCCATGTATCCTGGCGTCCTTTCACTGTATTCAAGAATCTCCTCAAGGTGCAGCGGCCGGCTATTATTCCACACCTCTAGCTTGAGGCCTCTTCCACCTAAACACAGCAAAATACAAAACTCTTTTAATCAGAATTACCACATGGTGTCAGTGGTCTTCTATAAGTACTGTGGTTATAGATTTTTATATGTTGATAAAATGTGTGTAAAGAAAGCAATTTCACATACTTTCCTGAGTACCTGTAGAGAACAGAATGGCAAAGCTCTAATGAACAACAACTGCAGTTGCTCAAAATGTCAAGTTTCAGACCATTTGATTATAAAACCCATGTCTGCATTTAGGGAGCTCTGAGGGCCTAGTGGTAGGAATTGTGCTTCCAGCTAAAAAACACATGCTTTAAATCTTGCAGCTGCTCCAGGAGGAAAGATGTGTCATTTCCTCTGGTAGAATTAACTGCCTCCATAACAAGAACACATCTTGATGAGGGAGTTCTGCTGGCATAGTCCGTAAGCAGTTACACTGTGATTCGAGTCCAACTGTAACTCAAGAGGAAGATGGGCCATCTCCTCACATGTGGTTCCCAGCCTCAGAAACGCAACGGAGGGCCAACTCTGAGTCAGTTACAGTTAACAGCAATCAGAGGGCCTAAGAGAGAGATGGCTTGATTATTCTAACAAAAGTTAACCAGTTAATGGCTTACAATTAATCAAAAAGCACCCATTGTTGACATTCCAATTTCTGCCAGCAGTTTTCCTTCTGATATTTTTTTCTGTTATTCTCTCTGCACAATGATTTTCACTCTTTCTGGGACATAATCAAAGGAACAATATTTTCATTAACATTTTATCTACTTCGGTCAGTGTACACTTTGTGATTAGAATTTTTTCTGGCCATAAAGGAGTCAACTCTTCCTCTTCTTGGCCTCTTGTCTTTTCCAGGATTCCTGTATCCCTTGTGTTCATTCCTAAATTATTTCAAACAAGTAAGGGACTTAACCTTTCCCATTTTTCTTAAAGCAGCAAAACACATTTTTATAATCCCCCTAAATACAAATACAAATATTTATTAACAATCATTTCGTTCTAATACAGGTACCAATATATTCTATCAATAGAGGCAGGATGTTTTTATCGTGGTGTCTAAGGATTTATTCTTGGCTCAGCTGTAAATAAATATTATATATAAATATTTATATGATTATATATAATACAATATATATTTCCTAACATTTAAAAATTAATGCTCTTGTTAGTCATATTTTAATTTTTTATGGTCAAACATTCTTCTAAGTGGTATAGCATTGGTCTGTCCACTTGCTATACAGAGGTAACTCATGTTTGCTGTGATGCTAAACACTGTGACACTGATGATGTGTCAAATGTGATAATGGTTACCCATGGCGGACAGTGTTTGGTGGAGCTTCCCGATTAAAACAAGCTTGGGAACAGGAGTGGCATCTACTTCTGAAGAAGCTTGCCTTTGGAAACTCTATGAAACAATGAAAGTTATACAAGTGTTCAGGTCTTTCATTAATATGGTTGCTGTAAATTGTCTACAACTTGATGGCACTTAACAACAACATATAATTATGTATAATACAAATATATCTTTTCCAATATTTAAAAATTAATGTTATTGTCAGTAATATTTTTATTTAAATATAAAATGACTGCTCTCTCTTGACAGAAGAAGGATGACAGAAGAAGAATTAATACCTTTGAGCTGTGGTGTTAGAAGCTGTCAAAAGAACAAACAAATCTGCCTGAGGAGAAGCACAGTGACAGTGCCCCTTAGATGAAAGAATGGTGAGATCTCCCCACAAGAGTGCTGAGCATCCTATGGACTGCCAAAAGAACAAACAGATAGGTCTTGGAGAAAGTGTAGCCAGACTGACCTTTGGAGGCAAAGATTGTAAAGCTTCACTTCACGTACTTTGGGCATGATACAAGGAATGGCTATTTCTTGGAGAGGGACATGATGCTTGGAAAGGTAGAGTGTTGGCGAAGGAGAGGAAAACCTTCAATTAGGTGGACTGACACAATGGCTGCCACTGTGGGCTTTAGTATATTGAGAAGTGTGAAGATGGCACAGGCTAGGACAGGCTCAGATCTGTTGTTCATAGGGTCGCTATGGGTCATCCTTGACTTGACGGCACATAACAACAACAACAACTCTCTCTCTTAGAACATACCTGGATATATATTCCTGAGAAGATGAGGTCTGGGTGGTGTCTTGCAATATATACTGTTTTCTGTGACATTTAGTATATCACAGGCATGACCTATAAAGAGAAAAGATGGAAAACTGTTAACAACTAATGCTTCATAATGTAAACCACATCAAGCTGTCTTGAAAGACTTCTGTCAATGAAACCAGAGGTGCACAGCAAGAGGTGCCCTGATGTGGAGGATCATTCTTTCCATTTCATTCTCTCTGTTAAAGCCTATAACTCACTAATCCTCATACTTCTACAAGGCAATATTTTCCTGGCACAGTATCACATGTATGAAATTTTACAATTTCTGGAGATGAAATAGAAAGAAGTGATAAAACTATATTAGTGGAAAACCTTTCCTCCCTGGGGTCCAAAATCAAGCCTGATATTTCACTCTTTAAATAATTTCAATCTAAATCCACAGAATTTAAAATTTCCCAGTTCTGCTGAGTATGAAAAATGGTGATTTAATCCAAGTCATTCAAATGAAAACAAAAAGCCTGATAACTTTTAAGTGGTTTTCTTACAGGTGAAATAAAATAAAAACAGAAGTGTATTAAAAGCGAGAAAGAATAAGTTCAAGCTGGGTTTAAAAGAGGCAGAGGCACCAGGGATATCATTACTGATGTCAGATCCTGGCTGAAAGCAGAGAATACCAGAATGTTTATTTGTGTTTTATCGACTACTCAAAGGCATTTGACTTGTGGATCATTAACAAGCAATGACTGACATTGAGAAGAGTGGGAATCTCAGAGCACTAATTGTGCTCATGAAAAATCTATACCAGATCACGAAACTGTTGTTTAAATGGAACAGGGGAATACTGTTGTTGTTGTTGTTGTTGTTGTTGTTGTTCTGTACGATAGAGTCAGAACTGACCCATGGCTGGCCTTCCAGTGGGCTTTTAGAGGCAGTTAATCACAAGGGAGGAGACTGTCCTTCCTTCTCCCATGGAGCAGCCCATGGTCTTAAACTGTGTGCTTTCGGGATTGCAACGCAGCTTCTTGCCACTAGGCCACAAGAGCTCCCTAAAAAGCTATACTGAGATCAGCTATCCAAACAGAGCAGGGGCATAATGCATGCTTTAAAATCAGGAAAACTCTGCATCGCAAATGTATCCTTTCTTCATTCCTATTCAATCTGTATGCTGAGCAAATCATTCAAGAAGCTGAATTCAGTGGAGAAGAATGTGGCATCAGGATCAGAGGAAGAACTATCAACAGCCTGAGTTATGCAGATGACTCAACCTTGCTTGCTGAAAGTGAGGAAGACTTGAAATGCTTACTGCAGAGGATCAATGACTACAGTCTCCAATAAGGATTGTGTCTCAACATCAAAAAGACAAAAGTCTTCTCACTACTGAACTGATCAGCATGATAATAGATAGAGAAAAGATTGAAATTGTCAACAATTTCATCTTATTTGGATCCATAATCAACAGTTTTGGTACAAGCAGTCATGAAATCACTAGTAAACTGTTATCAGGACCTCTCCAAATTCTTGAGGAGCAATGATGTCAGCTTGAGGACTCAGGTGAACCTGATTCAGGCTATGATCCTTCCTGCTATACATCTGAGAATTGGAAATGACTAAGGATGACAGAAGAAGAATTGACGACTTTGAGTTGTGGTATTGGAGAAGAATACTAGATATCCCATGAACTGCTGACAGAACAGATATGCCCTGGAAGAAATGCAGCCAGAGTGTTCCTTTAGAGGCAAGGATGACAAAGCTTTTTCTCAAATGCTTTGTGCATGTTGTTAGAAGGGGCTGTTCCTTAGAACAGGCCATCTTGATTGGGAAGGTGGAGAGTCAGCAAAGAAGGGGAAGATCCTCAAAGAGACAGAGTGGTACAGTGACTTCAGCAATGGGCTCAAGTGTATTAGAAATGATGAGAATGACCCAGGAGAGGATAGAGTTCTGATTTGTTGATCACAGGGTGGCTACAAGTTGTACTTGACTCAATGCCATTAACAACAACACTGAATATTAATAATGGTCAATCTAATTGGCACATTACTGGCAATGAAATATGTCAATGAATAAAGTGCTATCTTTGCATATCCATTATATTGTATTAAAAATAAGCATGTTTTGAGAATATAAAATGCATAAACTAAAAATTATTTTATGTCCCATAATATCAAGTCAAAAATAGTATATTTCATAAGATTAAAAACTTAACAACAAGACTATATACATCAAAATGAGTCCTCTCCAAAATGATGCATCTCCCATTACGTAGTTGCAGAACATTAATTAATTAATGCTCTTCCAAAAGCCAAATACTACTAGTAATTGCTGATATATAGAAGAGGCAAAGTATATGAGATTTTTCCAGAATTCTGTTTCAAACTTCCCCATGGCTAGCTGATGATTGACAATTATAAACTTTCAAGAAGGACATTTCTAGATTTTTCAATATACTGTACTGGAGAATTTGTGGACAGCCATTTCCACACTTCACAAGTCTTCAAGGCCCAGTCACAGTCACATAAGACTGCAAGGAGTGGCTCTGTTAAAAAAAAAAAGTTTTTTGAAGGAAGTAACAAGCTTTGAGTCCAGAATGAAGGCAGCATAGTGGAGTGTACTCGGGGTGGGAGGGGGAGGACTGTATACCAAGGACAGAATTTTTCTTTTACTTTTCAAAGAGAAGAGAAAACTGGGGGGTGGGGGAGGGAGAGGTGCACAGGGAGAAAAATGCAACAATGAATGAATGAATGAATGTAAATCCAAAATCTCTGAAAACGCTCATTAAAATAAATAAAAAATAAAATTTTGGAAAAATTTCGCATAATGCTAGATCATCATTAATTCTCACAATTAAAAGGCTTAAGTGACGACGCTACTGTAAATTTTTAATTTTTTTAAGAACTATTATCGCTTATACAAATTGCTAAAGAAAAGCCGAAATGTGTTCTTATAAAGTAATTAATTAAAAATCATTTAAAAAAATACCTCCTACTAAGACTCTGACTGGAAAGTCGGTTTGATCAAAGAACCGCCCACTGATCGTTAGCGTGGTGCCGCCTTGCACGCTTCCTTGTGAAGGTGAAATCATAGTGACCTCTGGGGGCAGAAACATATTAAATGAAATACCATAAACATTACATAAAAACACAAATGCTCAATTTAATAACAGAAACGCCACAAAAATACACCTTATATCTCCAAATTACCTAGACCCTAGAACAATGCATCTAACAAAGCGCTGAGTGGATAAATTAGGGTTCATAGTTTTGTCTCTAACGCAATGAACGCTTTCACAAGATCCCTATTTCATAGTTGTGATTGATAGTAAATAGACAGTGACACTGAGAAGAAGAAACACATGGCCTACATATATGATTGAATTCAAATGGGAAGAGGGAAATAGAAAGGATTATCTTCTTCCATCTGTTTTTGAAGAATGCATATTGCATTGATGGACCAACATCTTACCTATAGTTAGATTTCTGTTTATCTCTTAGTAATGTATTGTAGCAATACAGTAACTATGATTGGAGTTCTCATGATTTCGTATACAAGAGTCTGTTGTTGTTGATTGCCTTTGAGTCGAACATGACTCAAAGTGACCCTATGAACAAAAGGCCTGAAACCTTTCTATAACTATTGATATTTATAAAAGTTCATAGAGCTTCCGGAGGTTTCATATTTATGAATGTGTCTGTATAAATATTCTTAAATATGAATTCTCTCATTTAATATGTTTCTAGAAAATGTCAAGATTTCTCACATCTAACAGTTTAAGGTTAATTTACATTTTATTATTTTTTTGAAATTAGAATATATCTTGACCTTCAAATGAAGTACAAATATTCCTAGAGGATTTGTGATTGCTTCTAACACTTTCTTGGGAATATATCAACCTGAGATCTCTTGAAATTAAATTATATTTAATATGGTTGAAGATTCTTTTGGATCACCCCAAGAGCATAAATTCAGTGCTCAAATCTGGAGAGTGCTGGTTTACAGTTTAAATTTTTTACCCCCCTCCCCTCAGCTGACTCATAGCTGACCTTCCAGCAGGTTTTCTGAGGAAGTTATTCACATCAGAGGAGATTGCTTATCTTTCTCCTGCAGAGCAGCTGGTGGATTCGAACTGTGTGCCTTTTGATTGACAGCTCAACTCTTTGGCATCAAGCCACCAGAGATCCCTCACACACAGCACTGAAACAACCAAATCTTCTTGCTGTCTTTCTTAGTGTGTTAAGTTCATTTCTCTATCAGCTTTACACGAGGAGTAGAGTTTCAACGGTCCTAGTTTCGTACTCACGTTTCTTAAGAGTATATCTTATAATTACTATTGTCTTAGGTGTAATTAAAAGAATTGTACATTTATCTCTGTTTCTTAAACACACACATACATACCCTAGAGATAATTGGCCACATACCTGCATATGTTTGAAACATTGAAATTTTATTGAGAGAAGAAACAAAATATGTGGTTTTCTGGGGAAAACTCCTGTTAATTTAAGGGGGGAGGGGAAGAAAAGTGAAAATTTCTTCTTCAAAAGTAATCTTTACATTTTAGCAAAAAATATTTATCTTACATTTCACTACAAGTAATCATATTGGTGATTTGCAAAGGAACAGCCTGGAACTTTTGAAAAGATAAACTGATTTATACTGTGATTTTCTGTTACCAATCTATAACCAAACCCATTGCCACTGAGTCAAATCCACCTCACATCGTTCTTGTAGGATAGTCACAGAATTGTCCTAGTGTGCGAAGCTGTCCACCTTGGCCCTAAGTGGACTGTCTAGTCTTGTTCTCTCCTACACAGGGGCACAGTTTGAACCAACCCCATGAGAGCCATCAGAGATTTGGTTGCTGCTACCAATGT